CAAAGACGACCGGCAGACTGGGAATTTGTTTGGTTAGCCTCTCAGACCTGGAGAGTGCAGGTTGACCCGCCAGAGGTTTCCGAGGAACTCACAAGAACGCACGGAGGGTGGTTGAGAACCAGCGGCGGATGAAGGCGACCAGGAGATTCTTGAGGGTCAAAGTCAAGACCTGGCGCACGAACAGCGCCATGGTGTGGTGTTGACGAAGAATCTGGCACAGTAGCAGCGGTTTCTCAAGGCACTTCCTTCGGTAACATCTCGATCGGCGCAGCTTGAGTGAAGAAGAATCAGTTTGTACATTAGGAGCAATATGAGAAGCAAGGTATGTACAGATTCAGAATGAGAGACATGGTGCGGACCTGGACAAGCCCATTGAGTGATAGCTTCGGAGTAAAGAAATAGTGACGCCTGGAGTGGTGGTGTCTAAGAAGTCCAAGATCTTCATTTCGTTGCAGCCTGCATGGTTGCTGCAACTCAAGCGTAGTCATGACACGATGAAGGCACAACGCCGGGGAAATTCACGGGCGGCACATCGCACCTATCGGCGGGGCTGAGACGGCCTGTCGTACGGAGTATTCTGCTTCGTTTCACGAGATGAACCCAAGTTGACTTGGCACGTGGCAGGCGTGGCAGGTCAACGGCCTCGGCGGGCTTTGCTGCACTGGGTAAAAGCAGCGACTCTCGCTGAAAAAACCTCGGTCAATTTGCAATCACTGTCACTTCACTTGGACGACACCACGTGAATCGGTCAACACATGAACTCACGACGACAAGCTCCGACTACCAGCGAAGCGATGTCCTACTCTGGACATTGTTGCGTGGTTTGTTTCGACGATTGGCAATGAGGGATGAGAGGGCAGAACTACTCGTGCCGCGTACCAGCTGAGTGGCTCCAGCGCGACCATCTCGCAATATATAGAGCACGAAGTGAGCGGGCGATGATAATGTCAGCATTCCAAACCATCATATACCGCGAATTGGGTAGTCCACGGCAACACACGGCAGGAACATGGCTCCACATGGCATGGATTATCATATCACTGCGGCTCGCAACGCAGTGAATGCTTGGGCACCTCGTCATCAAGCGCAGTCAGACGGCCGCAGATTCCAGACTGATGGACCACTTCCTCAGATTGTTCGCCCTCCTCGCCACTATCGGCCGACCTGAATCGCACTGACAAGTACATCGCCTGTCAAGACATAAACGCGCACTACCGTGGGATCATAACAGCCGAATCCTAGTTCTGACATCCTGACATCCTGACATCAAGCCTGCTCGCGTCTCGAATGAACAAATCAGCCTAGGTTCCACTTTGTCAAGGCCACTTCGTCGCGACCTCTCAAGCCGCTCACGTTCATTCAGTAAGACACAGTGGGCCAGCCACCTTCCAGACGCAACTTCCCTTTATGACAAGCGTGAGTCTACTTATAAGAACTAGAAGTTTTAGTGAGGCATCCCATGGCTGAGGCAACGAGTGCGCTCTGGGGTCTGCTTATATACCCAGTAAGTCTACTTCTGCTTTGCACCTTACTTGTCCTGGTGATATTCCTTCAGAAGGCCTTCACGTGGGCCGTCCTCGCATATCCTACTCCAGAGCCCAACAACAGATGCAAAGACAACTCGCAACCATGGCAGATCATTCAGACCACCCGGTGATCGAGGCAAAGCCGGCAACGACATCTCTCATCCTGCTCGTTGTGGTCTGCTGTGTCTTCCTGTATTTCAGCTACCGCAGGCTCTTGCCCAAGCCCATCCCAGGCATTCCCTACAATGAGTTGGCCACTCGCTCGATCCTTGGAGATGTGCCTGAAATGATGTCGTACATCAGTCGGACACAAGAGATTTGGCCCTGGCTTGTCGACCAAACCACGAGACACCAGTCACCGATAGTCCAGGTCTGGGGCCGCCCTTTTTCGAAGCCTTGGGTTGTGATAAGCGACCATCGAGAATCACAGGACATCCTCCTTCGCCGTAGGTGTTCCTCCCTCGCAGCCTGGCCACTGAAGAAGAGCTGTTGACATTGGACAGGCACCAAGGAGTTTGACCGTGCCGACTTCACAACCGGTAAGTCTCCCAGCTCATGTCAAGTTCTTGCCGATGTTTTGGATACAAACCTGAGCGGCTGGTGCCAGCCAGCCCGGGCCTGTCTTGGGTCTTAGTCTACAAAGGTCGCTGATTTGAGTGGAGCGCAGATGTCTTCACAGGCCTGGTGCCAGATATGCACATCAGCTTCAAGTCTTCTGAGGACCGTTTTAAGACGCACCGCAACCTTCTGAAGGACTTGATGACTCCAGCATTCCTTCATGAAGTTGCTGCCCGGCAGATTTACACCAATAATGAGGCATTTGTGCAGCTCTGGGAACTCAAGGCTCGTCTTGCGCAGGGACATGCATTTCGAGCTGACGAGGACATCTACAATGTCGCGCTTGATGTCATCTTTGCTACAACGTTCGGACTCGACATCCAAGACGGCAACACTGTTGCACAATTGAAGCAACTGTCGTCGACACCAGTTTCTGTACCACAATCTCCGGACGAGCCCATCGACTTCCCGCACTTCAGCCGCCCGGCTACCTTTGAGGCTATCTCTGTTCTCACGGAGTCCTTGGAGACGTCAGTCAAGGCTCCCTTTCCCAGATTCGCTCACTGGGCCTTGCGCCAAATGCCCTATATGCGAAAGGCTCGCGCGGACAAGGAGAAACATTTCACCAATATGATCAACGACTCAATCACGAGAGTGGCTTCTGGTAAGCAGGCGAAAAGCTCAGCCCTGGACGACATCCTACTCCGTGAGGCAGCTGCCGCAAAGAAGGAGGGACGCCAGCCTGTTTACCATTCAAGAGCTATCTACGATGAGGTACACATACATATATCCTGCCGGATTCAGACGTTCATCTGAAGGCTGACGGCGATTTAGCTTTTCGGCTTCATCATCGGAGGTCACGACACGACCAGCGGTAAGTTCTCCTTATCGCCACAGACTGTAGCCCAATTTCTTCTGCCCTCCCTGCTCGCGCACCCGCCTCCGCCTGAACTGCGCCCCAAACTCCGGTTATGCAAGCATAGGCTCTGACGACCTGACAGCAACCTTATCCTGGGCAGTCAAACACGTTGCTTTCGCGCAGGAAGCGCAGTCGACTCTCCGGTCCCGCCTTCGCGCCGCCTACACGGCCGCAACGGCAGAACGGCGCAACCCGACTGTAGACGAAATTACCAAGATCCCCATCCCATACCTTGACGCCTTCATTGAGGAGATGAACCGCACGGCACAACTCTTCAGCGCCACCGTCCGCTCCGCCACCGTCGACACCACGGTCCTAGGCTACACCATCCCAAAAGGCACAGAAGTCTTCCTCATGCAGAACGGGCCAGGCTACCTCTCCCCACCGCTCCCACTCGACGACTCCAAGCGCAGCAAGTCCAGCCTGGAAGCCAAGAACCAGGTCGGCCAATGGACGCCTGACGAAGCCGACATGAAGGCCTTTCGCCCCGAGCGCTGGCTCGTGAAGAACGAGAACGGCACGGAAGAGTTCGACGCGCACGCCGGCCCACATCTGGCGTTTGGCCTCGGCCCCAGGGGCTGCTTCGGTCGCAGGCTGGCTTACCTGCAGATGCGCATCATCGTAGTCATGATGATCTGGAACTTTGAGCTGACGGAAACGCCGGAACGCGTAAGCAGTTTTGCGGCGCTGAGTAGGCTGGCGAGACACCCCAAGATGTGCTACGTTCAACTCGAGAGGGCGAAGGTGTAGATAGGATGTGTACGACCGGAAGGCTGGCTCTCCAAGTCACACGTTGCACAGTAGAGCACAGTAGACAATGGATAGTAGACGTTACGCACTCCACGGTATCGAGACTTGTCCCCACTTCTCCTACAATATCTACTGTGAATTGCTTGGTTACTGCATGGGTGTTACTGCAATGCGTATCAGCAATTGCCAGGCTCGCTGCTTCCCGACAAGCACACGCATCTAATATCCACACACAAACTAGCCGTCAGCTTGGATGGGCCCAAATCCGCAACGACTAGGGCGCGGAGCGTCATCTAGTTACTGATACGGAGTGCCGAGTACTCTTGGCAGTTATACACTACGGTGCGAGTACGGAGTACTCCGTACAGACAAGGCAGAGAATACAGTCCTTGCGGCTAGGTACCTACCTGCCTACCTGAGATATCCCGCCAAGTCCTGGCCCTGGAGAGAGAAAGTCCCGATATCCTAGCTGACGCATATAGAGCCGCAATACGGAGTACGGTGCAACGTACAAAGTGTGTACTGTGTACTGTTTACTCGTGTAGTCAAGAGTGAATGAGTGGGTAAGCTCAAGCGGTTCAGGACACCATGTCAGCCTCATTACATATACCATGTACTTATACCCGTGTTCTGACACGAGTACGAGGACTCCGTACCCGCACAATACGAGGTACTCCATAATAAGCATATCACCATCTAGGCAGTTACCTAGGTAGATAGGTACTCCGTATATAAGGCGGGGACACCGCTCTCCCTGACGACAGCACCAGCACGGCCACAAGCCGGGCACTCAACCGGGATCGGTTCCAGAATCCGAGAGGATGGTCTGTCAGCCTGTGGACCTCAGCACGAGGACTCGTACACAGTAGACATGGAGTGGCTGAGTCCGTATAGCGACCTCGATCATTGGACGGGAGATATAGTTACAGTACTTGTACGCTCGGAAGTTACGGTGCTTTTGCCATTGCGCACGACTTACTCCGTACTCCGTAACTCCGTACTGTCAGCATATTCGACCCGCGGCTTACCGTAACAAAGCTAAGATGGAAAATGCTGCTCTACCACAACAGGCGCAAGGCAAGGTAGGAAGGAATATTGCTTATGTTATACTATTTGCAGACCAGGATAAGATCTATTCCCACAGATTCCTCCAGTATGGACAGACAAGACCGACCTAAAAACACCCGACACCGACGCTACATGTGGACCGACGTGCGTCTTTCTCGTTTGCAATGCCATGCCGTCAATCACATCCCCACCCCATGGGGACGCGGACTGTCGCGGTCAGCGGGCAATTCCGCCAAAAAGGGCGGCTTGGACGTCATGGGCGCGTCCATTTCTGACGGTCGTGGGTTGTCGGCCACCTCGAACACTGCCATTGGAGCCGGTTGGTATGGTGGTACGATGAAGGGTTCTTTAGTATCGGTTCCAAAGACCGCGGCGGGGCCATGAGATCGTTGTTTGCGACGGCGTTGGCAGAACCAGATGCCGAAGAGGATGGCTGCGATGAGGGCGACCCCTCCGACGACACCGCCTGCGATGGGCCCGGCGTTGCTACTCGAGGATGTTGACTCGCTGCTGCTGGACGTGTCTGGGGAGGTTGAACCGTTTGGCGAGGGGGTCTGGGTGGGTGTCGTGTTGTCGTCGTTGGTGCCGTCGGTAGAGCTTGCTGGGGGTGTGAATGCTGAGAGACCGTCATATCAGCAACTTGCCAGATCTGCAAAAACAAGGAAGGGAGAGCCTACCGAACACGGAGGCCAGATGTGCATCGCTGAAATCAGGTACATCATAGCCGGATCGGTAGTACCTCTGCACAATTTCGGGACTCTCATACGCCGCGGCGATGGCATTGTAACGGTTTGTCCATTCGAATTCCGTCATGTCGAAGACGCCCATGGTACCGGGCCATGGGTCGGGTTCAACACCCACTTTTTGCAATGAGCTCGGCAGCAGCCCTCCGATAGAGACCATCTGTCGCTTGCCGATGACACTACAGGTATTGCGTGCGCGCCTCACAGGAGTGGACGACTCGGATTTGAACCAGCGAAAGGCTGGCAGCGACAAGGCATAGACGTTCAGATAGCCTTCGTCGTCCGGATTGTTCAGGTCGAACGTAGTGTTCGTGGAGCCACCGTAGACGAAACTGCAAAAGGAACGATCAGCAAGAGAGGAATAGCGACCTGAGGGTTGGGAATGCATACACCTCGAAACTGGTCCCGTCACTTGACACTGCTCCGACGGCACAAAATTCACTCCTTGGCGGCGGGATGTCCCCTGTGGCTGTCTGTGTGTACCATGTCCCAGTCTCAATGTCGTAGAGCGTGATTGTGGCCATGTCCACCATGTACATACCGCTCCTGTAGCCGGATGCCTCTGTCGGAGGACTCTCTCCTCCCACCATCACTAGGAAGCCTTGCGCACCAAAGTTGGGTGCGTGCACCATGCGGGCCTGGGTCCGGTACTTGCTCTGCTCTGGCAGCTCGGCCGTGGTATTCGTCCAGAATTGTCCTACTAGGTCCTTTGTAACCAGGCCGGAGAGAACAGTCATATTATCGCTTCCCGTTGGTGGGAAGATGTTACCTCCGAAGCTGTAGAAGGTTGTGTCTGTATAGACGGTGGCTGAAGCATATGGCCCTGGGGAGTCCTGAGACAGTCCACTGATGGAGGGTGAAGTGTCATTTTCCCATATGACGTCTGTCCTTCCGGCATCGAAGGACCACAAGATCGAGGGGAAATCGGTTTGGTTAAGGGGCCAGCCTCCATAGCGGCTGACTTTGTTTTGTGGCTTGTCATAGAAGAGTTGTGGTGCTCCCAGGTCCTGATTGATTTGTCAGTATATGTACTGCATGAAATGAGGGTCAAGAACAGCTTCAATGTTGAAGTGACAATTTCGAGGACGTGAGACATACAATCATACCGTCGGCTTCGCTGCTTGACTCAACTGTGACGGTCTGGTTTGTCCATGACTGCGTGAGGTCTACCGCCACTGTTTTTTCTTGAAAATGGTAAACCGTGGTACCAGTCTCATCTGGTTCGTAGAACATGCCGCCGGCTATATACATCACATCGTCAACCACGATAGCTAGAAAGCGTCAGCATGTGAGCCGCACCTGAAGAATCCAGGGATCTAACATGTTTGCCAGTACCATTCTGTGACTGTGGTCCGAGTCAGCGCGCCCTGAGCTCCATTGGCAGCAACGAGGCCGAGGGCAAGGATTGTGCCCAGCATCTTCTGGTTCGACAGCAAGTGCGACAGTGAGGTCTGGGACGAGGAGTTGTGACCTTTGGGCAAAAGTACCCCTTTTGACAGCGAAATCTTCAAACCCGCATGTTATAACCGCAGCCCTGCCGACGAGCGGTCGCCTCGGCCGCTCCTCGATTAATTTGTCACGACTGCGCAGTCAACAATCGCGAGGGCGCTTGACATTCCTGGCTGAGCGTATACCACGACACTAGCTTTTGAGGGGCCATCCTGCCATAGCTGTTCGCGCCGGCGAGCTAATGATCGTCGTGGTAGATGACTCCACGCGGGCGCGGAGGGATCAAGACAAGGGAAAGTCCCGGTGCCGGCCCGACTCAAAACAGACCAATTCTATATCGAGGACCGCGGCGCTGCTCCCCGCCAATCATCACACCCGATTTCCGAGCTCCTGAAAGTCCTTCCTCGATCCTAGTAGCTGTTAATAGCATCTTGGAACGCAAGTATGGCGTTAGCATAGAGGGCAGCCTCCTGTGCTCGGTGGCTTCCAAAGTGACTGGACCGATCGTGGCTGAAATGGAACATCTGTTATACGCATGCGCCATTCCTCACCGAGTCTACACCTTCCAACTCGGACTCAACGAGGACTCTGTGCCATATCCGATTCGCAGAGGTTGCTGTCGTTGATCCTGCTCTCGATGACGGGATTCATTTCCATGCGTTCCAGAACATCCAAAGGCTGAATTATCAGGAAACCCTGGATAAGGATGTGGCGTTTCTGGTAGGGCTGGCATTATACAAAGGCAGAGTATGGCGGTAGTTACCATACTCGGTTCCGAGGACGAGTATAACTATGCCGTGACGCTGGGATGTCCCAAGTCCTCAAGCAAGCATGATAAAGAGGAAGCGTCTCTCGTGCGACGAGCGTGCGCCCCGTGGACCGCTGTCCTTGGACTTCCATCTCCTTGGCTGATTTGCTCTTGGCGTTCAGCAGCAGTCGGGTAAGGACATTCCTACACTTTCCCTCTGTCACTTGATCCTTACTGACTGTGTTGGAGGAGTACAATGTAGCGGCTCCAGCTTAATTTCTGCTGTGGAACCGGGCTCGGAACAATATCATCCCGCGCCGTTCCACCAACTGTCCCTCCTTCGTCTGCGGAGACGCTTCGAGAGGTCATTGTTGCCCCAAACTAAATGAGCAATGTCGCCCCAAAGCACAAGGCAAGGTTGCGCAGCAAGTGGTGTGCCTTGCGATGGTGTTTGCTAGGGATGCATGACAGACTCCTGTGCCCTCATTCTCAAGGCAGAGGAGTGCGGCTCGGCTCTCTGACAATCAGACTTGAACTTCTCTAGGTCAAACTTGCGGCAGGCTGAGCAGGATGGCGAAGACCATGGTCCTCCTGTCGCGATCAGCTTGTGCGGCGCTCAAACCGCGGACATGTTTGTCAGTTGTTTCCAGAAGTTTCAGTGAGAGCAGCCGGCGCCTGCTGTCTGCAGACCGCGAGCCCAGGAAGGATCAAGATGCATCATCCACCCAGGGAAAATCGCCTCCCAAGCCTCCTTCCATGGAGGATGTCCTAGCCAACACAGATCCCAAAGACAATCCCCTCCTCGCTCCTGTGTACATACCCGAAGATTCGAATGCCATCCTGCGATCAAATCATCCTGCGGCTGGGATCCTCACTCAATCTGCCATCGTCATTCAGCGGCAACTCGAAATGATGAACCTGTTGGTTGGATTTGAGCAAGCGAATCGATATGTTATACTCGATCCGCAGGGCAACCATATTGGCTACATGGCGGAACATGACGGTGGCATCAGCCACACCATGAGAAGGCAGTTCTTCAATACACACCGTGCCTTTACCACGCACGTTTTCGATCGGAATTCGCGCGAGGTCTTGAGATTTCATCGCCCGTTTTCGTGGATCAACACGCGCATTCGCGTCTACGATCCTTGGGATACCGAGTCCAATTTCGAGGCCTCTACATCTACCAAGCTGGCTGAAAGTAATTCAGATCCCACTCTGCCACCACAAATATCACCGGTCCCCCTTGAGAACATGCGCGTGATCGGCGAGACTCACTCCCAATGGGCGCCCCTGCGCCGCAAGTACGATTTGTTTCTTTCCCATGACCTTTCTTTGGGTGATCAAGGTCCCGGCGCCATGTTAACGAGAAGTGCCGAAGGCCTTTCGCAAGTGCAAAAAGAGCAGGTCGCTATACGCAATAGATCCGGCTCTTCCACCGACTTTGCCCAATTTGCTCGGGTGGATGAACCCTTCCTCTCCTGGGATTTCTCGCTGCGCGACGAACATCTTCGTAAGATCGGAACGGTCAATCGAGAATTCCGCGGATTTGGCCGAGAGTTGTTTACTGACACGGGAAGCTATGTCCTGCGAATGGACGCTGCCGAGAGTGGAGATCAATCACAGGACCAGGCCACAACTTCTGGATCCACCCAAGATCAACCTACCCATGCGGATTTCTTAGGAGGGAGCAAGTTCGGCATGACTCTTGATCAACGAGCGGTAATGCTAGCTACAGCTGTCACGATCGACTATGACTACTTCTCCCGTCACAGCGGTGGCCATGGCTTTTTCCCTCTCTGGCTCGGAGGTGGTGGCGGAGAAGCAGCTGGGGGTGCGGCCGGAGCCGGAGCGGCGGGAGCTGGTGAGGCTGCCGGTTCTGCGGGAACCGTGGGCGCGGCTGAGGCCGGTGGTGCCGTTGTTGGAGGAGCTGGTCGAGCCGTTGGAACAGCTTCGGGAGGAGCAGCGGGTATGGGTGAGGGTGCCATGGCCGGAGCTGGAACCATGGCTGGTTATGAAGCCATGCAAAGAGGCATGGGCCGCCGGTCTGAGGCTGCGATCGATGATGCTAGCCCACAACAACAGCCTCCCGAGCAGCCTTATGGCCAACCCTATGATTCACAGTCTCCCCAAAGTGGCTTTCCCGAGCAAAACCAAGAACAAGACGTCTGGGGCACTGCTGAGTCAGACCCGTGGAGTGAAGGACCACAAACAGGCGGTTCAGACGGAGGCGAGGGAGGCGGGTGGTTGTCGCAATTGTGGGATTCGTTCTGGAACAATTGAGGCAATGGGTCTGGCCCTGCAGTCGCCGAGATCTTACAACATCGGGCTGAACTACGAAACACAGAATGGAAGCCGGTCGACGATGACGGATGGATACTACCTCGGTTGTGTACAAAGATTCTACTCTGACATATCATGTGTACCAGCAGTAATTAATTCTCAATTCTCCTTCGGACAAACAAACTTTCAGTCACGTGCAGTGGGAGATGTGCGGCTACTTCGGTTAGGCGTTTTCCGAAGTCTACCGGGCGGGGTCGATCACGTGAGCGCCAAGACATCCAGCCACCTGCTCAAACGACCGATACGAGCGTACGCCGACCCGACGGCCCTGCATTATTGAATCCTTCGAACCGTCCCTCCCTCTCCCTCCCTCACGGCCAAGATTCGAATCTGGAAGTTCCTCCCCAAGCTGCAGATCCAACTTGGCAGTTACGTTACAACACTCGTTTGTTGGCGCCAGCTTGATCGTGGTCAAGACTCGGCCACCGCCACTGGAAGATCTTGTCAACCTTGTCAACCTTGTGTGCGCCATCGAGTCGCACAAGACATTGTTGACTTCATTCCACCAAGCCTGACGCCTCGTATCACCTGTAGTGCCTTCCTTCGCCCACTGTTGCCTTTCGACGCTTCTATTGCTACTCTAGGCTTCCAATTACCTAGTCGGACGGGGAGGCCTTGAAAAGAGCAAGGAGAACTCGGTACATATCTGACAGCTGTGAGCTGCATCCCAATCACACAGTCATTGTAACATGCGAATACCGACGTTGTTATCTCGGTCTCCACCGTCACTTGTCTTGGTATCTGCTGCTGTTCCTACCTTGGCACCTTATGTACCCAGCAATCGCGTGCGGACCCCGCAGATCGCCGTGCTTCGCTCCAATCCATCACGCGTCCAACGTAAGATAGTCGCATCTTTGTACCCGGTCAATGCGCCGGAGACCACTTGGCGCAGCTCGCCTGTTGACAGCAGAATGTAACACAATGCGTGTCCAAGCCTCATAGCTCCTGATCAGTCAAGGACCTGCCGGATCCTGCGACACATTCGATGATGTGCCAGAGATAAGTGTACAAGTGTCGGCCTGCAAGTGCGCTTCTGCATTCTTTACCCTCTTGCCTACTGTCTTACTTTCATCTGGCCGTTTCGGTCACGGACACGCCACCATGGCTATTCACCACAGGTATTCGTCGTCCTCTCCAGACGCAGACACGATGGAGAAGCACGCCCAGGAGCAGACCCTTTCGCCCGTGGAAAGCCAAGGAGGAGTTCGTGGTGTCGAAGTACAGGAGGGAAGTCGACTACATCGGGGACTCAAGGCTAGACATATCACTATGATTGCTATCGGTGGTGCTATCGGTTCGTCACCTGGCCGCCTTTTGTCAAACATCCAGCGCCTCTCATCTAACTCGGCTGAACAGGAACTGGATTGATCATCGGAACGGGCAAAGCTCTGGCTCAAGCCGGACCAGGCGCGATCTTCATCTCCTACACCGTTGTTGGCTTCCTCGTCTACCTTGTCATGTGCGCGCTTGGTGAAATGGCAGCTTGGTTGCCGTTGTCGTCTGGCTTCACTGGTTACGCTGTGCGGTTTTGCGACCCTGCGTTAGGCTTCTCTCTGGGATACACGTAGGCAACAACCACCTTGAATTGCATCTGCGTTTGACTGACGGTACCAGCTATTGGTTCAAATACATCATTGTCACGCCTAATCAGCTTACTGCTGGAGCACTGATTATTCAATACTGGGTGGACCGCGACCGTGTCAATCCCGGCGTCTTTATTGCCGTCTTCTGGGTCGCCATTGTCTGCATCAACTACTTTGGCATCCGCTTCTTTGGCGAGTTCGAATTCTGGCTCTCGACGATCAAGGTCATTGTGATCATCGGCGTCATCATCCTCTCCCTCGTACTCGCCTTGGGAGGCGGACCAGACCATGACCGCAAGGGTTTCCGTTACTGGAACAACCCTGGCGCATTTGCCGAGTACATCGACGAGGGCGCCACAGGCCGTTTCCTCGCATTCTGGTCAACCATGGTCACCGCGACATTCGCATATCTCGGAACCGAGCTTGTAGGCGTCACGGTCGGTGAAGCGCAGAATCCGCGCAAGACCATCCCCCGCGCCATCAAACTGACCTTCTACCGGATCCTGTTCTTCTACTGCCTGAGCGTTCTCCTCCTGGGGATGCTCGTGCCTTACAACAGTGAAGAATTGGCCTTCGCCAACAAAGCCTCCTCCTCCGCCTCGGCCTCGCCCTTCGTGGTCGCCGTCAAAATCGCCGGCATCAACGCCCTCCCAGGCATCCTCAACGGCTGTATCCTCCTATTCGTCTTCTCCGCCTCCAACTCCGACCTGTACATCGCCAGCCGGACGCTCTACGGTCTCGCGTGTGAAGGCAACGCGCCCCGAATCTTCAAGCGCACCGACGCGCGCGGTGTGCCCATCTACGCCCTGGGCCTCTCCGCCGCCTTTGCCCTCCTGGCATTCATGAACGTCTCGGACGACAGCAAGATTGTGTTTGGGTATTTCGTCAACCTGACCACAATCTTCGGCCTGTTGACCTGGATCTCCATCCTCGTCACGCACATCTACTTTGTGAAGGCGCGGCGTGCGCAGAGCGTGCCAGACACGGCCCTGGCATTCACCGCCCCCTTGGGCATCTACGGCTCATACGGCGCGTTGGCCCTCTGCATCCTCATCGCGCTGACCAAGAACTTCAACGTCTTCGTCCGTTCGCCCTCGACGTACGGCAACTTCGACTACAAGAACTTCATCACGGGATACCTCGGCATTCCGCTGTACTTGATCATGATCTTCGGCTACAAGCTGATCATGAAATCCAAGGGCGTCAAGCCTGAGACTGCCGACCTCTTCTCCGGCAAGGACATCATCGACCGAGAGGAGGAAGAGTTCTTGGCCGAGAAGGCGAGGCGGGACGCGCTGAAGAGAGGATCCGTCGGCAAGAAGGGAGGCTGGTTCTATCGCCGGTTTGTCTCCTGGCTGTTCTAGCGTGGTGGTTTCCGGTATACGGAACAGGGATCAGAGGGCAGGACAGGGTACTGTAACACAGTATCGGAGAAATTCTAGCATTGTCGTGCCGCGATGCACGCAACTCAGGTATTAGCGAGCTCTACCTAGAATCCACCACCAATAAATACACTGGACACTGGACACTGTGCGTCGCGGGTACTTCCTTGTACGTATGGCGCCGTCGTTACTCGTTCCTTCATCGGTTTCATTCGTCCCTCGTAACTATATCTCGTCGCTCATCGCGCATCGCTCATCATTCATTCACTCATCACACATCACACATTGCTCATCAAGCTATATATATATACACAAGATCACAAACGAAACTCTCTCCCAGAGTCAATCAATGTACAGCATCATCCCGCCCGGCATATCGCTTACCAGCTTCATCGCCTCCTTCCAGCTCGAAATGTCGCGCGACCTCGGCACCTCCTCTTTGTCATCCCGCGTCGTGAGTTCCAAGGCTCGGATGAAGAACTGTTTCGTCTCAACTCTAGGCAAGATGGATTGTAGGTCGATTGTGCTTGTGCCTGTGCTTGTGCTTGTCCCTGTGCCTGTGCCTGTGCCAGTCCCATTTCCTGACAGATCATTGCTGCCGAGGTACTGCGAGATACCGTCCTCATAAAAGAGGATGACTCGGCGCTGGGCTTGGATGGCGGGCCGGCTATTGCTGGTTGTAACCGTATCTTTTCTATCACTATCGCTCTCTCCAGATCCGTCTGCGTGTCGTTGGCCTCCTTCCTCAACCATATCCACGGTCCTCCCATTCCAATATATCCGGTACGCTTGGAAGATTTGTCTCCTCAAGTCGTGGACCAGCGTTGGAGAGAGGGCGGATCCCGAAGCCACTAGCACCATGTAGATGTGGTGTGGGTCTTCTGGGGAGTCGATATACTTCGGCGAGTCGGGCCAGAGGGTCTTGCAGATCGTCTTGTCCAGGGGGAAGTGCGATTGCTGTTGCGGTTGCGGTTGTAAGAGCGGCGGCAACGGTTGGGAAGCTTGACTTCCTGTCGTGCTTGCTGCTGTGGTTGTCTTCCCGAGGGTTGTGGCTGCGTTGCATTCTTTGGCTCTGTTGCGGGGCGAGTGCGTCTTTCTTGGGGAGGTGGCCGTCTTGTTCAAGCCACGCGTTGGCGACACGTTCTCGAGTTCCAGGAGGGGTTGGCGCGGCTTCGTGATGACGGACGCCGGGCGGTTTTGAAAGAATGGCTTGATTGGACGTTGAGATGAGGTTCCGGTCGCAGTCGGCGGTGAAAAGTTAGGCGGTTGTTGGTTCGGATCCTCCCTTGCTCGCTTGGTGGTTGTAGGTAATGTGTCTGATCGTGCCAGTTTGCGCTTAACCCCCCTTGAGGTTTCATCTGTGTGGGTTCGTCGAAGTTGAGGAGGGGTGACTAACGGGATTACTAGTCTATTACCGCTAGTAGAGGTTCCAAGAAGAGGAGATGGCATGGACGCGCCGGCCGTCGATTGCGCTGGAGATCCGTCAGTAACACGACTGCTGAGAGGCGGTGGAAACGTCGTCTGCCTGGTAAGTTCGACGGCCACGGTATCAAGCACTGTTGGCGTGTCTGCTTTGGTCCTGGCGGTTGATAAAGACAATTGACTGTGTACTGGTTGGCAAGGAGATTCATCGTATACAAGGTTCTTCAGCTTCACTTGTTGACTGGGGACCATGGGAGATACAACACTCTGCCTTGCTGATGGAGTAGGCGTGCACTCTGTAACATTGAACGGCGATGCGCTTGATGAAGTTGACGTATCTTGAGACTGTGATTGGAGGTAAATATGCTGGTTCTTCTTCGGCTCAGCTCGAATCAACCGTTTGTACCACTCCATCTCTTCTTGTTCTTCGGCGCTCGGAGGTTCGAAGCTCGTCCTTGCCAATTCCTGCAACTCATCGAAAGAGTGAGTATCAGTCACACCACGATCGAAATGCATTTTATCAACCCGTGGAAACCGTAAAGTAAAGTATGAGGCATCTTCCGGCTTGTCGAAGCCTGCCCCTATGGCCTCGACGATGAATGGCTCCCGAAATAGGTCGGTGGGAGGGTTGCGTCGTAGCTCTGGCTGGTCGATTTCGACATTCAGACGGTCCGACTTATAGGCAAATGGCACCCATCGACCTATGCCTCTTCGATTGAGGTCCAGGAGCATGTCCTCGGGGATGCAAGGACGCGTGACCTCAGCGAGGACCAGATAAGTTGGTCTTGCCCGGTATCGTATGACGTCCTCTTTGTTCTTCAGGCAGGCCAAGTGCACGGTCGTCCACCGGAGCGAGCGACCAATCTTTTCCGCGTCTGCGGCATCTTTACGCCCACCGACAATGCAAAGGTCGGCACGGTCGCCGCATCCCTTGATATAATCCTTCTTCAACTTGATTGTATTGTTGTGCCAACCCGTCGAGAAATAAGGGTCTTCACACCCCTTCAGGACGAGACCTTCCCACCTTTCAGTAACAGCGTAAGCGAAATACTCCAGCAGTTGCTTTTTCCCACTTGCGGGACCGAAGTTGATCACATGGCGGTCGCCAATTTGAGCCAGGCCCTCCACAGGGGTGACGATGCGCTGTACCTGCTGTCGTCGCACAAGATGAGGTTCGAATGCCAGATTCCAGTCATCGAGCAACAAGCAGTCGTAGAAGACTACCATCAGTTGCTCGTCGGTTGATTTGGGTGAGTCGGTCGCGGTGCCGATAGTCCGGCCATTGATGTCGATGTATTTCCGAATCTTGCAGAACGGCTGGATAGCTCGTCCACTGCGGCTCCAGACCAGCATTTCACCCTCAAGAATGCAACCTCGAGCGATGGCGCAGGATGGCTGGCCAAGGCGCAAGCCGGCCTCGATGGCATCATGTAGACGCCAGGCAGGGCCGGTGAGATCCTTGCTGCGTTTGGAGAAGATTTGTATCCGGTCTGTGCCCTTCGACACGTCGATGTGAACTTGCACGTACCAGCCGTCATATTTGCGCTCGACACTCATGGTTCTCTGGTTGGCACTTCTACTGCAGCTTCCGATGCCTCTAGCCTGCACAAATTCCTGTCGCTGCAATGGAATGCCAAGTCTAGGTCTGACGTGCCGGGCGCATTCCTGACGGTATTGAGGTCGCAGGTCCTCCGGTGGGTCATGGGGAATTGATGCAAGTTCTGGCGTCTGGAGAACCTCGATGGCGTCTGCAAGCGAATTCCGAAAATGGATAATCTGCGGCAATAGGAAGTGAAAGCAGCTCAGAACCAGATGGTCGGGGATCTCGACAGGGTTGTAGGTCTTCAGGATCATCCGCACGAGCCATTTGGCCTCGCTGCAATTCAGCCGCCAGAATATGCGCTTGAGGAGGTGGGCCTTCTCGTCGAAGTTTGAACGTTCTGCTAATCGTTCCATTGCGTGGTCGATTTCCTCGAGGGTCACCTCGTGGTCGGGGCTAGGGCGGTCAAAGCCGGCGTCAGCCACAAGCTGTTCAACACAGGTCGCAAAGTCCATGGCTGTTTTCTGCCATTGGTGCAGTTGCAGCCCACGACCGCGATCCTCGGGAAGGCCAAGCACCTTGCACATGACACTGGTCAGCCTCTTCTCCTGCAAAGCGTAGACACGATGGGGCGACCGATGCAGGAGCAGGCTGGAGAGCAAGGCAACAGCGGATGGCCCCTTGCGGACGATGTCGGCTTCGTGTCGCTTGAACCATTCTCGAATGATCTGGCCGGGCTGACCCAGCTTCGGCGTAACCCGCTTGGGCGGGCGCACCGAGATCACATTGTGTGAGTCTCTTCGGGCTGAGTCAAGATCCTCGAGGAGTTGGACAAGATATTTGAATTTGAAGGGCATGGCCGTGGTGGAAAATCCCGGTGAAGGGCATTGGGGCTGCTGCAAGTGGGTGTTGGCACGCAGGAATGATTGGTGCTTGTTGTGTTGTTGTCGACGTCAAGAAGGTAACGCGTTTCTCCATTGAAGGTTGCGCGTCGGTAGACACGCGGCCACGTGACACATTGTCGCCCTTTTGCCCACAAAGAGACTCGCCTTGTTCACCTTTTGCTCACCCGTGAAAGAATACCTTCACCAGTATATTTATAGCGTCCCCATCTTTGCTGTGATGTTCTTGGGCACAAGATTGGTAGGGAGGCCCTTTTCAGTTGAGAAGAAATTTCGTTGCTGCGTTTGCTATACCACAGCGCCTTCCTTGATTACACGGACAATCGGTGGTTTTGTTCTCAGCACAGAACAAGCCTGACAAGAAGATGAAGAATGTCTCCAGTCATTGCCTGCGGCGGGAAGACAATGGCGGCCCGGCGGCTTGAAGGTTGCAGACTGACATTGGCTCTTGCATCAACACCTCTGCGCTCACCGACACCACGCATCACCAAGGTGACAGTCTGTATCGATAATTATCCCTCAGTCACCAAGACTTGTAGTCAGCACCGTCGCTATGAAGCGATGAAGGTTGCTGCTTCCCTGCAGTTTGCTTAAGCTGTGCACTGGCCTTGGTCTAAGAGCACTCGTACATGCAGCTCGAGAAGAGACTCAAAGTAATCTGGGTGTGCAAGTAATCTAGGTGTGCAAGTAATCTAGGTGTGCAAGTAATCTAGGTGTGCAAGTAATCTAGGTGTGCAAGTAATCTAGGTGTGCATGTCGTATTCGATGCTTCTGGTCTGCAGTCAACACTGGACAGAGTGCTGAAAGCCACCAGGCCGGGAAGCACGATCTAGAATGTGGCAACCTATTCCAGTCACCCGCAGCTCAACCCTAATGATCTTGTCTTTCTTAGGAAAAGTGTACAGTGAAGTGCGGACCGTGCACAGAAGGCGGAGAAGAGCATTCAAAGGGATTGCTGGAATGGAAGAGCATACCAAAATCCTCGTCAGGCCATTCGAGACTGACTGGTGCAATTAAAGTCGCCATCGGGATTGCTTTCCAGGCAGAAATTGCGACCTCTCACGCCCCCATTTGCACATGCGCCATGAATCGTGATCTGCCATTACCGAAGTTGCATGAGGAAAAGCGCCATTCACCGGTCTCGTCTGCCCTCCAGTCGGTTTGTCGTCCCGAACCTGCAAGCATCGTTTCTAACCTGAGGAAGAAAAGCGTGATATAAGGCCGGTGTGTGATCCATGACGATGGCATCATGGGACACCGGCTCCCTGCATGACTTTCTTTCCTGCTGCCGAGCTCCAACCCCTCTGAAATAATATGCGCCGTCAATGTCATCTTGGGTGAAATCTGAGTCGACATGTCGGATAGACAGTCTCCCGCAATGCCCTGAGCGTGGCATCACAACGCATCGATTTTCAGAGATGGCTGATTTTTGATGCTACAGAGTTGACGACAGCCGTCACCGCCACCTCAGGCGCGCCAAAACTACGAACCTGTCGATTCTCGGTCGCTGAGGAGGATTTCATTCACGACTGCGTTCTTGTGCACACCCGTCGGCACAGAAATTCTCTCGGAAAGCATGGATAATAACGAACGCTCCACCAGTCAAGATGACATCTCTCAGGTAGCATCCAGAACCACGTCTCGGGTCACTGCCAGAGACTATGCAGAAGAGCCTCTATCACGATCTACCTCCCAAGTGCCTCCTCGCACCAGATATGCCGATTTCAACTTTGGGCCGGGAAGTCTACGGCACCGCGTCAGCAACCTCGATCGCATGAGCAACCTGGCAACGAGTCCAAGTCCCGGTCCCACACATGGTTGGAGGCACTTTGACCAGATGTCCACACGACGGTCTGTTGCTATTGCACCGCCGTCGATTCGAGACAATACCGACACTGAGTCGCGCAAGTTCTCACTGGCAGGTCCAGCGACCATTGATACGGTAGCCGCAAACCAGACATACGTCGACCCCGGGTATGCACAACTTAATCCTGCATATGACCAGCCTGTCAATGTCCGACCGGTATGGGGCCTGGCCAAACCTCTGCCACGCGTATTGAGGCCTGGGATGGTCCCAACGAAGGACGAGCTCGAGACCGAAGCGCCAGAGGAAGGCGAAACACAACCTCCGGTAGATATCGAAGCCGGCAGGATCGAGCCTTCTCTTCGACCGGACAAAGTCGCCTCCACACTCGACACGGTCCGCCGCGAGCGAGAGATTGCCCTCATCAGAGCCTATGAGAACCAATATAATGAGTCGCCAGGCTTTTCACCGTTTGGTGGCGCCGCCGCCAGACGGACTTCGGATGCACCAACTGTGACACCCAGTGCTCGAGTTCGGCTAGAAGAACCCATCGAAGAAGAGTCGTCCGATCGGTCACAGCCACAAGTCGAACCCCCAGAGTTGTCGTTGCCTGAGGCAGTGGCGGGCTTGAAGGCAGCCAAAGAGGAGGACGGCGAGTCCCGAGTACCGTACGAAGATGCTGTTCCTTTGTCAGCATACGACGCTGAAGACGATGAAGTTCACAACCTGCACACATACTGGTCGATCATCAGGCTGCGGCTTCGAGAGCCACTTGCCGAGCTGCTAGGGGTACGTCTTACTGGGCCTCCCTGGGTTTCCCAGAGCCAAACCAGAGCAACTAACGATGCGCTTTCCTGCAGATAACAGTTCAATACACTCTTGGTTTCAGCGCCAACCTCAGTATGACTGTCTCCCGTGGCACCGCCGGCGTGGGCGACACCGGCATGTGGGCATGGGGGTTGGCGACCATGCTCGCGATCTACGTCGCCGGTGGCATATCCGGAGCTCACTTGAATCCGGCAATTTCACTCATGTTGTACATCTACCGTGGCTTTCCCTTGAGCAAAGTACCGATATACGTCGCCGCGCAGATGCTTGGAGCCGTTCTTGCGACCCTGATCAGCTTTGGAATCTTCCAGCCGGGGCTGATTGCGTTGATCCATGACGAACGGGTCAGCCTCCAACGGCAGTCAGCGCCACCCATCGACATGCCCACAGGCACGGCCCATACGACATCAGATTTGTCGTTGCCACCTTCGTACATACTCACCGTCCTGTCGAACTTTCTGACATTTCCCCGCTCCCCGTGGGTTTCCGTGCCCGTCGCCTTTTTCACCGAATTCACGGCAACATGTCTCTTGACAATCTCTGTCCTCGCGCTGGGCGACGATACGAACGCCCCTCCTGGCGCCGGCATGAACGCATTCATAGTCGGGCTACTCATAACCATGCTAGGCATGTCCTTCGGGAGTATCACAGGTCTGGCCATGAACCCCGTGCGAGACTTTGGTCCTCGGGTCACCATGCTCCTTCTCGGCTATGGCACGCCTAGCACCTTGTTCGGCGATGGCTACTGGTTCAAAGTCAACTGGTTGGGACCTCTTATGGGGGCTATCTTCGGTGGTTTCTTGTATGACGCCGCCATCTTTGTCGGTGGCGAGAGCCCTGTCAATTACCCAAGTAGACGGATGAGGAGGGCGGCCAGGAAATGGCGAAAGAGATGGAAGGTCAGGATGGGATGGAATGGGAGGGTGAAGACGGGTAAGGCGCAGAAGTAGCTGGTGATGAATATTGTGTGTGAAGCGATTTCCGGAAGACGCGTTTTTATGTACTTCCTCGAGCTTGGGGGTGAGGGCGGGCTAGACTGTACAATGTTAATGTCGAGAGGATAGGTCTGCAACTTCTTGCTCGTATGCCGGGTGGTATACTGGAGTAATTCTATGACTTTCTCTCTGTCACTCGAGACTCACCGAGCCGATTGGTGACATGCGGGGGAAAAGGACAATCGTCTGCTGCATTGACAATGAACAAGGACTCATTCTTTGTTCTCCGCATTCCGCTCAAGAATACTCGACTACTGCGTCCGCAGTTCCAGTCCACCATTCGCCTAGGATCCCTATTCACAGATACTCACGATGGACTTTGCGGCAAAGGGCGCTGTGGCGCTATCAGAGAAAGACTTCCTCGCAGCATTGACATTCTACACCAAAGCCTTGATCGACCATCCTTCCTCACCAGACTACTTCACGCAGCGGTCCGTCGCCTTCAGCCGTCTCTCCCCGCCACGCCATGACCTCGCGCTCAGAGACGCAGAGTATGCCGTCTTATTGGGCCAGAAACGTGCGAAGAGAGAGAAGATCCAAGCGGCGCAGCAGAGAAGAGTCGTCGCTCTCCACGGTCTCGGACGGTACGCCGACGCCAAAGCCATTCTAGAGACGACCGAGAGGTGGAGACCGCAGGACAGCAAGCCAGCAAAGATGGAGTGGGACATGTGGATGGCTAGGATCGAGAACAAGCTGAAGGGTGTCCCTGAGTCGGAGCGAGTGTCGATGGAGAAGGAATACCCTGCGATCGAGCTGCCGAGCGAGACCAAGGTGAAGGCGTGGCTACAGTCCCAGCTCAAGTCAGACGGCTCGTTCAAATTTGAAGGCGACGCCGAATCCGAGTCCAAGTCCAAGGAGACAGAATCTGCCTCAGCCGGTACAGCGGGCTCTACAAACGGCACCAACGGCAGCGGCAGCGGCAGCGCGAGATCAGCCGAGCCCCAGACCGCAGTTCCCTGGATCCCGACCAAGATCCGCCATGAATGGTATCAGTCGCCCCAGACCGTGACGATAACGCTCTACGTCAAGGCTGTCCCAAAAGACAAATGCGAGATCGACATCCAAGAAGGCTCGGTGCACATCTCCTTCCCTCTCCCGTCGAATCCATCGTCGACCTACTCCTTCGTCCTCGACCCGCTGTTCGCCCTGATCGACCCATCGCAAAGCAAGGCCGCGGTGCTGTCCACGAAGGTGGAACTCACGCTGAAGAAAGCGCAGCCCGGCCAGAAATGGCACAACCTGGAGGGCACCGCTCCCTTGAAGCCGTCCGCGTCAGATACAACTATGCGAGATGCCGACCACGCAGCCAGATCAGCCGTGATGAGTACCCTCGCAAACAAACCATCTGCGCAGGCGCCCTCATCAACGACACCCAAAGAAACAGCCCCGGCATACCCTACATCGTCCCGCACGGGCCCCAAGAACTGGGACAAACTCGCCGACGATCTGGTAGCGAAGACGAAAGCGAAAGGAAAGGGGAAAACGAACACGCAGGCAAAGGGAAAAGACGAATCAAACCAGAACCCCAACCCCGAGCAATCGACGTCATCTAAGGAAAAGACAAAATCAGACGACACCCCCTCCAAGGACGACGGATCCTCAGATTCTGAAGCCGACGACGCCTACGATTCAGACATGGGCGGCGATGCCGTCGATGGCTTCTTCAAGAAACTGTACGCCGGCGCGGACGACGACACGCGCCGCGCCATGATGAAATCCTTCTACGAAAGTAATGGCACGGCGCTGAGCACGAACTGGAAGGACGTGGGGGCGAGACACGTCGACGAGGTGAAGAGCAGTCATGACTGACAAGACAAGAGACAGGTGAGGAGTGAGCCGTGATCCTTGATTAGTGAGAAGTCAATGAGAAATGGGTTGAAAATACCTGGCAGGAGGGATTTTCAGCCAGCAAGAATAAGAGGCGTGGAGGGAACAGCCTCAGCCTATCGTAGGTCGGTGTATCATCGCGCTATGGGACTAGACATGCGATATGGGATTCATGTGATAATGAGCAGTTTCAATGGGAGCGAGATTCTAGCGTCTTCAGCCACGAGCCGTCAGCCGTGAGTGTGTGGCGAGCCATTATCAATTTGACTATTCTATGTACTACCACAAAAAGTATCGCGAAGAGCGAAGAGCGAACTTGCAGAATGAAAATGTACCATACGACGATATGATCATAAGTATAAGTATGAGGACGAACATGAGGACAGGCAGGAGGATGCCATTTCTACTTCCGACTTCTCTGACGTCCCACCCACGTCTCGTGTCTACAGTGGTAAACTCATATGATCGTGGCCTCATACCAACAAACAGTCACTCACTCACTCGCTCACTCTCTTACTTAGTCACATCCAACTCTTCGTCTCTCCCAATCTCATCTTCTCAGGCTCCCCACCCGTCCTCCCGACGAGGACCTCGCCCTTCGCTCTCTTCAAAAACAGCCCATCCCCAGGTCGGCCGAGTATACCTTTCCCCGGACCTTCCGCTAGTTCTAGATCTCTATCCCACTTGACCTGGCCCCTCAACAGAACATACCTGGGCCAATTCGTGACCTGGAACCCCTCGAACGGCGTGTAATCGATACTGTGATGGAGCATGTCGTTGGTGATGGTGATGGTCGGGTTATCTCGCGACGCGCCACCTGCACGGGGAGAGTGGGGATACCACACGACCAAGTCGGCGTCATACCCGGGGGCGATGGACCCCTTGCGGCCCGCGAGGCCATACATGCGCGCGGGGTTCGTGCTCGTCAGGGCGACGAACTTGGGCAGCGTGAGTGTTCGGGCGGCGCTCGCGGTCACGGAGGCTTCCGTCGCCGCGGAGAACAGGAGCGGCAACCGCGTCTCGATCCCGGGCAGGCCGTTGGGCGTGTTCGCGAAGCTGGGCGGGATAGTCGTCTTTCCTGACTCGTACTCGTGGACGGGTTTCTTCTTGCCTAGGGGGTTATGGTACTGGCTGGGCGCGTGGTCTGACGAAATCACCGTGATGGTGCCGTTGGTGACCGCGTCCCAGACGGATTGGAGGTCTTTGTCGTCGTGACGGAGGGGTGGGGCACAAATGTGGCGTGCACCGGCCCATTCGTCCACTTCTTCTCCTGGCTTGCCGTCGACATTGCCGTCTAGATGGGCGTGGGAGTGGTCTTCGCCTTCAAACGGGTGACTCGTCGCCCCTAGCCGTTCGCTCTTCAGGAACATGTAGTGCGGACAGGTCTCCGCGTGGATGGGCAGCATTTGCTTGGACTGGGCTTTCCGGGCATGCGACAGCGCAGCAGGACTGGACATGTGGACGATCAGGATGGGCGTTGCGGTGAGTGTAGAGAGCGAGATGGCGCGGTAGGTGGCTTCTGTTTCTGCGATCTGGGGCCGCGCCACGGCGTGGTACTTCGGCTGGGTGTGTGAGGATGAGAGGAGGCGGCTCGTGATCCTGTTCCGCACGTTCAGTGTGTTTTACTCGCCTTGCGGAAGGATGCATGGATGCCCAGTCAAAGTCAGGCACACCTCGGCCCCACTCACATATCAATCATATCAGCATTCTCAGCGTGCACCATGACCGTCATGCCCACCTCACGACACCTCATCATAACGTCCAACATCTCGCGATCGCCCAGTCGATATGCCGGATAGGTCATGTAGAGCTTAACGCTCGTGATTCCTTCTCGCTCAACCATGATTTTCAACTCGCCTTCTTTTTCGTCCTTTGGATCGTTCCCATCCGCCTCCCTGTCGATCTTCGCTGTCATCACGTGGCCGCCCAGTATCTCAGGCCCGGGCCTCGACACGATCAAATGGAAGCCATAGTCCACGAAACTCTGGCCTGCAGCTCTGGCGTGATAGTCACGCACAACAGGGAAGAGACTCTCGTCGGTACGCTTCTGTGTCGCGAACGCCAGGATCGTTGTATTCCCTCCACAGAGTGCAGACCGGCTGCCACTCAGCCATTTGTCCCCGGTGGGGGCATTGTCTTGGTGCAGGTGGACGTGCGAGTCCACACCTCCAGGAGTCACGTATGCGCCCTCGGCGTCGATGACGCGCGTCGATGGCGTGCACGGGAGAGAGATGGCGATGGCGACGATTTTGCCGCCGTGTATGCCGATACTCAGGCCTGGTGGGAGAACTTCCGTCGCTGTTACCTAGGGGTTGAATAGGAGTTCAGCCTTGGCTTACCTTGTCTTCTCTTAGAGGGTAGGCTGGTAGTCAGTTGGCAATACTTACGATGGTCGCGTTCTTGATGATGAGGTCGAGGTCCATTGCAGAGGCTCAGGTTCCGGTATGTGCCAAGAGAGCGAGGCTGCCTGGGCCCAACCCAAGCGGTCTCACTTCAATGTACTGCGTACATCGGTCGGGGATGTGCTGCTAGTCGTATTCTTATCTGGAATCCTATGCTGCCCCAGCGGGTTGAAACGAACCGGATATTGAACAGAAAGGAGCGACTGGACACGCCAACTATGCTGTAGATGTCGCACTGCGCTACCAGCAGAGGCGACCAGAAGTACAATGCATTAACAATTGCTTGGTGAAAACTGAACCTCCCTCAAGTTGTAGAGGCAGATATCATCGTGGAGACGTACATGTCAGCGGACAACTCCGGCGGCAATGTACAAGCTGTGTTCCAGCCCCAGTGGTATGCAGGGACGGGAATATTGAAGTTGGGCATTCGCACTATCGGCGACAGTATACATGTGGCGTGGTGACTTTACGCATCTTTCTTCATCTGCTCTTGCATCTCATGCTCGGTCGTAGCTCAAAGACGGGCCAGCCTTTCCTCCAGGCTGGGTTGCATGGGACGAGAGCCCCGAGCCCGTGCGTGAAAGGCCCCTGTCCCGGTAGATGGCTGGCAGTTCATTCTGGTCTGACCCGCCAGTTGGATTCCTGGTATAGAAGGTATGAAGTTGATGCAGAGTGTGCCGCCATGGCTGTACCCCAACGAAAGAGTGTCACATACTCATGGGATACTGACCGCGCTGCCTTAACGCCGCGCATTGGAGTCCGAGGAACCGTTGCTGTGATCTGTCTGTGATCTGTAATCGAAGGAAAGTCTCATGTTCCGTCGGCGCCTCGGACCGATGAATGATGCAATTGGAGAAGCTTTTCTCACATTGAGCCTTTCAACCCACTTGGACTTTTCTCTTTGCTGGGAGTACTCGCAATTACTGTACCGTCTGCTCGTCTCCAATCTGCAAACAGTTCTGGGACGTCCTTTCATTGGGTTTCCAGCTCAATCTTCTCTTGCCAACATGGCGACCGCCTTAAGAACATCAGTTCGACGCTTTGCAACCACAGCCGTGCGGGCAGCAGCTGCCGAGCCGACAGTCAATGCGTATGGGATACGCGTGTCGAAGGCTCAAGGCGTGGTAGACACATTTGCCGGAGGTACGACTTCGACACGAATCCGTAGGTTACAAGCTCAATGCTAACGGTTGTAGCTATCGGCAACACTCCCCTTATCCGCCTGAAGAAGCTCTCCGAACAAACCGGCTGCAACGTCCTGGGCAAAGCCGAATTCCAAAATCCCGGCGGCAGCGTGAAGGATCGAGCCGCACTGTACGTCGTCAAAGATGCTGAAGAGCGCGGTCTGCTCAAGCCCGGCGGCACTGTCGTCGAAGGAACGGCTGGCAACACTGGAATCGGCCTTGCCCACGTGTGTCGAGCAAAAGGGTATAACCTCGTGATCTACATGCCCAACACGCAATCCCAAGGCAAGATTGATCTGTTGAGATTGTTGGGTGCTGAAGTGTACCCCGTCCCAGCCGTCGCGTGGGAAAACCCGGAGAACTATAACTGGCAAGCGAAACGACATGCCGAGAGATTATTGAAAGAAGATCCGGAACATGGCGCCGTGTGGACGAACCAGTTCGACAATACCGCCAACCGGAGAGCGCATATTGAGACCACGGGACCGGAGATCTGGGCGCAAACAGATGGGAAGCTCGATGCGTTTACCTGCGCGACCGGGACCGGTGGAACACTGGCTGGCGTGACTCGCTTTCTGAAGGACGTCAGCAATGGATCGGTCAAATCTTTTCTGGCAGATCCCCCGGGCTCGGTATTGCACTCATATATCCAATCCGGCGGGCAATTGAAGGAACGATCCGGCGGCAGTATAACCGAAGGCATCGGTCAAGGTCGCGTCACTGATAACCTGAAGCAAGAAGTCAACGAACTCGACGGCTCACTTAACATCTCCGATGAAAAGACCATAGAGATGGTCTATCGCTGCCTCGATGAGGAGGGCCTGTACCTCGGAGCAAGCAGCGCCTTGAATGTCGTTGCCGCAAAGGAAGTCGCTGAGAAATTGGGCCCGAACCATACAGTCGTCACTGTGCTATGTGACGGGGCGTATAGGTATGCGGACAGACTGTTCAGTGACAAATGGTTAAGGAGTAAGAATCTGAGGGATGCGATTCCGACGCACCTGCAGAGGTACATCGTTTTGCCATGAAACGTCGAAGCAACTTGAGGATGAGGCCACAAAGCCAACCTGTCACTTGATCTCGGGTTTGTGAGCTGCTCCAGCACTCGCAGCCGGGCGCTTTGCTTGCTCAGCTATGGACAGCAGCCGTGTCTTCCTGGGCAGATCCGCAAGCTATGGTATTGCCCGACTCTCTTGGCCAGGTCGCAGGACACCTCACCGGCCTAGAGAACCCGGCTTTGGTCAATCCACCTCGAGGCAATCCGCGGAAAAGCAGCTCGCCTCGAAGCAATCTGTCCGTCCGAGCTCTCCAGCATTGTGAAGGATCCACACCTTGACTGTAATACTCCGCTACACGCACCACTTGTGCTCAATCACCCGGCGGCCTTATTGTCTCATCTGAAAATCATGTCACCAGACCACCTTCTTGTCTCGGGCGCACATTTCCTAGCCACAAACTCTCAGGTCCGTCGTCTTGTATCGGGGCCAGAATCCTCATAGCACTGAATGCTCTTGATCCAGTACTGAGTGTGGTGGCAGTAGTCTTGCTCATTGGTAATGCCCCAGGAGCCCTCACCCGTGCAGTCAGGATTGCTGTACAACATGCACTCAGCGAAGGAACTGGTACACTCGGAGATCCAGACGTTGTCCATGCCGATCCAAAGCGGATGGCAAAAATAGTCATTGACGACGAGTTCTTCGACCGCTGAGATGTTGTTAGCATCCGTGCAATGACAACACAGCGAAGGGGGGGGTGGTCGAGAAGATCCAACCTCTCTGAGGACACTCACAGTTTTGACCGCAGCCCGCGTCGTTGAACTGGAAGATACAGCACTCGGTGCAGGTGGAGCTGGATCACACAGCCTGTTAGCGCTTTTTTCGCCCTAGCAAATGCCCGCGAGTTGCTCCGCCAGTCAAGGCTTCGGCAAACAGTTAAGGAAAGATGATGGAGAGATGAGAGGAGCCACGGAAGTGACAAGACTTACCAGCCAGCTTGGTTTGGGGGCTGACCAGCAGGGCAGGCGGTTTCCATGCTGGTGTTGCGAGCGGCGAGAGAATTGGTCATATGGACTGCAAGACCTCCGACAGAGGGCAAGGCACTTGCGACCGGGAGATTGACATGGGTGAGCAATGCGAGGGCCAGCACGAGAATCAGGTTCTTGACAGTGAAAGCCATGTTGACTGATTTAGAGCAGAGTGTTCTGATGTTGTCGATGGGGGTCAATGGTGTTTGTCTGAAAAGTGATTGCGCGAAGCAAAAGATCTTTGTCGAAGCTGGCAAAGGTAGAGAAAGGCGACGAACGACAAGAAGGTTCTTGTTCTACCCGTGAGAGGTGAGAGACAGCGGCATCGATACCTGGTATTCACACGTCTAGGCCATGTCACGCCCTGCCAATGTCATGGTCTTCACTTCACTTGGCTTCACTCACAGATCCGTCTTGCTCGAGGCTGAGATCCCCACAAGGCGGTAACGTTCCAACGCCACGCAGGACAAGGGAGAAGTGAAGTAGTCTTTGTGAAGGTAAATGTGCTCGTGAGGTGACCTTGAAGCTCACAGTTTTGTCTGCAATTTCTTCTAGCTGAGCCAAGGCATGCGATATACAGAGTACGTTCCAAGCAGTGCCCACAGAGAAGGAGCAGAAGTACGGAGTAATGGAGCATGACTCCATTCCGTGCAAAGACTGGCCACCACGAAGAGCAGGGATTTCTTCGACACGGTTTACCAGCAAAGACCCTGACAACCCTGACATTCGATCCGCGAAAACGCTGATGATCGATTCAGCTTGTCCAGACTAGAGGGCATGGAGTATCCGATGAGAAAGCCACAGGCAGACACTCCCTACAGAACATAGGACACAACACTCTCGGAATAGATAGTGTATTGGCAACCTTTTTGGTTCCCTCATGTCCTGCATGCTGAACCCTCCCGAGATGCGTCTACTGTTAAAGAAAGACGGGGCCACTAAGTTGGGCTGGGCCCCTTCTTCCACCATCACCCTGATGTCTATCTATACCCAGCCATTCGACACGACAAGATCCCGAACACACCAGCACCAGTACCAGCATCATCACCACATTGCGCCGAACAATAATCAAGAAAGGGAGCATTAAAAAGCTGACAAACCGGGGGGAAGGATAAAACCAGGGTTCATGTGGAAAAAGATCGGACAAAAACGCCAGGATGCGCCGGCTGCCCGTAATCTATCAGTAACCGCCCCTTGTGCGAAAGGCGGCAAACAGGATGATGCTGCTTTCTTGGGAGCGTTCATTGAATGTCCAGCAGCCCATACCCGATAGCTTCGCGATTTGCACTGATGCCTCCATCCAATGGACATCATGCACTCTGCCCAGCACAAGGACACTGTCTAGTGCTTCGCAGTGACTTTCTCACCGGTGAGTTTCTCAACGGCCTCCTTTGCACTATTGGATATTGTAAGTAAGCGTTCTCGATGAGATGTGTAAGGGCCACGTCGGCGGGCACTTACATATCACCCAGGGCAACCATGCAAATGGTTTGCCAGACACCAAGACCTATACGAGGGGCGACGCCACGATATAGACCCCTGATACCGTTGTTGCTGTAGATGTAGGTCAATGTCTTTCCCACGGTCAAGTTCTTCGGTCGGTTGGGATCCGCCGACTTGCTCTGCATCTCGACACGGATGACTTCGATGGGCTGATTCCAGGCGGAGAGACCACCGCCCAGACCGCTGGCGAGGATCTTTTCGAATGCGCTCATCTTCTCGCCGTTCTCTTTGCCGGTAACCTTTCGGATACCCTGCTCGGCCAGTCTAGAAAGACCGAACCGGGACCCCCAGTTGGTGACCTGACGGATAGCGACGGCGTTGACACCTTTGTTGATACCCCTGATGCCTTCTTTTCTGTAGATGTCGGCGAAGGTGGTGAACGTCGAGGGAGGCTTGATGCCCTGTGCGGCCATCTTATGCTGGGTGATCTCCACGGTCTTCATGCACGTGCAGAAACCCATGGTCGCGTACGCTTGAGCCAACCCGCCGACCATACCACCAGTGATCCCGGCCACGAAGTTGCCAGCGCCGAAGGTCTTCGCATAGTACTCGGCCTCGGAGGCGACGAACAGGAGGACGGCACCTTTGGTGGATGCCTCGATCCAGGCCCACGGGATGAGACCTTGGTAGACTATCCAGCGACATCTCAGTTAGCCGAGGCGCTTCATTTCTCACCCGCCCAGGCGACGTGCATCCGATGACTTACAGCCAAAGACACCACCGCGACCCCATATCCGCGTCATGGCACCGGCGAACGTGTCTGATCGGTGGGCGGCCATGGTTGTCTTGACCACTTCTAGAGGCTGTCCCAGGGTGGTGACCTCAAACAAGTTGAGACCAGCGCCGAGGAGCAAGTTGCTGAACTTGACGGGCTTCTTCTCGATTTTCTGCGGCCCAGGCGCAGGGGCCAGGACAGCTTGGGCGGACATCGTTGGAAGACGTGAGTGATTGTCTACCCTGACCAAGGGAATATGAGGGCTTCGTCGCCTGAGGATTTAGTAAATTGGACGAAAAGGTGCAGGCAGGAGTCTGCTGCAGGCAAGAAGCGAGTATACGAATACACTGCAATCAAAAAGTAGGAGCGGAGATTGAGACGCAGAGTCGGAGGTGATTTGACGATGATGCTCACAGGCGTTCGGAGTTGGGTTGTTCAGCTGTGAGAAGTCCTTCGGTGAAAGAAGGACTGTGAGATCTTTCGTCCAGCAGCATATCGGCGCAGGCACCTCGACAAAACCCCCATACGGGCCAAAACAAGATTAGTGTGGCTGTGGCTTCGGCGTGTTGAGGGCTCTGCGGGCTCTTGAGGGCGTGGTCCGCTTGTTGCTTCGGCCGCCGCCTCCTTAAATTGTGGGTCGATTGGCCCCTGTTTGGCTAGCTAGGGCCACCCAACGGGCCCTCTCGATCTCAACATCCGAAAATGAAAAGTTTCACGAGATTGAATCGCCGTCCGGAGTACACGACGCACGCCTCTCAGCACTGTCTCACACAGAGCGTGGCTGTCCGTCTACTGTACTCCATGTAATGCCAGTTGAGGCTTACGGGACCATATGGAGGCTGAGAAATAGCAGTTTTATATTGTGAAAAGACGCGAGAGACCGAGTAGACGTGAAATCTGCACCCAACAGCGCTCGTCATTAAAAAAAATGGCATATCGAACGGTGGATCAGATCCCATCCTGGCCGTACAGGCGTCCCGCAATTGCCCATCACCTTTCCCCTTTTGATACATACAAGTCTGCTCGCAGTGTACAACTCTTTCTCGGGTCCGAAGTCTACAACGAAGCGCCGACCAGCTTCGCATAAGCGTCAGTGCTGAATGACTTGGGTCGCTCGATAGGAGCACCGAGAGCACGATCGATGATGAGCTGCGGCAAGACACCGAGAGCGCGCGAGACACCGAAGAGGACCGTGTAGTAGTTGGCTTCCGTCAAGCCATAATACTGCAGGAGGACGCCGGAGTGCTAGATAGGGTGTCAGTACAGGGAGGAAAATGCGGAATCTGGGCACGACTTACGGCATCAACGTTGGGGTACGGGTTCTTGGTCTTGCCATGCTCGGTCAACACACCAGGAGCAATCTTGTAGACCTGGCTGACAAGCTTGAACATGGGGTCGTTGGGGAGCTTGCGAAGGGCGAACTCGCGTTGCGACACATAACGAGGATCAGTCTTGCGCAGGACAGCGTGACCATAACCAGGGACGACACGACCGCCGTTGAGGGTCTCCCACAAGTAGTCAGTGATCTTCTTGTCACTGAGATCGTCACCGATGCTCTGCTTCATCTTGGTAAGCCAGTTCAAGACTTCCTGGTTGGCCAAGCCGTGCAAAGGACCAGCCAGGCCGTTCAGACCGGCGGCCAGCGACAGCATGGGGGAGCTCAAGGCGCTGCCGACCAAGTGGGTCGTGTGAGCGCTCACGTTACCGCCCTCATGGTCAGAGTGGATGGTGAGGTACAGACGCATGAGCTCGACAAAGTCTGCGTTCTCGCCGTAGCCAAGCTGGTTGGCCAAGTTGAAGCCATAGTCCTTGTCTTTCTGGATAGGAGCGACCTTGCCGTCCTTGTATGCGTTGCGGTAGATCTTAGCTGCGATGGTGGGCAACTTGGCGATCAGGTTCATCGAGTCCTCGAAGGTGTATGACCAGTATTCTTTCTTGTTGATGCCCTTGGCATAGGCTTTGGCGAACTCGGAGGTGTGTTCGAGAGCAACGACGGCGATCGAGAACTGTGCCATAGGGTGCATGTCGCTGGGGCAGCGATCGATGAGCTCTTCGACGAACTTGGGCAGATCGGACCGTGCAGCCCAGTCGGCGGACAGGTCGCGGACCTGCTGCTCAGAAGGAACCTCGCCGGTCAAGAGGAGCCAGAAAAGACCTTCAGGCAGAGGCTCTTCGCCGCCAGGAGCTTTGGGAAGGACTTCCTGGCATTCCGGGATGGTTCGGCCACGGAACCTGATACCCTCTTCCGAGTCAAGGACAGATCCTTCCCAGACCAGCGACTTGATGCCTCGAGCACCGCCGTAGACTTGATCTAGGGTGACCTCGCCGATAACTTTAGAGCCATAGTCCTTTCTCAGCTTCTTGACTTTCTCGACCTCTCCTGGGAGTTTCGCAGCGAAGACCTCTTTCAGAGTCTAGCGAACAGCTACGGTCAGTGAGGAAGCTCTCAATTGGTTCATAGGGAAGCTCACTTGTGTGCTGGCGGCGCGGACGCCATTGAACGCGGCCTTCTGGACCAGAGGCCGTGTAGAAGAACGGAGCAGGGAGCTCCCCAAGCGTAGTGAAGAGGCCATCGTGGTAGTAAGGAGATGTGACTGAAGGAAAGCAGGCAAGACGAGAGTTACGTCAAGGAGCGTGAAGGAGTGCGGGAAAAAAGTGCAAGATAGCAAAACAAATTTAGGGAGGAGAAAGCTGCAAGATGATGAGAACCCTCGATTGAGATGGGGCCGCCCAAGGTTCGGATAGGTGGTCCTTCAACTAAACCTTACGTCGTTGCCAATTGGGGTGCAACAACCAGCCAACAGCGGTGCTCCGCAAGCCACAGGGGAGCTAGGTCCCCTTCACCCAGAAGCTACTTCGCAGTCCGAAGTTCCTTGTGTGCGAAAATCACGTGAGACACGGAACAAACCTCTTCCTCCCGGACTTCGCTGCCCTCCGGCTGCGTCAAAATCTCCGCTCTTCGTCTACCGACCATTTCTGACCTTCGACCTCCTCTTTCCTCCACTTCATCACCCGTCGATCCATCACCATCGACTCATCACCATCGCGCTTCATCCGTTTCGCCGTCTATGCTGCTCAATAGTGTCATCAGATTGTAAAAGACCTCGTCACGGGTACTTCACCTCTGCTGCGTACCGTCGCTAGTTCCTCAGGCCTGCCACTGCCTGTCGCAGTTGCCACACGCGCTGTAGAACTCCTCGTGCGAGGCCGCGTCCTACAATAAGAAGGAGAAGACGAGAAGAAATTGCCATACAACTGCACTGCGGATCACTTCTACTTCGCCAGTGCCTGAAGTCCATAAAACGCTCTGACTGGGGAATCCTTGCACTCGCCTAGATCGGATCAACTCCCACCTGCTTGGTGCCTATTCTCTAGTCCGAGCATCTCTATTTTGCAAAGCAATCGTCGTCTGGACGGCTGTAGGCGAATCACTGGTACACCATGTCTTCCGCAGTAGCGGAGCTGGACTCGATTTTGCAGTCCATGCTCAATCTCAAGCCGCCCGGAGTATCAGGCTCAAAGATCACATCCATCACCAGTCTGTGCACAGCAAATGTTCAAGTACGTCGATCTGTTACCTACGTCCGCCTGCACTGTCTGTAAACTGACCCCGTCATAGTCCGAATCAGTCCTCATCCAGAAACTCTACACCCATTTCAAGAAGACGCCAGGAACACACAAATTAGGAGTACTCTACGTTCTAGACTCGGTGACGCGACAGTGGGTAGATCAGGCCAAAAAGTCAGGTCAGCAGCTGGGTAGCGGAGCTCCTGATGGGACCTTTGCTGCTGGTGTGACTCGAGTGACTGAACTGCTGCCCGTGCTCATGAACGATATTATCGCCACTGCGCCCGACGATCAAAAGGTATGCTTATCTTGTCTACCGCACCGTTAAGCCAGAAGCGGATGTAGCATCCCCTCCCCCTTTGCGTGAGGCAGGCCTCTGGGTGCTTGCTTAGCCATAATCCTTCACTGTTTGCTAGCTTCTTTGAACCGAACTCACCTCTTTTTCCCGATTATTAGGTCAAAATCAAGAAACTCTTGGAAATCTGGGAACGATCAAACACATTTCCTGCACCACTGCTCGCTTCACTCAAAGAGAAACTAGATGCACCTAAAGGTATACCAATATTCGCTCTTCCTCTGCACGGATCGCCAATCTAATTCTGATGTAGTTTCGACCACACCTGAAGGATCACCAGCGCCCGGTTTTGTACCACTCGGTCACGCAGCACACACTGACGCCGTTGCAGCGAAGCCTCCTCCGCAGCAACAGGACACCTCAGCCATCCTGGAAGCCCTCAAAAACATGGCGAAACAGAATTCTGCCGCGCAACCAGCTGCACCGGCACCCGCGCAAGCTAGTTTGAATAATCTGTTAGGCGCGCAAAATGGGATCCCTCAACCGAACAGTACCGTAATCCCGGGATCTGCTTCTGGTGTCGCTGCTGGGCAGGCCGTAAACCCGCTTGGAGCTCTATTTGCTGGGTTGAGTAATGGTGTACAAAGCCAGAGTCCTGCAAATGTACCTGCAAATCCGCTTGCTGCTTTCTTGCCTCAACAAGCTCCAGCTCTGGCAGTGCCACAGCCATCTGCTCCCTTAGGCCAAGATCCTCAAGCACACATGCAATTCCAGCTCCTGCAGATTTTGGCCGGTCAGGGTGTGCCTCCTGATCAATGGGCTACTGCTCTACAGTTGCTGGCGAATGGCGGTGGTGCGACCGTGCCGCCCGCTGCGTCGGGAAACAATTGGACCCAAGGACAATCACGTGACGGCCAAACCCGCTCCCCTCCCACCCAGTACCGGCGTCGGTCACGCTCCCCTGGCTTCGATAGGCGCCGCGATCCGTCCCCTCGACGTGGCCGTCGGGATAGTCCAGGAGCTGACGGCTATCGTAATGACCGCGACGGTAGACGTGGTGACTACCGCCAACGCAGTCCGATGCGGAATAGACGTCGAAGCCCTTCACCCACAGGCGATTCGAAGCTTCCTCCACCAGGCCCAAAGAACGTCCAATTTGACTCTGCACTTCCCCGGGGCCACATCAAAGTCTTCAGTCGAACACTCTTTGTTGGAGGTGTCACTTCATCGGAGGCTCATTTGCGGAGCTTGTTCAGTGCCTATGGTGTGGTACAAACCTGCATTGTCAACATTGACAAACGCCACGCTTTCATCAAGATGATCAATCGCCGGGATGCAGAAAGCGCGCGTGCGGGCATGGAAGAGCACAAGTCGGGAGACATGCAACTTCGCGTAAGTCGAAACCTGGCTCCTGGCATGGACGAAAACTAGCTGAACTGACAATCTAGCTGCAGACTAAATGGGGCGTTGGCTTTGGACCACGTGACTGCAGCGATTATCAAACTGGCGTTAGCGTCATTCCGATCGAACGCCTCACGGATGCCGATCGCAAATGGCTCCTCACCGCCGAATATGGCGGGACAGGTGGAGCTCCAATCCAAGAAGGCATGGTGGTTGAAGAGCCCGACATCGAAATCGGTGCTGGTGTTTCCTCCAAAGGTAGGTACTCTACGCCCCCTTCTCACTACCATGATCTGACTCCGATGTAGCCATGAGTAGACGTATTGCTACTGACAGTGGTGGACGACGTGGCCCGCAGTCTTCTCGCAACTTTGGCGGTCGTGATGACAACAACAGATTTAGAGACAACGATCGTCGAGATCGGGACGACCGAAACTCCAACAACCCGAACAATATGCCAGTTGGTGTGGTGCCAAACATGCCCTTTCCCATGAATTTCGGCAACATGCCTGGCATGCCTACCTTCCCACCGGGGTTCCAGCTGCCCAACTTCCAGCCGCAAAAGAACCAAGAATAGTGACATGCGACATGATAACGAAGGGACACCTCGACCTGGGCACGAACGAGCCGGGTGTTGGTGGTGATGGCCGCCATGACTACAGGCACGGCTCATGACATCAACTGCACATATTTAATCCAGCATATCGCGGCGTCGTGCGAGAAAGGCGGGATGGCTTGGATGGCTGTTCATTATGGCAAACCCTTTTTCTTCTTGAACATCATTTTGCATCGGGAAATGTACGGTTCCGAGAGACTCTCAGTGTCTATGGGTATCTTTGAACATTACGAAGCTTGCAGCAAGGGGAGGGTGGCGCAACAGAAATGTGCGCGACACCACTGGCTGGAAGGGTTTTTAAAATAGGCTCCTTCGAGCAAGGAGGCTCGTCTATGAATGAGAAAGATCGCCAGCCCAGTGTATTCTCGGCGGATTGCTATCAGTTTCTCAGCTGTCCAACATCAGTCTTGCTCCATAGAGGCCGACGATAAGACTGCAAGTCGAAACAAGGCGGTGTATGGAGACCGTGAAACCGTAGGCCGCGTCCACGTGCAGCACACGTGGCCTTGACCCAGTTCTTCAAGCATTTTCCTCGTTGCTCACACAGACCTCGACGTCTGCCTGAAGCAGTACTGTGTATTCGAACTGTCACTACATGTCTCCTGACCCTATCCGCCCGTTGTTTTCGGCCATCGCAAGACGCTGTTACCCGCAGCAGGTAAGGCTCTGGCGCCCAGCACTGCCTGATCATCAGACTTGATAAGTCTTGGAAGCAAAGGCGCCAAGCGAAATGACCAAGAAACCTAAGCTGCATGGAAGCCACATGTGAAGTCCGCCGCGAGGATGGGATGACTGACCGATTGGTTCCGGGGTGCTCAAATGGATCTCTGCTCTTCCGATCGGCGCTCGAGGCCGCGCCCAAGCACGAATGGGAGGCACGAGATTGCGGGGGTTGGCCTCTCCCGAACTTTCGACGCCCGTCACCTTCCACCGTAGTTGCGACCTGCGATCACTTTCATCGCACTTTCCATTCATTACACAAACCTGTATATCCTGCCTCGAGAACGGATCGTGCATCGGGCGACAGCAAGGGAAACTGCAGGCCGTGCGCCTTCCCCACTAAGGATTGATCGCTGTCCTACACCTCTACCTTCGCGATCCCATCCTCATCCTCACACCGCATCACCCAAATGGAGTCGACATAACACACTTACCATTTATCTCCCTTTATCTTAGCCAACATGGTAGATCACGCTTCCGACGTTAGCGACGCTGCGTCCACTCACTCGTCCCCCATCAAGTCCGAACCTCAACTCCACGTGAGTGTGCATAACATTCCTCTGGACGAGAGACCGGACGTCCTATTCACGCCTCGGCGAGCCTCGAGAAAAGAGAAGGAGGAGGATGACGAGGAAGAGGATCTCGATGCACTTATCGAAGAGCTGGAATCACTCGATCCAGATGCCGAACTCGAGGCCGAAATTGAGACGGTGGCAGGTGCTCGAAATGTACCCGAGGAGCTCCTTCAAACCGACACCCGAGTGGGCCTGATTGAGCCAGAAGTCATCGCCAGACGAAAGAAATATGGTCTCAATCAGATGAGAGTGGAGAAGGAAAACTTGCTGTTGAAGTTCCTGGGCTATTTTGTCGGTCCCATTCAATTTGTCATGGAGGTATGAGAGCATGCAATTACCCATCTCGGCGATGCTTGTACTGACATGTTGTCCCACAGGCTGCTGCAATCCTCGCTGCCGGCTTGGAAGACTGGGTCGACTTTGGCGTCGTCTGTGGTCTGCTCTTGCTCAACGCTAGTGTCGGGTTCATTCAGGAATTCCAAGCTGCCTCGACCGTGGAAGAGCTCAAAAAGACCCTCGCGCTCAAAGCGGTGGTGCTCCGAGAAGGGCGCCTGATCGAGATTGAAGCCCCAATGGTTGTACCGGGAGACATCCTACAATTGGACGAAGGGACAATCGTACCGGCCGACGGTCGTCTCGTCACTGAGGATGCATATTTGCAGGTCGACCAGTCTTCCATCACCGGCGAGTCCCTGGCAGCCGACAAGCACTTGGGAGATACCTGTTACGCTTCGTCGGCCGTGAAGCGGGGATCAGCTTTCATGATAGTCACGGCAACAGGAGATAACTCCTTCGTCGGTCGAGCTGCCGCCCTCGTTAACGCTGCATCAGGCAGTACTGGTCATTTCACCGAGGTCCTCAACGGAATTGGCACAGTCCTGCTAACGCTTGTGGTCCTGACACTGCTTGTGGTCTGGGTCTCATCCTTCTACCGTTCCAATGACATCGTCACCATCCTCAGGTTCACTCTGGCAATTACCATCATCGGTGTGCCTGTAGGTCTCCCTGCCGTTGTCACTACCACTATGGCCGTTGGCGCCGCATATCTGGCAAAGAAGAAGGCGATCGTCCAGAAACTGTCAGCGATTGAGTCGCTCGCCGGGGTCGAGATTCTCTGCTCAGACAAGACCGGTACCTTGACAAAGAACAAGCTATCCCTCCACGAACCTTACACCGTGCAGGGCGTGGACCCCGAGGATATGATGCTCACTGCGTGTCTTGCTGCGTCTAGAAAGAAGAAGGGCATGGACGCTATCGACAAGGCGTTTCTGAAGGCCCTGCGATACTATCCTCGAGCCAAAAAAGCTTTGTCCAAATACAAAGTGGTCCAGTTCACACCCTTCGATCCGGTCTCGAAGAAAGTGAGCGCCGTGGTCGAATCACCTTCAGGTGAACGCATAATCTGCGTCAAAGGAGCACCACTTTTTGTTCTTCGGACTGTCGAAGATGACCACCCTATTCCCGAGGAAATCGATATTGCATACAAGAACAAAGTTGCAGAGTTCGCAGCTAGAGGCTTCCGTTCCCTGGGCGTTGCTCGAAAGCGCGGTGACAGCTCTTGGGAGATACTGGGCATCATGCCGTGCGCCGACCCACCTCGATATGACACCGCAAAGACCATCAATGAAGCGAAATCACTTGGGCTGTCTATCAAAATGTTGACTGGCGATGCTGTCGGCATTGCGCGAGAGATGTCTCGGCAGCTCGGGCTGGGAACAAACGTCTTCAACGCCGAACGTCTTGGGCTCGCCGGCGGTGGCACTATGCCTGGCTCAGAGGTCTATGACTTTGTCGAGGCAGCTGATGGGTTCGCGGAAGTCTTCCCTCAGCACAAATATAATGTCGTGGAGATTCTCCAGCAACGGGGGTACCTCGTGGCCATGACGGGCGATGGTGTCAATGATGCCCCATCACTGAAGAAGGCAAATACTGGCATTGCCGTCGAAGGCTCCTCCGATGCAGCTCGGTCGGCTGCGGACATCGTTTTTCTGGCTCCAGGGCTATCTGCCATCATCGACGCATTGAAGACCTCTCGCCAGATCTTTCATCGTATGTACGCCTACATTGTTTATCGCATTGCCCTTTCACTTCACCTGGAGATCTTCCTCGGGCTGTGGATCGCCATTCAGAACCGGTCCATGAACCTCGAACTGGTCGTCTTCATTGCAATCTTTGCCGATATTGCCACTCTCGCAATTGCATACGACAATGCACCTTACTCGAAAACACCGGTCAAGTGGAACCTGCCCAAGCTGTGGGGCATGTCCATTCTGTTGGGTATCGTCCTGGCTGCGGGAACATGGATCGCCTTGACCACGATGATTGTTGGCGGGGAACATGCGGGTATCGGACAGAACTTCGGGCACAAAGATTCCATTTTGTTCCTTCAGATCTGCCTGTCGGAGAATTGGCTGATCTTCATCACACGTGCGAACGGTCCTTTCTGGTCGAGCACCCCCTCATGGCAACTCTTTGCTGCGATCTTGCTTGTTGACATTCTCGCAACACTTTTCTGTATTTTTGGATGGTTCGCTGATGGACGGACGAGCATTGTCGGGGTAGTCCGCGTTTGGTTGTATTCATTTGGCGTGTTTTGTGTCATGGCCGGCGTGTACTACCTTTTGCAGGACAGCGTCAAATTCAATGACATTGTCCACGGACGTCGCTCAAGGAGCAACAAGGTGCTCAAGAAGAGGGACATGGAAGATTTCTGTGAGTAAATCTTGGAGTGGTGTTCTGGCGCGTTCACTGACTTGCATGTACAGTGGTGTCGTTGAATCGCGTATCCACCCAGCACGAGAAGATCGCGTAGTAGCGATCTGTATGCTACAGGTTGGTTACATGATCACAGAGTCAGCAGGAAGACCGCGGAGTTGGCCACGTCCGCAGCTCAATCACGAGTTACTCTTCAAGAACAACTATGGCACCGACACAGCCTTATCCAAGACACGAACGTTGAAGCTGGAGCACCTCTTTGCCGCCGAGCCACGGCGCCTGGAACCTACAAAGGCTGTACTCCCGAAATTGAACTTCCCGCAGGAGCCTTCTTTGGCCCAAGAAGTCAACTCACAACTTACAAGTGGAAGCGCCAGAGGTGAAGCTTCAACGTCGAAGAAATCAGCCGAAACAACCATGTCCGGTACGACTGAAACGACCGAAGCCTCGTCATCTCGGACAAAGGCATCGTCAGAGCCGTCCAGCGGGACGAACCCGACAGAGGGCTCGATGTCAGAAGCCAGGCGACCCAAGATGATCATGCTGCGGCACTGTGCACCTGATAAGGGCTGGGGTTTTCATAGACTGGCGGACGGGAAGACAACTTGGACGGACACCGAGAAATGAGAACAGAGCATTGATACCCTGCTGTGCATATAGGATCCCACAAAGGGATTGACGATACCCACGAGGAAATATTGGAATTGAGCGACGGCGCTGTCTGGGATTATTCATGCTGTCATTGAGGAACTGGAGAAACAGAGCGGTACAAATTGGACGAGGCGAAAGGGGTTTCTAAGAGCATGGATCTTGGGAATACTGCCCAAGTCACAACTTGCCGGGCTGAGTCAAAGACTATACCTGGCTCTGTTCTCCTAACAAACCATTTATGCCTCCTGAAGTTCTGATGCAGGCTTTCACTGCCGTAGTGCCCTTGCCCGCGATTCCAGCTGCAATGGATGGATGTGACGAACGCCCAAGCACTAACGTTCCAACCACCACACCTAAGATGGTTGTGGATTATCATCAAAGCGTGGCGCATAATTCCGAGTGCACAATGTCCATTGCTCGGACGCCCTCGTGTCGTCTGGCTTCGAGACATCAGTGGAGACATCCATGTCACATCTCAGTATGCATGTGTATTGTTATGCCGTGTCAACATGTACGTTCGAAGAGCTAAAGTAGAAACTCGACAATGGTCTATACAATCTTTCAAGTCCGACTCGTGGCAACGCAGACCCCTGAATAGTATCCCTGGGCCGTGGTCATTGATGTACGCATCACCTGAAGGGGACACCACCAACGCCATCGCCCAGAAGTAAGAACATCATATGGATAAAAAGTCGTCTTGACTCCCTAGCATTGAATGGGCTCTCGAAAAAAAAAGGAGAGTAGCGCCGCCATCAAGCCCGGTTCTCGACCTTGTCCTTTTCGACCATGATCTCGTCGTCCTCCCTCTGACTGTGGTCTGCCTTGGTCTCGGCTTGGTCGTCCCCTTCTCCATTCTCATCTCGCATGTGCATTTGTTTCTCAACCTCTTCTTGATTTCCTGCTTGCTCTGCACGTCGTTGCTCCTCCTGCTGCTGCTGCTCCTCCTCTCTCTTCCTGCTCTGCCTGATCTGCTGCATGACGTCGTGGGCTTGGGCGGCGTATTTACATTTCATGCGTATGCCCTCGCCGTACTTGTAGAAGATGAAGGGAAAGGGGGCGCAGGCCAGCGCCAGGAACGCCGGGATGGTGCTCGCCCAGTGGATGCCGAGGTTGTTGTACATCTGGACGGTGAACAAAGGGAAGATGGCGCCGAAGAGGGAGCGCAGCATGCTGCTCGCGGCGAGCACGCTGGCCGCGTAGATGACGTACGCGTCGATCAGGTAGTTGACGCAGGCCAGGAACACGAGCACGACGCCGAAGCCGAACGGCGCGGACGCGATGATGCACACGATCCAGTGGATCGAGGGGAAGTTCGTCCACGCGAACCAGAACATGCCGATCGGGATGGCGACGGCGCCGACCAGGGCGGGCGGGAGGCGCGACTCGGGCGGTGCATCTCCCTTGTGTTCCTGTTCGACGCGCGCGTACCGCTTGTTGTCGACGATGGCGTAGATGACTCCCAGGGTCATGCCGACCGCAACGCCGATGAAGGCCAGGCCGCTGATGCCCTGTGACCAGCCGCGGTCCCGTCCGAAGACGATCGGGAAGGCCCCGAAGAGCATGTACAGCGTCCCGTACAGGATGGCCATGTAGATCGAGATCAGCAGGACGATGGGCTCCAGAAACATCAGTATCCAGGGCCGCAGGAGGGCTGTCTCGAACGCCGCCCGCGGAGTGACTTTGCCCTGTCGTTTTTCCACGGTCGAAATGTACGATTTGCCGGTTCGGGCGGTCAGAGCCTTCGCGCGCCGGGAGAGGATGACGGGGGCGTAGGTCTCAGGCACCACGAGGCTGCCGATGATCCAGAGCACGCCGGTGAAGATGGCCATCACGCCCTCCACCCAGCGCCAGCCGATCGACTGCGAGACGAACCCGCCGACGATGGGGCCTATGCACGGACCCAAGAACGGTGCTGAGGCGAAGATGGACATGCCCAGGCCGCGTTGCTTGGCCGGGAAGATATCAGCAACCACACCGCCGGCGTTGGTCAGTGGTGAGGCGCCAAACGTGCCGGCCAGGAACCGCATGACGATCAGAGACGCCATGGAATTTGCCCCCGCCGCGCCGGCGTTGAATGCGGTCAGGAGGGCGTAGGTGGAAAAGAAGAGAACCTGGCGTCCCCATAACTCACTGAGCGGCGCCCACAGGAGGGGCCCGATCGAGAATCCGAGCACGAAAAGAGACACGCCGAGGGTTGCGACCTCTTGACTGCTTCTGAACTCCTCGTTGAGTTGCACTATGCTGGCCGTGTACGCCGTGCTCACGAACGCCACAGCCAGGGCTGCGAACGCCACCGTCATGGTGAGACACCATTTCTTCCAGTCCGGCCAGTTCATAGGGTTGCGAGGGTCGTCGGGGATGAACTCGACGATGTAAGGATCATCTTCCGTGCCGGAGCCTTTGTAGGGGTATTTCAAGACTGCCTCTGTGATGAGCGTCTGGCTCGCCACGAGGCGCCAATGCGGCACTTTGGCGTGTGAAGCAGGCTTTTGGCTTTCGACGTCGGGAGCAGGGGCGCCTGTCAGGGTCGAGGTCAATGAGGTTGCAGGTGAGTTGGGCATTTTGCCAGCAGCGCATGTACCTGCCGTGGAGAAGGGAGTATTTGGGACGGGCCTTGGGAGGGAAGAGAAAGGGAATGGCGGTGTTGATGAAGACGCTCGTTATGATATAGTTTACATACCTAGAATTCATTGAGATGCGTCAACAGCTGCATAAGGATATGCCCGGCGCCCGAAGGCCTTCAGCCATATCTTCGGCCCTTGCTGCAGTTCTTACGTAGTAGACCTAGTCGCCATAGGCGATGGGTCATTCGTGCCCACATTACATGAATAGCGCGTTCGCCCGGCTAAAGGCAATCAAACGTCTCGAAACCCAGCAAGACGAGGTATCGCGTGAACAGACGTGACAGGGAGAGATGTCCAGGACTATCCGGTTACAGTTCGAGTTAGTCAGGAAGAGATTCACTAGCCGGAGCTAGCCATCAGACCCACAAGATTGGAGCCCCACCATTGGGCCGCCGCGTTCTAGCGTTGTTTCGGCTCCTTCGTATTCGTCGAGACGAGAAACCTGCGTCATAACTGGGAGTCGATTGGCTCTTTTGGGTCTCCTCTTCTCGCCCGAGAAGTCGATCGGTGCATCCACGACGCGGACATCAGCCAACGAGGTGGGAAACTTGTGGGAAACACCAGATTCGCGCCATCCTGGTTATATAATCGTCGTGTTCGCACTACGAGTACGAGTACGCCGTGCACACGAGCTCGCAGATCGGGTCCTCTCCAGATTGCCCCGTTGGGGCCAAGATGTGCACGTTGTTATGCGCGACATGACAAGGTGTTTATGCAGCCCAGTAGGGACGTATACCAAAGTCCGATTCTGAAATCGCGTTCCTTGTTATCGCCACCGTTCCGGTGCGAAGGAACGTTGCTAGTCCCAGTCGAGACTCATTCGACAAGAGCTGCCTGGGACGCGGCTGGAAGGATAACGCTGCCTCACTTTCACGGCTACCGGACACCATACAGGAGGTGGCAGAGTTAGAACCACATTTCACTGACCGCTGACTCTCAGATGCGCTTGGGACACACCGAGGATCGCTATAGGACTCCAGTCCGTGTCAGTTGGGCTATCGCCACCAATGTGTTCTTTAGGTTTGTGCCGAGTTTCGTGTCGTCATGATTGTGCGTTTTGTCTCCTGTCACCATCCTGCCTCAAATCTTTGCGACGCAACCATTGTTTCTCAGGAAAGAAACAGCAGACTTATCAATAGCCTACCGTTCCACAACGCGTTCACGATGCCAGAAGCTCCCGGATCCGGAACAGAAGATCTCCATCAAAAGTACGAGCCTCATCCCGACCCCGAGGGATTGACAGGTCATCAAGGCAAAGCTGTCGATTACGAACCTCATCCAGAGAAATCATTGAAGATATCACCCGAGCATGAAGCCATCGTGAAGTCAATCTCGAACTTGTACTGCGGCAGTGCCAGCGAGAGGGACATGTCGGTGTACGCCGAAAAAGCCATCTACGACGACCCATTGTCATACTGCGATACCCGATACAAGATCGCTGGGCAGTGGTATGGGTTGCCCAAGATCTTCGCCAAGCTCGAGACCAAGAAGATCGAGGTGGTCAAAGACACGCCGACCGAGATCGTCTTCAAGCAGAGGCAGGCGTACACCCCCAAGGTATTCAACACGACCAAGGAAGTCGATTCTCTGGTGTCGTTGTCGCTGGACGAGGAGGGCAAGGTGCGCTATCACAAGGACATGTGGAATGATCAAGATTACAGCCACTCGGGCATTGGCAAGCTGATCAAGAATCTCAACGGCGATCATACTCCCAAGATCACGCAACCTCCGGACTCGTTATAAATTATGCTGAGCCGCACCCGATAGTCGGAACCATGCCGTGTCTGAGCGGGCAGATCGAGACTAAGTACCAGTGCCGCATTGACTGGCGGCTTGGGCAGAGAACGAGTATTTGTGCCAGTGAACATGAGTGTACCGAGCGCTACCTGCATTGGAGTTGTTGTGCAGTATAGGTCGCAGGTAGGAATGGTTCTTCAATTGCCATGCTGCTGTTATCGGAACGGCCAGACGTTGCCAAATCCTAAGAAATCAGGACCGAACAGACGTACGTCCTATACTCCAGGCTAAGTAGGTGGGGATGTTAATATATCTGGATAGGCTCGCCGCCAGTGTAGGAAGCCGGCAGAAACGGAAATACTGAAGTCACATGCTCTAGGCGTGAATCGCAGTTTCTTTCCCTTACAATAATTGGTTATTGATGGTAGAATTCCAGAGCTAAGTGCGTGTTAGTACGTATCGGTACTTTCAGTTGCAGCCACAAAAACAAGCATCGGTGGCGGTGCATTAGGGCGCCGTTAGGCAGGAAGCCTGAGCCCCGGGGCCCGGTTGTTGGAAGGACTGATGCCCCGAAAATGCGCCTAAAGTTTTCCAGTCGCGGCAGTGAGTGGCTCGCAAGTGACTCCCTGCATTGTTGGCACTTGGCGTCATGGTCTCGAGCCATGCTTCACCTTCAATTCCTGTGACCTCCAGATCCAGACTCGAGTTCCGAATCTGCCCTTCTACACCAAACCGTCAATTGAAGCAGTTGTCAAAACGATGACGGCCCAAGCCCACGACCCTTCTCCTGTGCTGGTCCTTCCTCGTGCCTCCCTAACGACGCCCTAGCCATGGCCTGATCCCGCGCCCTCCCTGCCGAGACCGCACCTGTAACGTCGAACCACCCAGACAGCGTCTGATCGTGGAAAACGTCGTGGACAAAATGGGTATACTTGGGGAGTGGACGGTGAGGTTCTGGGAGTTCAGCAAGAAGAACGTCATCCCCGATGTCTTCATCAAGAGACGCTTCAACTTCATCACCATCCACTATATGTACATGATAGGCATGTCGCTGTTCGGATCGGTCGTCATCTATGGCATTGGCGGCATGCCGTACATTGATGCCCTCTTCTTTGCGTCGGGTGCCTGCACTCAGAGCGGCCTTAACACCATCGACATTAACACCGTCCGCTTCGGCCAACAATTCATGATGTTCCTGTTGGCCATGCTGTGCAACCCCATCATTGTCAACACTGTCGTTGTCTTCGTCCGGCTTTACTGGTTTGAGAAGCGATTCGAAGACGTCGTCAGAAATTCGAATGCTTTGCGTCGGACCAAGTCGAGACAACGCACCGCCACCATGCCGAAAGACGACCCCGAACAGGGCATCCAGGGAGTGGCAGGAAGAGCGATTCGCATCTTACGGAACACCGGAAGAAGCACGGGTCCGCCAGATGGAGGAGAAAAGCTCGAACATGGCCATGGCAATGGAAAGGCGGTCGATCCGTCTGACGCGTCCAGCCATGAGGCCGAACAGCCACAGAATAATCTTCCCTCTGATCACTTGCGCCTTAAAACCTCCCGGTCGACTGACGACGTACGTCTCCCATCACAGCTGAGTCCCGAGCAGCATATCCGCTTTCTCGAGAATCAGCGAAATCCTAGTGACACAACCGCTTTGAGGATTCCGAGCCCCCGAGAATTCGAACGTGGAAGTCGACCGCAAAACATCGCCGACGGTCTTGACGACACAGTCCTACGCCCAATAACGAGCGAACCAGACTTGCCCAGCGCCAATCAGAGACGTATCGACGAGGTGAAAGTCGGGGATGATTCTACTGGTCCTACCCATATCGCATTCGACGAGCCCCAATTCCTTCGAGACCGTCATGACAGAACTGCCACCTTTCCGCGGCTCAACACGAGGCAATCTACACAGCCGGCCTCTTCCTATGACCTTCCTGAACCTGGCCAGGTTCGGCGGAGGGGTTCAACTACCTTCAACTCGCTTCGCCGTGTCAATACTCCACGCACACAGGACATCCCCGCACCGTACTTGAGTTGGCAACCCACAATCGGGAGAAACTCGTTCTTTGTCGGTCTCACAGAGGAGCAGCGAGAGGAGCTGGGTGGCATCGAGTACCGAGCGCTCAAGGCTTTGGCTTTGATCCTCGTTCTCTACTTCTTCCTCTTCCATCTCTTGGGGATCATTTGTCTTATTCCGTGGATATGGCGGTCGGGTACCTACGGACCCGTCGTCACTGCGCAAGGACAGGGAAGAGTCTGGTGGGGGGTCTTCACGAGCGCGTCTGCCTTCAACGACCTCGGGTTCACCCTGACCAGCAACTCAATGCTCTCCTTCCAGCGGGCCGTCTTTCCCCTATTGCTGATGACCTTTCTCATCATCATCGGAAATACCGGATTCCCGTGTATGCTCAGGCTCACCATCTGGGCCACGTCCAAATTTTGCAAAAAAAGCAGTCCACTGTGGGAAGAACTTCGCTTCCTTCTGGACCATCCTCGTCGATGTTTTACCCTCCTCTTTCCACGAGAAGCGACATGGTGGCTGTTTGCCATCCTGGTCATCCTCAATGGGCTGGACCTGATATTTTTCATCATCCTGGACCTTAACGACCCCGCAGTCACGGCGTTACCTGCAGGAATCAGGGTCCTTAATGGAATCTTCCAAGCCGCCGCAACTCGAACGGCAGGCTTTTCGGTGGTGAACCTTGCGGACCTGCACCCTGCGATTCAGGTCAGCTATCTTATCATGATGTATATTTCGGTATTCCCAATCGCCATCAGTATGCGAAGAACGAACGTTTACGAGGAGAAGAGTCTGGGGCTGTACGGTTCACCTGCTGAAGAGAACGAAGACGAAAATGAACCCAGCTATGTTGGGGCCCATTTACGGCGGCAGCTCTCGTTCGATCTGTGGTACATATTCTTGGGCATGTTCATCATTGCGATCGTCGAAGGCGGCAGGTTGCAGAATACCAACCAGTACGCCTTTACCCTCTTCTCGGTCCTGTTTGAGATCGTGTCAGCCTACGGTACTGTGGGTCTCTCTCTGGGCTACCCAACCATCAATGCTTCCTTTTCCGCCGAATTCCATGTCTTGTCGAAATTGGTTATCATTGCGATGCAAATCCGTGGACGACATCGTGGACTTCCGTATGAGCTTGACAGAGCTATCTTGCTGCCATCAGAGAGTCTGCAGGCGAAAGAAGCGAAGGAAGCAGAAAGGGTCATGTCCCGGGTACAAAGACGCAGGTCGTCCATAGGAGCGCACTCGAACATGTCGGCTGTCGATGGCATCCTTGAAGGCCGCCAATTCAGACCTGAGACGGGACTGGCCTCAGGCTATCGCGACAAGGAGGAGGATCCCGACCTCCACCTCCGGCCTCGAGCCAACACCAACCGGTCAATTCAGTCTCACAGGACGGCAGGTTCGAACGAAGCACACCAGCTACACAGTAACCGACACACTGAGCCTCATAGTGCGAGGCGCGGGCTGGGCGTTGGGATGTTCAAACTGGCCGAAGGGGTGGAGTCCATCAAAGAGGAAAGATCGCACGAGTGAATTATTGCAACCGGTCAAAAAGCGAGGCGAATGAGAAAAAATGAATCTTGTACCTGACAGAGCGATTATCACAATACCACTGCATTGAGCGACGGCGAATGGAGTGCTTTTTGGCGTGGGCAATTTGTGCTTGTGATAGGATGGTAACCTACGGACTAACGAGGAGAAAGGAGATACTGGGAATATGGGGGCTTTGGCCCTTCGAACTATGCTGCACACGAAAACGAGGCTAGATTTGTACATCTGCTGCACTCTTGTCTATAGGTTTTGAGCAGGGGGTCTGAAGAAGATATCTGAAGTGCTCACTGAGTTCCCGATTTCACCAGCCCGGTACGAGTACAGAGCACTAAGCGGGTGGAGGCCGCCCGTGAAGGGGCCAGCAACCCCTGGATCTTGGACGAGAAGAGCAGCGGCCGTGCCAAGAAGCGCCAAGGGATCTCGATGCTTGTCCGCCTATCGTCTCCAGTTATTCCGCGCGGAGGAACGACAAACGGACATTCCGATTGGCTCCCTTGAGCCCCCGCCAAGGTGCCAATGTCTCCTAGACAACCGCCTTTGGCACTTGAGAGCGACACCATCGTGGCGGGACACGCGGCGCTGCTTCTGTGCTCTCGGCGGCCGGCCTCCCGTGAAATGAGCCTGTGACACCCATTGTCCCTTAGACGCCTTGGGTTTCTTGGGTGCTGTTCATGTTTCGGAATTTGACTTCTCGGTGCGTCCTTACGGTTTCCCTTCTTCCTGATCCCTATCTCGACCCTATTCAACTTTGCAAGGAACCATCAAGCGTCGTTCTTTGCTCTTCCTTTCGCTCAACACACAAACATCCAGCTGAGCTGGGTGGGTTTCTCGCCGTGGTCGCCGTGTCTGTCGCTCTCTTCGAGACCGTGCTCGTCGTTCGCTTCAGCCTTCGAGGTGTACGCCCCTCAGTCCGTTCGTGCAAAACTATCTTTAGCTCATCGACTTGAACGCCCCTCGGTCCACGATATCGGGCACATCGAATTCGTTTTTCAGTTCACCGGCCACACCTTTGCCCCTGTACTGATACTGCACCTACATGTATATTAACAACAGTACATCATGAGATCGAGAATATTTGCGGCGTTAGCGCCGTTGGTCGGCTTGCTGCCGATGGCTCAGGGTCTCGAACTCGACCTCAACAGCATGGACTCGGTCAAATCCGTCACCTCGACGTTAGCATACGACATGATGACCTACTATTCTGGAAATCAATCGGGTCAAGTCCCAGGCCTGCTACCCGGTCCCTGTGACAATGTCGCTTGTTATTACTGGTGGGAAGCAGGGGCCATGTTCGGGTCCCTGATCCATTACTGGCAGTATACAGGCGATGAGAGCTACAACCACGTGGTCACCGAAGCTCTTCAATTCCAGATTGGACCCGACCAGAACTTCAACCCTCCGAATCAGAGCAAGAACATGGGTGTCGACGACCAAGATTTCTGGGCTTTCTCTGCCATGGATGCCGCCGAAGCGAACTTACCCGATGCTGGTGGCGATGCGCCTTCATGGCTCGCTCTGGCTCAGGCGGTCTTCAACTTTCAGACCACACTGTGGGATCCGGCGACCTGTAACGGAGGCATGAGATGGCAGGTTTACTCCTTCAATGCAGGCTACAACCTGAAGAACACGATTTCCAACGGTGGTTATTTTCAGTTGGCAGCCCGGTTGGCGAGGTATACGGGCAATCAGACCTACGCGGACTGGGCGATCAAGATGTGGGATTGGATGGAGGCCAGCCCGCTGTTCCAGGTGCAAGACGGCACGTTATTCATCTGGGACAACACCGACGCCAACAACAATTGTACCGACGTGCAACACTTCGCCTGGACGTACAACTACGGCACCATGTTGATGGGCGCGGCGGCGATGTACAACTTCACGGGCGGAGCGGAACCGTGGGGCTCACGCGTGAACGAGATCCTCGACGGGGCATTCAAATTATTCTTCCCGGCCGAATACGGGGGAAATATCATGAGCGAGTTTCAATGCGAGTCAACGATGGTCTGCAACAATGACCAGAGCAGTTTCAAGGCGTATTTATCGAGGTGGATGGCGGTCACGGCCATGATCGTTCCGGAAACGTACGACACGATTATGCCCAAGCTGAGAGATAGTGCTGTTGGAGCAGCGCAGCAGTGTACTGGGGGAGACAACGGGAGGATGTGTGGCAGGCAATGGTATGCTAGCTTTGATGGAAGTTCGGGCGTTGGACAGCAGGTATGTGGTCTCTCACTGCTTTCGACCGGGGACAGATTACTGACTTGGAGACAAGATGCAAGCCCTTGCCGTCATCGGCGCCACGACAGTGAACCCCTCGATCGCACCCAAGACTGCCAACACTGGCGGCACGTCGGAGAGTGATCCAGACGCTGGCACAGATGCTAATGCGTCGCCCATCATTGAGCATTCCCCGATCACGACGGCGGATAAAGCGGGAGCTGCTATCTTGACTCTTTTGTGCGCCGGTGTCATTGTTGGCGGAAGTGTCTGGCTCATCATGTAGATTTGAACGGCATTTAGCGGGACGGCATTTCATGTCCATGTACTTTTGTGTATCCAACGGACTTTTGCATCTGAATACGTAGCACCAGTGTGAATGACTAAGGCTCAACAAAGAAGGACACCCCGGACTGTCTCCTCATGCCCTGGCCATTCAGCCACCTCGCCACCTGGCCATCCCTGGGCCTAGAGATGCTTGCAGCACGCGCTGTGGGGATGAAGGCGGCCTCTTAATCACCGACTCACCGTTTTCGGCACAGTCAACATCCTGCGTCCACAAACATTCCTTTACCTCTGCTATGATGTATGATATGCCATGACATGATTATGTGTGTGTCTTCGAGATGACCATCGTGCTTGGGATCTGATTATGGGTGCACGTGCTCCGACATCTATTTACATCTCGCCGCTGTCTACGAGCCCACCTACCGACTCTCTGTCCAGCACGACTGGGTGTGGACTATGGAGCTCACATCAACCTTTGAGACTCTGCAACACCCGCACCGTACAGATGGCTCACCGCTGGCGGGGGACGACACAGCCATGCCTCCGAATCCAAGTCGCGCACCCGCCACGAAGAGTGATGCTCCGAAGAGACACACAAAGGGGTTATCCTTGAACTTTCCGATTCTCCTGCCTACCAACCTGCAATTGTCACAGTCTCCCGGTGGCTCTGCCGTCCCAAGTCCTATCGAGTCGAGCAGATCTTCGCCGCGGATCCGAGCAGCACCCTCCACGAGCCCCGATCCGGCGACTCAACCGCAAGACAAGAGTAAAGCCAGAGGAAGCGGGGAGTTTCTGACCCTACTAGCGGCACAAGAACGCAAAGTGCTTGAGTTGAAGGAAGAACTGCAAAGAGCGGAGGCGGATTTACAGATCCTAAAGAAGCAATGGGCAGCGTACGAAGCGAACAAGAAAAGAGACGAGGTGAGACAAGTCAAGAAACTGCAGCCAATGGCTTTGGATGATGTCGCTGGAAGCGAGACACCTGCTCCGGAAGAGGATGTGGACGAAGAACGAAGACGAAAGCGTGCGCTGGTGGAGAGAAACCACACAAGTCACGCGACCAACGGAGGATCTGGCCTCAGCAGAAAGGGATCCAAGAGAATATTCGAAGGGGGCAGGCACACGAGGACGCTGAGTCTGCTAAGCCCGACATGTGTCAAAACCAGTATCAAGCCTGCGGAAGACACCAACCCTACACCGAACGACACGGCTGAGCTCGAAACTGAGCATGACCAAAAGCCCTCGCTGTCCAGAATGCCGACATTGGATGGGCTCATCTCCGGTGACGCTCTCCCTCTTGGATTCGGCAAGACCTACAAAGACCTAGCAGCACACCGCAGATCATTACCCCCAGTTGCAGCGGACATGCTGGTGAAACAAGGCAAGCATGTCTATGACGGAGTCAGGGAGGGTCTGTGGACGTTCTTTGAGGATATCAGACAGGCGACAGTTGGAGACGAGGGTATCAACGGCACAGCAGCTCAGCAGCGACCGGTCAGGCCGAATCAACGCAGACCGGCCAGGAAGCCTTCCGTGAAAGCGGGCAAGGGTACCGCGAAAGACGCACTGGACGCTTCGACACCGCGGTCAAAGGAGAAGTCGTTCTGGAATGAGTTCGGTCTCGATACACCGCAGCGTACCTCGGCAACGTCATCCAAGCCCCCAGAGAAACCGAACGGGCATGTACAGCAAAAGAGCAGCACCGACTCATCCAATCCGCCGAGTCTCCTACCCGACCTAAACGACAACGACGAGGTGGAAGATAGCTGGGACGCATGGGACTCCCCGGTCAGCAACAAAGTCTCTAACATGGCTCCAAATGACGAGGCCAGCAACACAACGAGCGGTGGCCTGCCCTGGCCGGAGATGCAGCGGGTGACTCCAAAATTGACGAGAACAATCAGCGACTTGATGAAGGAATGGGATTCGAATCCGAACGATTCTACGGACATGAATGCGGCTCGGGAGGGTCAAACGCATATACTTGACAGTCCGCACATATGACAACGATCTATTGAGCGTTCGACTGTCCCATGAGAGATGCGAAATGACAGCGTTCTTCCATGGCAACTTCTTGAGCTGAAATTGAAATCATCCTCTTCCTTTGTCGGATGACTCTGGCGGCCAGGCGCCTCTGGAAGATCAGCAGCGTTCCTCTAGCAACGTAGCTGGTCCAGAGATTTCCAGAACGTCACTCCCCCCCCTGGCTTGTTCCGAGGCTCGTTAGAGCCCGATGGCTGGCTTGATAGCACCATTCTTGGTCCTCTCATGGTTCATCGGTAGAAAAATGGGACATGCAGGCTCGAGGTGGAGGCGGGCAGAAACGGGCCCCTGCATTAGCGTGTCGCTGTCGAAAACTAGCGCGGGGCCAGGGTCACGCTATCCCCCATCCGGCGGGCCGTTACCATGACGATAGGCCGTAAACATTGAAGCTGCACCTTCATTTCGCAGTCCAGAAGCCCGCAGGCCGCTATCCACGATCTCGTTCCAAGCTGCCAGCTCTCTGTAGTTCGGGTCATGCGGCTTGAGCCCAAATCCTATCCACAGCCTTAATGTCTCGTGAACCCCTTTTACAAGCCTCGTCGTACTTACATTATATCCTTGGTGCTGCAGGTCTTCACCTACATGCTTTGTACCACCACGGTCGTCGAACAATTCTGCATCCTGTACCGGCGCACCATTCTGCATTCGCATCTTTCAGATTGACGCTGGCGCTCGCTCGCCCTTGACCACGACGTGCTCCCACGGATGAGCAGATCCTGGCTTCGAACACATCATTGCGGTTGAAGGAGATATAGGTTTCAAGACATTTGGCAGAGAGGGATACAACAGCAACCACATGGCGATGATATCACCCTATTCCGAGACCCCCCATGGGGTTCGAACGGCTCCGCAAAGCTACTTTGAGATACAAGAAGACTCTTCGAATGGCGACACTCTGGCAGACCGATACCAGATGCTGGAAGAACTCGGCAGTGGCTCATTCGGCATCGTCTACAAAGCTATCGAGAAAGCCACTGGCGAGATTGTCGCAATAAAGCATGTACGTTTGGTGGATCGGACTGCGGTACTTGAAAATGAAGGACTAATCCGTGGTGGTCAGGTCGATCTCGAATCCTCGGAAGAAGATCTCTCTGATATCCTCTCCGAACTCTCCGTCCTCTCCTCCTGCTCTAGTCCCCATGTCACCAAATACCGCCTCGCTTTCCTCCGCCGGCAGACATTGTGGATTGTCATGGAATACTTGGGCGGTGGATCCTGCGCCGACCTCCTCAAACCACCGCCACATCGCCTGTCGGAAAGCCATATCGCCATCATATGTCGCGAACTGTTGCTCGGTCTGGCGTATCTTCACAGCGAAGGCAAGCTCCACCGGGATATCAAGGCTGCAAATGTGCTCCTGGGGATGGACGGCCGGGTCAAACTGGCAGACTTCGGGGTCGCAGCGCAGTTGGTGGGACTGAAGAGCGTGAGGAACACCTTTGTCGGTACCCCGTTCTGGATGGCGCCCGAAGTGATTCAACAAGAAGGTCACGATGCGAAAGCGGATGTCTGGAGTCTCGGTATCACTGCGATGGAATTGGCGCATGGCGAGCCTCCACATGCGAACGTCCACCCGATGAAAGTCCTCTTTCTTATCCCGAAACAACCTGCGCCCAGACTCGAAGGCACTCAATGGTCCAAGGACTTCAAAGACTTTGTGGCTTGCTGCTTGACCAAAGACGTGGACCGAAGAAAAAGCGCCAAAGAATTGCTCGGCCACCGGTTCATTCGGGCAGCAGGGAAGATCGAGGGTCTTCAAGAGTTGATTCTGCGGAAACAGGATTGGGAGGCCAGCAAAGGCGGAGATAGGAATCTGAAATACTACGCCGAAACGCTCAAGAACCTGTCTCAATGCGATAATGACGATGGCTGGGTGTTTGAAACGATCAAAGCCGTGCCCACCATGAATCTCAGAGATGCGCAGACGCAAAAGAAGAGGAAGGTTTCGAGGACAACGGTCGACGTGATAGCCGAGTCAAAGGAGAGCGCGACCCAAATGATGCAACAGTTGTCTTTGGAACGTCGACCAGAGCCCGACCAGAGCCCGACCAAGTTGACCATGCGCAAGATCTCCGAGTCAAAGCAACAGCAGTACCAACCAGACCGAAGAGACTCGGTAGATTCTCTCTCCGGAAAGCGGACAGGCAGGAAGAGATTATCCAACGCCCAACCAAGACACCCCCTTGGTGTCAACATGTCCTTCGGCAACAGTCCTAGCACAGTCCGACAGTTCAGACGGGTGTCGACTAACAATTCTGTCACGCCCGACGAGAACGAGGACCCGAACTCTAGCGTGATCCGGACTCCTTCCAAAGCGAAGCCTGGCATTGGTGTCTTGGTCGACTTGGAGACGTCACTGCTCTCGAAACCAGACAAAGATTCGAGGTTCTCTACCGCGACAACACTGGCAATGGAGTCTAAGGAAGCGAATCTCGGTAAGAAGCTATACAGCCATGCCATTGGGCTGTCGTGCCAGGACATTCTCAACGACACGGCGGACGAGGTCAAACGAGAAGCCGTGGCAAGACTGGCTGAGGCCTTCTCGGATTTGGAGAGTGTTGATCCGGACGGGATGTACCATATCATGTCGTCCATCATCTCGAAGATGAAAGAAGACGACACATTGAAAGCGATGCTGCCACAGCCAGCACCTGCCACCACCAGTTCGCCGCAGAAAGTCAGTCACGCGCAGCCTGAGCTGGTCGTCTCTCCTGAAAAGCCGGCTATAGCGAACGAAAGTCGCCAGGTGACACCGAGCACACCGACTAAATCCGGGCAAGCAGCCAAACTGGTGCTCGCGCAGAATAATCCGCACCTGAAATCCCATCGAAGACGACAGTCCGCGCAGGCGGTCATAGGTTCTAGGAGTCCTTCACGAGTGAATTCGACGAGTGTCTCGCAGGTGAATTCGCCTCTGCGGAACTCGAGTGCCGAGGAGCGAAAGGAAGGTAGGAAAGTGACTGGGGTGGATGAGACGGAGGAGAAGGAAATGATAAAGGGCCTGGTGGGTGGTTTGGAGCATACGAGACAACTTGGCGAGAGTCTTTTCGATCGGTGGTGTGAAGGGCTTAGGGTGAGATGGCCTGCCGTCTGAAGAAGAGCACTCGCGCTTGTTGGAAATGGAGAAAGTAAGTGCTGCGTGTGCATGCGTGGTGCGTTGGCATTTCATGATTATACCGCTCGTTGCCAACTTCATCTTCTGGGCACGACGGATGCCTTTACTGTGTGCTGAATTCATGGAACGACCTTTTTGGGGGCTCGGGATTTGCATAGCGCGCGACCTGGATTGGATGGATTGCATGGGGGAGTTTAGAAGGGAGACTACAGTAACTTACTTGGTCGGCCTGTCTGTTCAGTCACTTGCTCTTGCTCTTGCCTTACACTACACGAGTGTACCTGTCTAACTCGACTCGACTCGACTCGACTCGGCGACAGACGAGAATTGTACAGAAGGGCGGGGAGCGGTGGCAAGGACACAAACTGCCAGGTAGGCATCGCTCGCAAGCAAGCTCGCAAGCGAGCAAGGCACGGCTTTGAGTGTCAAAGAACAGACCTGGCGGGGGAAGATAAAAGTAGATGGATAGATGGATAGACAGACCCTCCGCAGGACGAGGAAATTCCCGCCACGGAGTTTAAAAGTAGATGTAGTATGTACCTAGACACTTTAGATCTCACGGCCGAAGGGAGAGGAGGGAGGAAGGAGGCAGAGACGGGGGGGAGAGTAGGGCAGGGAAGGAGCAGAGCGGATTGCAGAGACGAGGGCCTCGAATAGTAGCATGTACTGTAACTTGTACTAAATCATATACCATGTACTCTATACTGAATATGCGTATGTGTATGTGTATCATGCATTGTGTATCGTGTACCACGTACTATGTATGTCTGTATGTGTATGTGTATGTGTATGTGTATGTGTATGTGTAGGTGTAGGTGTAGGTGTAGGCGTAGGCGTATGTGTGTAGACTAGTAGACTAGATATAGATATCGTACCGCGGGTCAGTGAGTGAGCGAGTAAGTACTGGAAGTACAAGATGTAGGTTGAGTATCTACTCCTGTACGGAGAGTGTATTCCCTACAGTACCTACATTCTATGTCCTCCAGCTTTGTACTGTATGTAGACGACGTCGACCGTGATGGAGATCTCTGACTGTTTATGATTTGTTTGTACTACTCCCACTGTTGTCATGACTATAGCTATACTTACTCGGAGCATTACCGGGTCTAGTATACTATAGCACAGCACAGCACAGCACAGAACACGACAGGACACGACAGGACACGACAGGGCACACTCATCCAACAGGATCCTATTAGACGTCCACAGCATATTGTGCACGCATGCATGCATGGTGGGTATCAAAGTACATCCGTCGTCCTCTCCAGGACGTCGCAGACAGCAAATCACACATGCGAACTCGGTACTCCCGGTCAAGCAAGTTGAGCAGGGTACTGTACGAGTAGAAAGCACGGAGCCCGCGCAGAGGAGAGGATGGCAGAGCAGAACAGAAGATTGAAACCGGGAGAAACCGACCAACGCTCGCTTGAAATACGCACACCAGCATCCGCACGCTCACGCTCACGCTGACCTGCAAGGAGAAGTCAAGAGAAGCCAAATGAAGCCGAATGTAACGCAAGACCGCCGGTCTGCATCTAACCCTCCTCGTGCTCCTCCCCAGGGTACTCAGGGTATGCATGTAGTCCAAGTCCGAGTCCAAGTCCAAGTCCGAGCCAGGAACAGACCGTGCATACCCTGCAGGATACCCTGCTACCCTGCCTACCGCCTCCGCCCTACGACCGCGGAAGCCGATTCCTTCCCACGACCAAATCATCCAATCTCAACGTTAGTCCCAACCCGACGCCTGATTCCTTCTTACTCCCGCCAAAGAGGTCCATCTCCCGTCTTGTCCGCGGCGTGACGGCTTCGTTTGGCCTGCGTGGGTTGTCTGTTTCGCTGTGATTCGTCATAACTCTCTGCTTGGAGGTGTGCTTGTGATCCCATTGCCCACTGCTCACGACACGCTCGAGCTGTTGTACCACGTGGCTGGCGTTGTCGTCCGCGTATAGATTCTGGTTCGTATCCACGGGCATATTCTCATTGTCCTCCTCGCTTTCGTTCTCCGTCCCGCCCTGGCTGCCAAAATCTCGTGTAATGATGCTGGCGAACGAGGTGCAGCCGGCACGCGACGACGATCGAGAAGGGTACAAGGACAAGGACCGTTGATTCTGGTCTGTCTTGGCCAGCGTGCGCAGTGCCAACGGGGCCATGGCCTCGCCTTCCTCTTCTGGGTCGGGAGACTCGGCCCGCACGCTGGCGTCCTCCCAGATTGAGCCGCCGCCGGTGGACATCATCGAGGTGACTCTGCTCGAAAGGGAGATAGAGAGATGCGACCTTGGAAGGCACAGCGTTGGTTTCGTGCCTTTGGTCGAGTCAATTCGGTGGAGATTGCTCGCGTTGGCGAGAGGACTCGGACCACGACTGAGCAGCCCTTGATGTCTCTCTTGCGGAGGCGGCGGAGATGGAGGCGTACTCGAGATGGATGGAGCACAAGTCGAGTTCCTGAGACCCCTGACACGTTTATTTAATGGCGGAGAGGGCAGAGCAGTCATCTCGGGGCTCTTGTCTCCGCTGGCGTTGGACCTTCCTTGCTCGAGAAGACGGGCCTCTGAGTTCATGCTTTTCAACATCATGACGGTCTTTCCCAGAGCGAGTCCAGTCTGACCGTTCGGCCCGGGGTATTTCCCCACGCGATGCTTGTGGGTTTGTTTGTTTTGAAGAGGGCTGGTGCTGCTGGTTGTCATTTGCGCACTGGTTCGGGGACTGCGGGGGCCCTTTACCAGCGACTTCCGTGGGTACAAGGACGAGGAGTTCAAGGCTGGAGACGGCAAGATCGGCGACTCGAACGGTGATGGCTCTGATGGCCGCGCCGAGGGTGGCGTGTTGTTCACGTCAAGCTGCATCGAGTGTGGGAGCGGCCAATGACAAGGAGTGTTATTGTATGGGCTTGACATTGCTAAGTCCATGTGAGTGGAATTGAACACCTCCGAGTCCGGTCTTGGTGTCCCCAAGGGTCTGCGTAGTCCTGGAGCGGAGCTGGCCGGAGGCTGTATGTACTGTTTCCGAGCTGGACGAGGCGTGGGCGTCAGAATGGGGGCGTTTTTAAAGAGAGATGGCGTTGGAGAGGATTTGAGGTCCATGGGAGCGGGCGACCTTGGTCTGAAAATCGGTCGAAGTTGCTTGATCTCGAAGACGCTTAATCTCCCTGTGGGAGTTGCGCCCGTCGAGTTCGAAGGCAGCTCTTCTCGCAACTCTGGCAGTCGTTGCACACTGGACCTTCTGTCAGGAACAGGCAAATTCATGATTCTGATGCAGTTCTGCCGTTTATGACCACGCTTCGGTCCGTCAGAATACGCCGGGGACGCCAGAGAGTGGCGTTTGGACAAGGAGCCTGTCTGCCGGGTCCAATCCAACGGATTTCCTGTGGCCACTGAGTTGGGTCGCCTCAAAGCCTCGCCAATGGCAAAGACATCGTCGTCGGGAATGAGACCCGGAGCAGGGTCACTCACTGCGCGCCATTGTGCAAGCTTCGATGGTTCAATCATGGAATGCCGGTTAGGTAGACCGGATTGCTTCCGAATCTTATTGACCTTCAAAGGTGGTAGAGTCCAATTACTGGCATCGATAGTCTTGAGAGATTCTTCTCGGACAACGATGGGTGGAAGTCGCGGAAGGTCCGAGAGATTTCTCGCCGGGCTTGCCTCGTCCAAGACCACAGTTGGATGCAGGGAGCGAATGCTTGCACCTGTGACCAGTCCGTGGATCGTCTTCCTGACCGGTGGTGCCTGGAGTTCTGGCGTAGCGAACTCACGCTTCAAAGCGAGGTCAAATGCGGGAGGCCGCCGGTTCTGTGCAAGACAGGAATGGTTGGCATCTGCTCCATTGATGGCAGGCGAGCTCATGGAGGCTCCCAAGACTGAACTGCCAACCGTCTCGAGACTGACGTTAGATGCTCTCCTCAGGTCATGATTCTTGGGCCGTTTGAGGGCGTCAATCGCAGGCAGGGGTGGGAGGGGATCATCTGGCGCCATTGATGCCGTACTAGTCGCACTGGTGGAATACGGAAGTCCGTGCAAGGTCGACGCGACATTATGCACACCTCCTCCTCTCCTCATGAGCACGCTTTCCCGTGCTGTTATTTCCATAATTTCAGTAGGCATGCTTCTGGAGCCTCGCGTGTTCGCGTCGGCCAACGGCCACTGGGTGGAAAGATGCTTTTCCGGCCGGGTCACAGCAGTTTCTGGAAGTAACATTGTCGTTGAATGAGCCGAAAATTCAGATGTATCCGCAGGAGCGCTTGTGGGAGGGTCACTGAACTCGGTAATCGCTGATAGAGGCGATCTTTGTATTCGCTCTATTGGCACCGCTTTCCGTAACTTTCCCGCTCGGCGTGGCTTTGGGATATACAGCGGTTCGCCGCTGAATCCACGCTGTATGCTTCTGTTGGTTTTGGATCGCAGCACCTCTGTATACTCGCCGACATGTTCGTTGGAGGCCCCCAGTTGTCTCTCCTCGTCGTCGCCAGGCTTGTCATCGTGACCGATGGATACAATTCCATATGGTAACTGAACACTTCGTCGGAGAAGGGAGCTCGGAGGCATGATGTGAGAGTAGTTGAGGCCATTGGCACTGAGTTTGGTTCGGTGATAATTGCTGAGACCTCGCGTCAGGCCATGCGCTTTCAGGATCTTAGTGTGACGCCGCCGCTCCAGACTGATTGCGAGCAAGATCCCTGTAATCGTCAGAGCCGCAGCACCAACGACCGCCACGGTTATTATTGACCCTATCGACCACATCGTTCACTTCTCGACGCCTCTCGCTCTGTCGATCTACATGAACCCGAAACATGGTGGAGAAAGCAAGTTTCGGGGGTGCTGTTTGCCCGAGTGTGTCCGCGCGATGGCTGGAATGCGGGAGATTGCACAGCCTTGTGGCAAGGGATGCAGTATCAAAGAAGAATGCAAGGGGACGTACCTTCTTCGAAGCACGTGGCTTCCGCAAAGGCCAGCTAGGGCCATGATAGTCTGGCTGAAAAAGAATAAGCTGCTTCAGAACGCGTACGAGTGTCTGAGGTTGCTCGGGGAAGAGAGGCACCATTCAAACATTCTCCTCTGAGAATTCTACTAGGACAGACCAGCCTGAATCATCGAGGCGTCAGGCCGGCTGTAGATTGATAGAAAGACAAAGCATCACGCCTGGACGCCATTGTCTTTGCGCGAAAGCACAGCACCGTTGATTGTGGAGGGCGTCACTGTCCATTCTGTGCGATCCAGCAACACGGTCGGATCAGATGGGAAGGCGGATGTGGCGAGTGTGGCACTTTCTTCACACCATCGGAAGGGTGGCTAGTGGCTCGTAAGGAATATACAGTATGCTTTTAGACTTGAGGACGGTGATATAGGACAGGAAGATGAGTTTGAACAACGCGTCGAAATCAGTCACGTACAGAAGCGGCAGTTCTCCGGTGGTCATCTCCCCCTCAGCACGCAGACTTGGGCCACATTCAGCGGCGTCAGGAGGAGCTGCTACATTGGTAGAAATCGTTCTTCATCCCGGGATAAGAGCGCCGGATGTGTGCCTGCCAATTGCCGATAGATGCTCGGTTGACTCCGCCAGATGGACAACTGTCGAATTCCTGGTCCTGGTCCCGGAGCGGCAATGTTCCTTCAACGGGAACAGATGTGGGGGTTCGGCACGCAATAGCAATATATAAGCAGTAGCGGTACTCTTATTTGCAGGACTACATTTGCTCCATTGAGAGGTTCGATTATTGGTAACCATCGCAAGAACAGATTGAGTGATCCTGCCGTAGCATTCTTTACCACGGGAGCCTCAGAAACGAATTGTCAAGATGGATGACGCCATGAATGGAGGGAATTTCAAACACTACAACACCGAACCGCCTGAGTCGAAATATATCATGCCGTTGTTCTCGTTGAAGGGCAAGACAGCGATCATCTCGGGAGCGGGACAAGGCATCGGACTGGCAGTGGCACGAGGATATGCTGAAGCCGGCGCCAACGTTGCGATTTGGTTCCATTCGAACAAAAAGGCTCACCAACGGGCGGAGGAGATCGAGAAGGAATTTGGCGTCAAGTGTAAGCATTGAACCTTTCATGAGCATGATAGACTCGGGTGGCTCAACCACCCATAGGTCGAGCATACCAAGTCGACGTTCGAGATGCGGCGGCGATCGACGAAGCCATAGTTTCTCAAGTCAAAGAGTTCAACAACCGCCTCGACATATTCGTCGCCAATGCCGGCATCCCCTGGACTCAGGGGCCCATGCTGGGAGGCGAGCTGGAGCACTATCGAAATGTGATGAAGATCGATGTCGATGGCGTCTTCTACTGTGCGAGAACAGCGGGCAGAATATGGAGGGAGCAGAAGAAGAACAAGCTGGACGGTTTCACCTATGGGAAGTTTATTGCAACTGCCAGTATGTCTGGACATATTGCGAACATCCCGCAATTGCAGACTGCCTACAATGCTGCAAAGGCCAATGTCAAGCACATGTGCCAGTGTCTCGCCGTGGAATGGGTGCAGTTTGCCAGGGCGAACAGTATCTCTCCAGGATACATTGCGACCGAGATCAGCAACTTTGTGCCTCCCGAGACGAAGAGTATCTGGAGAGACAAGATCCCGATGGGGCGAGAAGGAGAGCCGATTGAGTTGGTGGGCGCGTACTTGTATCTCGCCAGTGACGCAAGTTCCTATACCACAGGAACTGATATTCTGATTGATGGGGGATACTGTGCGCCATAATGATAGGAAGATCGCTCCTCCCCAGACCCATGTCGCATTCGAGTAATTGCACCATCAAGATCCAAAAAGCTCGTGTGCACGGTCGTAGTTGCTGGATTTTGCTGAAGCGCTGAGATGAACCTGGTGAAAACGGCGGCTGTGGTGGTGCTCAGATCGGTTCGGTCATGGCAAGCGTCTCTTTCGGTGCCTGCACGTCACGTCCAACGCTCCGCGACATTGAGGCTCTCCGCTGTGCTATCTTCCCTTCTCGAACTCCTCCGATTGCAATCGTCTTGGGCTGCGGAAACCTTGCTCGAGGACGGCGTCGGATGGAGGAATGATTGTCATCGTATGAGTCGGGTGACTGGGTGACGGGAGTCTGGTCATCTGGATAATCCTCATTCTGGTCATCGTCGCCCAATCGATTTGACTTTTGCGCCTCCAGTGTCAATGGGGCCTTGACGCATTCGTGCATGTTGCATCTCAGGACCTGTGCGTAGCGGACTGCTAGAAATACTGTGCAGATGCCCAGAGCCACGACTCCGATGATGACCAGGACTGTCGACTGCCGAGTTCGGAATGGGTTGTCGATGATTGTCAGTACTGAATCCGGTCTGGATACGGAAAAGTATGCCCGCGGAGGTTCTGTGGTAGAAGCGGTCGAGTTGAAGAGAACCTCGTCCTCCGTGACCTCCGTGGACATGTTGAGGTGCAATCTGTTGCCTCAAGTTTTGTCAAATATGATAGACAACATTTCCAGGACCAAATGCAGACCGGCCATCTACATGTCGCAGCCGGGAATTTGCAGACGGGAGAAGGGTAGCTGGGTGCGGTACAATTGCGAATCAGATATCTTTCCGTTCACTTGACCCGGAGTACGCCAAACGCTCGGTCTAGCTCTTCCCCTTCACGGCTTGGGGACATTGCCGGAGCAGAGATGGTGTTCGCAGGTTGGCCATCGAGTAGATTCTCCCCCTTTGCCTGTGCCTTGGTAGGCTCTAAGATCTTCTCTTCACGATCCAACCAACCGGGTGCGACCCGTCGCTTCTCTGCCAGATCTCGGTCTTTGATATCTTGCTCCCAGTCTTCAATGGCCTTCTCTGCGTCCCTTACGGTCTTCTTGAGGTGCTCCTGAAGGGCTTTACACGAATTTATGATATCGTCTGGGTGAGCAGAATGACCTGAGGACGAAGTGACATATTTGGGCTTCCCCGGGCCATTCTCAGAGACGAGGGAAGGGGGGAGCGACGTCGGCACGGATCGAAAAGTGTACGGAAGAGTCACAACTGTCGGCAAGGACAAAAAGGGCGAGACCGTCAAGGGGACCTGAGCCAGCAGAGGATGGGGTTCTGGACAACAGTCAGTGTCCGAGACCCGCAGGCTACTTGTAGGATGCCATACTGTGGGAGTCAAACATGTTGATCGGTCGCTGAATGAGGTGAGAGGTCGGCCTAGGAAGACACCTCCGGTTTGTTCGCAGTATTATCAGTACTGCGCAAGGAGTGAGAGAGTCAATTTGCTGTGGTAAATGAATACCTACGGAGTACCTACCTAGGTCCTCGTATGATTGGAGACCTGCGGGGCATGCCTACTGTCTGGATCTAAGCATCCTCGGCATGTGCTGAGTAGGTACCTTAGGTAGGTACCTGGACCTTTGGTGAGGTACGAGCTCCAGAGAGCTTGGGGGAGTCAGGCCAGAGCTGGGCGCGTGCCTCGCTTGCCCTCTGCCCCTCTTTGACCAAATTCCCTCGTGCCCTTGTCCCCTCTCCGTGTGCCTCCTGGCCCGCATGCTGTCTTTGTGGTTCTCGGAACCCACACCAGTCCAATCGGTGAGCCAAGCTCCTCCTTCATCCATTTCTCAGCATTTGCTATTCGCGGTGCATGACTACGAGACTTCTTAAGTGCGGTTCTGGGTCAATCGCCAAAGCTTGGAGACACTTCAGCCCTGGCCCAAACCGGTTTGGACGCTTGAAATCCAATTGCTACTGAAACTGTTGGACTCTCTACACTGTGCAGCCTCAGCCGCCCCCAAAGATCAGTCCGCTTTTCTTTCAGCTCTGACATTGGGTTGATATCTAACACCACTCCAACCTTCACTCGCAATCTCCTCTGAGAAACTGTGGTACTCATCTTTGAGTCGCGCTGAACAACGGGTGAAATTCGCCTCCTGACCATCACTCACGACCAAAACATATCCCTCCGGCGCTAGCATCCTGGCACCGCCTTTGCTGACCATTGCCTCATCGACCTTCTGCGACGCTTTGATTTTCCTACTGGAGAAGGCGATTCTGCTACAAGTCGACAATCTCCGACTTTGACCAAGCTTCTGCGCCAGGTGCGCACCTAGCTGGCAGAATGGACGGCGCGTTACACAGGGCGGTGGTGGACAAGAAGCCTATCCCGGAGATAGATTTCACCCTGCACATCATGGAAGATGGCTCCCAAGTGAGCACCCAGGAACGAGTTTGTAAAGGTATGTCGGAAACCTTGCTTTTCATCAAGCCTACCTCTGACCCAATCGCAGATGTTCAGGCCCCTGCTATGCAACCTCCTACAAACGAACAGTTCTGGTCATCCTCGGAACGATCCAAGCCCAACCTGTCCTTCTTGAAACAGCATTTCTACAGGGAGGGTCGTTTAACTGAAGAGCAAGCACTATGGATCATCCACGAGGGCACCAAAATCCTAAAGGCGGAGCCCAACCTGTTGGAAATGGACGCCCCCATCACAGTTTGCGGTGACGTCCATGGGCAATACTTCGACTTGATGAAGCTGTTTGAGGTGGGCGGAGACCCTGCTGAGACCAGGTATCTATTCTTGGGCGACTATGTCGACCGAGGATACTTCAGCATCGAGGTTTGTTTTCCTTAATTTCCCCCCTAACACATGTGGCTGACCTAGATAGTGCGTACTGTACCTGTGGTCCCTCAAGATATGGTATCCCAACACCTTGTGGCTTCTTCGTGGGAATCATGAGTGCCGCCACCTGACAGACTATTTCACATTCAAACTCGAGTGCAAGCACAAATACTCGGAAAAGATCTACGATGCGTGCATGGAGTCTTTCTGCGCCTTGCCTTTGGCCGCCGTTATGAACAAGCAATTCTTGTGTATACATGGTGGCCTGAGTCCAGAGCTGCACACTCTGGAGGACATCAAGATTGTAGGTCGTCCGCGATCTATTGGTGGACCAAAATTGACGCTGGTAGATTGATCGCTTCCGCGAGCCTCCCACCCACGGCCTGATGTGCGATATCCTCTGGGCAGATCCTCTGGAGGAATTCGGGCAGGAAAAGACGGGCGAGTACTTCGTGCACAACCATGTGAGAGGCTGCTCGTACTTCTTCTCGTACCCCGCCGCCTGCAATTTCCTTGAGAAGAACAACCTGCTCTCCATCATTCGCGCACACGAGGCGCAAGATGCCGGCTACCGCATGTATCGCAAAACCCGCACTACAGGCTTCCCCAGCGTCATGACCATATTCAGCGCACCGAATTATCTCGATGTTTACAACAACAAGGCCGCAGTCCTCAAGTACGAGAACAATGTTATGAACATCCGACAATTCAATTGTACCCCTCATCCATATTGGCTGCCGAATTTCATGGATGTCTTCACTTGGTCATTGCCTTTCGTCGGCGAAAAGATCACAGACATGCTCATTGCCATTCTCAACACATGTTCTAAAGAAGAATTGGAGGATGATGCAACAAGCTCCAACATGGGCCCCGAGACACCTCCGTTTGGGGCAGATCCGGAATCCACCGAGGCGAAGAGACGAGCGATCAAGAACAAGATCCTTGCTATTGGCCGTCTGTCGAGGGTGTTCCAGGTCCTGCGTGAAGAATCCGAGCGTGTGACTGAGCTGAAGACGCAGGCTGGTGGCCGCTTGCCGGCGGGCACCCTTATGCTGGGGGCAGAAGGCATCAAGCAGGCCATCCACAACTTCGAGGACGCGCGTAAAGTCGACCTCCAGAATGAGCGTCTGCCGCCATCGCCTGAGGAGATCGAGAAGCGAAGTGCCGAGGATAGGCGCGCTGCATTGGAAAGGGCTGCCGCCGAGGCAGAGAACGACACCAATCTGCAGGGGGTCGCCAGAAGGATTAGCTTGTGAGTACTCTGCCGTTTCGTCCTGTCAAACTAGACTAACATGGCTCAGCGGATCTGCTAACCCACGTGGCCATCGTCGTAAGGATTAGCGAGACGGTTTGTGGGAGCCTGCGAGCCTGGAATTCAAACAAGCGCCTCTTGATTGACGACTCAACGAATGCATGAATCCAACGTGATTGATCGGGACATGGGGAGACACAATCAAGTAAAGGGCCAAGCACATGATTGATTGGGTGCTAGGAATGTTGTGCTGAGTGGTCCGGGGAGAGCGGAGGACGTCACTGTGAAAACTCTAAGTGTCAAGGGCGGAAGTGGTTCGCTGACAGCTGCCGTTTCCCAAGTCTCGTCTCTGATGCCTGAGGCACCGCTGCGTTACCGCGCACTGCAGGCGCCAATGGTCGGCCTGCCTAGAGATGGGAGTTTACTTTGGCAACCAGAACAATAAAAGGCTCGAAAGCCCCGTTGCAGCCGCCTCTCGTTGCTCTCGCACACACACTCTCTATCCCTCTTTACCACTGGCGCCATGATTTGTGTCAGAGTGCCACCCGATGCTCAAGAGCCGCATGGAGGCAGGCATTGAGTATGTATGATTTCCAGGCCATCACATGCGGACCCGGCACCAAACATACCTTGTCCAATAGCCGAAATCTTCGCTGCTCGACACACAGCCATCTAGCCCGAAATGCAGCACTTAACGCGTCGACACGAGGTCCAGGCGCAGGGGCAGTGCTCCCAGGGCAACGGGGCAACTGGTGCCAGGGTCGTGCCGCTCCATCGCCGGGCGCCATGTTTTTCCGGGCGCTACGAAATGCGGCTCAATGGTCTCCTTCCCCTCCACCCGCCTACTTTAGACCTACCAGACCTACCTACCGGTCGCATACCATTATCGAGGACCCGACCTTCATTCGTTACCCAGTCACTGATTTTTGGATAATCATGTGCTCAACTTGAGCTTCTTCACGCATCGTCTTCGCTCTCGTACTGTCTTGCTTTGTAGCGGAGTTTCGGCTCATTGAAAACATTTTGGGAGCCCATGAGGCTGTCCTGACATCGGAAGGTGAGCTGCGCCTTATCTCGAGAGAGACTCGTCAATAACGTGCGAGTGGCGTTCTTAGGGTTCCGCTGAAGTGTGCCTTCTCTAGCAGCACTCTATGTGACCTCGTTTTGAGCATTGTGGACCATGGCTACCACACCTCATGACACCAGCCGAAGAATTGACCAGGCCATAGACTCTCTCAATGCTCTCTGGGATCTCGGGCTCCCAAGATTGCATGGAGTAGATGCCGATCTAGCCGACGAAACAGGTCGCTTAGCATCGAGATGCTCCAAGAGGATCAGATTCTTGTGCTACAGAGCAGCCGACATCGAAGCCATTCTCGCAGACTTCAATCAGAATGCCCGGCAGATTCATTCAGAATGGGTTTTCAAGCCTTCACAAGAGCGAGGCACTCTGCCAGTCCTTCCTCAGAGTAAGAGTCTGGTGGAACGCGACTTTCGAAGCAAACACAAATCTGGCGCCGTGCGACTGTCAGACACGCAGCGACATCAATTGCAGGAACGCCTGTTCAAGATCTTGGATGACAACTACGAGTTGGCAAAGATGACCCGTACCTATTCGACTGAAAGGGCTTCCTCAGCGTCCTTCATCACGGCACCGTCGACTCCCCCGAAGCAGAGCGCCACCCGCAAGCAGGAGCCTAAGACACCCAGACGCCAAGTTGTGAATGCTTCTGAAGTGACCGTGTCCAGATTTGAAGATCCTCAGCTCAAGAATCCCATGACAAAGTCGAGCAAGCGCACGCTGGAGTCTCCTGATGGGGTCAGTCTCACCCTCACACCTGACATCATTTGTACTTACTAATGGGTGCAGCAAAACAAGCGGCAGTACCGACAGCAGACATTGTCTCAATTTCTATCATTCAAGCCTCTACCTGCCTCTCACGTTCAAGCCAGCGTTGCTCCCGCCGCCCCATACACCAGTTTCGAGACTGCGCCATCTCCTGCAGTGTCTTCGGTTTTCACGACTCCAGAAGAACAGGACGCACCAAATCTCTCGAATGCGACCTCAATGCTTAGTCCGCAAGACGAAGAGTCCCAAGATCTGTTTCCGACACAAGATGTCATGGAATTCGATCAGGACGAGGACTTCCGAAAGTCGTATCATGAAGCATGTCTCCCCTCAGCCGCAATCGATTCGACAGACCTTCTTCGGAACACTCCTTTCAAAGTACACGCTAGGCTACCAGGGGAGCTCCCCTTCTGGTATAGCTGGGAACTCCATCGCCTCGCCCCATCAGCTGGCCTCAAGCCGGTTGAGCTGGACCAGATGGTTCGGCAAGAGCGCGGAAAGGATGACCCATTAGGTGCCAACTTGTACGATACAGTCAAGAAGATGCACCAGAGGAAAGACCAACGATCGCTGCCTGCGAGGTCGGAGTTGCCGACCTGGATGACCTCGCAGAACAGATACTGGGACGAGCAAACAAACAAGGTTGGGTATTTCACGGCTGCCCTGGAATGGAGTGATGACCCATCTCAAGGGCTATTCCAGTTGCGACTCAACCCAGTCCAGTTGGAGCAATCGTGTCGCCTCCACCGAAAGTTTGGCGCCGATAGGTTTATTGTGCTCTCCACTCCAGTCTTTTCTAGACCACCAGAGAACGTTCGATTACTTGACAAGGGCAATGGCGCGCTGCATGAAAAGATCATCAGCTTCCTGACGTCGAACCAACATTTTGTCGCGGGCCGCTACTGGAGAACTTGCTTTGTGCTAGACGAAACGCAGGAAACAAAACTGAAGAAGTCGAGTAACAGGATCGTTCTGTTTGCGGAAACTGGGTATGACATGCATCAGCGTGCTCCTGCCCATCTTGGCGCCTTCGCATTGAAAGATGGCATGCCACACCCACAGATCATGCTGGAAGATTTGATGCAGTGGCACATGCCAATAGAAGCCAACCACAAGTCGCCGGAGCTCAAACTCTTCTCGAGATGGGCTCTTGGCTTCTCGAAGACGATTCCTACTGTGGAACTCAAACCACACGAATTTCTCCACTTGCCCGACAAACTGGGCAACGAAGCAGTCGAAGAACCCGGCGGCAAATGGGCGCGTCAAGTCATGAACGATGGCTGTGCCCTGATCTCGTACCCACTGGCAAAAGCCATTTGGGCGGCTTCTGGCGGTGCCGGCGAAGTGCCTTCGGCCGTCCAAGCACGCGTTTCAGGAGCGAAGGGATTGTGGATCGTAGATTACCAAGGGAGGTTCCCTGATGTCAGTCAGCGAGGGTTTTGGATCCAGGTTTCCGACTCCCAATTGAAGATTAAACCTCATCCTCGGGAACGACTTGATGCCGACGCCACTCAGCGTACCTTCGAGGTGTTAAAATTTGCCCAAGACTGTATCGAAACTCGCTTGAACCGGCAGCTGATTACCGTCCTCGACGACAGAGGCGTGCCACGCAGCGTGCTCAGAGATGCGTTGGAAGAAGACATTAGATTGTACTCGGAATCCCTGACCAACGCAATGTCCGACCCCCAACGCCTGCGGCTGTGGATGCAGGAGTACGGCTATTCTTCTCCGTCCCAACATGTCAAATTCTTGGGGTCGCTTCCGGACGGCAAGCAGCACCAAATGAAGCTGCTGCTCGAGTCAGGCTTCCACCCGTTGCGTTGCGAGCAGCTCGTGGTATGTGCTAAACACTTGCTCAAAGACCATATGACCCGTTACCTCGAGAAGTTGTCCATCAAGCTGCCATATTCTACTATGGTCTACTGCGCCCCTGACCCATATGATGTTCTAGACGAGGACGAAGTGTTCCTGAGTTCCTCGACTCCTCTCGTTGACCCACGAACGGGGATCGGCGAGACCGCGCTTGATAATATTAAGGTACTGGTGGCTCGCAACCCGGCACTTCTGGCTTCTGACATACAGCTGAGAAAAGCTGTTTACAAGCACGAGCTGCGGAATTACAAGAACGTCATCTTGTTCTCAACACGGGGTAACAAGTCGACAGCAGCGCTTCTCTCGGGTGGTGACTATGATGGTGACACGGTTACTTGTATCTGGGACCCCAGGTTTACCGAGCCATTCTGCAATGCCGAGATGCCACGAATGCCCACACAAGCAGAATGCAGCATGGTCAACAAGTCCTGCCCACTATCAGATATCTTTCATGGTGGTCGGTATGATGCCCAATCGATGCCGAATTTCCTACAGCGCTGTCTCTCTTTCAATACCAAGGAAGGTTTTCTAGGGACCTGTGCCAACGAGTGGGAGAAGCTCGTATACTTCCTCAGTCGAGAACAACAAAGTGCCAAACTGTCACAAGCGGGTGCAATCAAACTTGCCGCGCTCGCTGGCTATTTGGTGGATAGCCGCAAGCAAGGCTGGTCCATCAGCGAGACAGACTGGTACTCATTCCGCAAGACCGCCACCGGCCTTTTGAGATTGTCTTCACCTGGCTACAAAGAAGGCAAGGCTCCCCCCAAAACTGCAGCGACTCATCTCAACGTGATCGACTACCTTACATTCGATGTTGCAGAAAGTGAGAAGGACAAGGTGCTGGCAGATATGCAGGCCCGCCGAAACCAGGCAGCAACATATGATAGGGATCTCAGTCAATTCTGGAGAAAAGAGGAGGAAAAGATGAGAATGGAGCAGGATGAGTTGAAGGCGAGGCGACTGCCGCACGCTGATGTCTCCGCGTACGGTCAAGGCACGCCTACGCTCTATGATATGTTGAAGGGTGAGGACGGGCTGCACGGTCACATAACCCGGTTGCAGGAGACATGGGAGAAATTTCGTACTCCGCCTGACACTAGCTTCAACTCCCAGAGGGGACACACGAAAGATGTCGACTATGCTGCTTCTCTTCGGGTGGTTTACGAGCAGTTCAAAGCCATCGAGCCGAAGAAGGTCAATCATCGGCTGCGGCTGCGGTACGAGGAGGAGGAAGAGGACCAGCATCCCTTCGCATACTGGACACTTCTCCGGGCGTCGTGTCTTTATACGTCGCTTACCACCGGCAGACGGAGTTTCCCGGGTTGGGCATGGCAAGTCGCCGGGCACGACTTGTGCGTCCTCAAGATGCTCCGCTACAACGGCAAAGTCATGCCTATGGTGGCGGAAATCCACGGACTGTTGAGAGTCGATACGAAATTCACCAAGCGGCTACTCGAACGCGGCGACAACGATGACGACGGGCTTGCCGAAGATGCCGACGAAGATTTCGTTGAAGACGTGACCAGGGAGTTTGGTTGAGCTTTGGCAAAGGCACATTGTAAACAATACGCGAGATACCCAGGGGTGTGTTGTAAGATACTGTGACTGATTTGTTTCTGGATTGAGTCGAGGGAGTTGGAAAGCTCAGGAATCATCAGGATCACTGGCATCCCTTGATGGGAACGAATTAATGAAATGAACTGGTGACTGCGAGAGTCAAAGCGCAATCAAGCATCCCTTCGTCTGGCAGACGTGGCGTGGCACGTTCATCTTCATCTTACGCCTTACGCCCTTGAGTCGCTTGTATCTCCCGAGGAATTCATCCAGCCTCCTTCTCCTAGCCCTTGCCTACCCTCTTCAATCAATGAGCATTCTTCAAGATGGCGACGGTCGATTTTCAATTTATTCCAAAACGCCCTTTTGACCGCTTCAACATGGCATCATCCGCAGTGTTGGCTGCGCAGTCTCCAGCATCACCATTGACAAGTCACGACCATGGCGAGGCAGAGCCAAAACTACACGGCAGCATACAGAATTGCCAGCGTCTGCTTCGTCCTCCCACTGGCTTACGGCATATTCATCATTGCCGTCTTCATGCGAGCAAAGGCCCTTGTTTGCCCGACAACATCTGCCGGCATTGATCTCTCCATTGCTTTTGTAAGTACGGCTGCAAGATCTGCATGACACCTCCAGCACTGGCTGACAGCCCCAGTCGCTACCTACCATCATCGTCGTCGGCACTCGCTGCTACCTCATTGTCCGTCAAAGGACCAAGAATCTGCAGACGATATCGCCATCGACCGCTTCCCCAAGACTTGAATCAGCCTGCAGCGCCGGCATACAGCTTCTTCTCTTCCTGTGGGTGATACTCGCCTGTGTCAATCTCCTTGTGGCTCTCAGAGCGCCTGTCTGTCTTGATCTGCCGTTGCCTGAGTGGCGGGACAGCCTAAAGGAACAGAAGTGGAGATATGGCCTCCCGTGTCGACTACATCGGGGACTTGTGGCAATGTCGGTGTTGATGGCGTGAGTAATTATGCCAACGTCCTGTGGAGGGAGACTCACTTCTGACCGCGTTCTCGAGCACAGCCTTGGGATCACCTCTCTATCATTCTTTGACAGTATTGCCCAGTCACCCACTCGACGCGGGACAAGCCTCGTCAGCTGTTACTGCACCTGTCGGCATCCTCCCAAGGACCACCAACATGCACCATCTATCTCTAGCGGTCACTCAGACTCGTCGCTCGGTAAGGATGATCCTCTTTATCCCATCCCGGGACCCCGGTCTGGCCGAGTCGAGCGTGAGCAATGGCAGCGGCGGCGCAACAGTCTTTCTTCTCAGAAGGCCATATACCCACACAGGTATCAGTGGCACGACCAGAGACCACGATATGCCTCGTACAACTTACAGGCCAGTCCGTATTCGAGCATGTTAAGATCGGTATCTGAGGGACATTGCCTGGAGCTGAGCGATCGGAACTCGTCCATGACATCTTCACAATCATCGAAGACTTGGGCCACCATGCCGTCCACCCGCCCGTCCACGATCTCGTCTTCTCGGAGTCGAGCAAGCAGCAATCCCGAAAGGGGGGACCTGCGACGAGAAAAAGCCGGAGAGGCATCTGCCACGACTGCTGGGATTCCAGACGTCCCACCCCTTCCCACAATACCGCCTCCAGCATGGGCGCCCGCTCTCCACCATACCCCGTTGAGTGCCGACCCGACACTTCGAGCACTCAGCACCGGAGCTGCTTCACGGCCGTCGTTGCCGCACTCGAGATCGTCGCCAGATCTGCTTGTCCAGCCACTAAACATCAAGAAGCGCGAGTCGTCTGCACCTACGTTGTCGGCTGCGACACCAGCGACGGACAACAATGCAGAAACGAAAACGGCCAGACAACCATCACCGAGAAAGCAATCTGCACCACCCATGCCATCAGGACCGCCACCACCACCGCCGCCGCCGCCACCACCGCCACCAGTATTCACTGCTCAACCCCAGCCAGGAACGTCTGCAACTCCCATCATACCAACGCGAGCACCAGGCCACTCAGTGGCGCCAGTCATAGCACGAGCACAGACCGGCACAAGCATCACCAGCCACTCCACCTCGTCATCGACAACTCCTCCCTCTTCTGGTTCCAGCAGTCTCCGCCGACCGAATCCCATCCGCTACCGACACTACTACCACAACCAGCCATACAATGGCGCCGGACTGTCACAGACACAGTTGCCCCTGCAACAGTACCAACATCAGCGCGTGTGGCGGCACCTCCCAGGAGGAGCCAGAAACCCAAGTGTGTATTCGGCAAGCAGCTACGGGACACGGACATCGACCATGACCAGGGGTAGTAGTACTGTGCACCCGGCAAGTTCGAGGCCCCTTACGGGTGGCCGGCAGCGATCCGGTGGCGAGGGTCTCTGTGCCTCTACCTCTTTTCCGCCAGAGGTAATCGTACGAGAGTCTATGGTCCCGGCTGTCAGGCCATGATGTTTTTCGTGGCACTATACTCGTATTGTGGAATCTCGGCAAGATAGAGCGACCGTACGGAGTACTGGACCGTAGAGGCAATGTAAGGGAGGACTAAATTAAGTTATCGGGAAGTGATTCATGGTCCACATACTATTGCTATCAAGTGAGATGTCAGGGGGCTACGGCTAGAGCTAGGGAGGGAAAGAAAGGCATCACCTCTAAATGAGGTAGACTAAAAGCAATGGCAAGTGCCGGGTAGAAATATTCTACCTCGTACCAATATATCGCAAAGATGCCGCCCTCGTGACTTCGTAAGGGATGTTCTATCCAAACGGGCATCTCACGTCGACCACTCGCTCATCTTTTGGAAAAGGGACTGTACCTAAGGAAATGCTCTCCTTGACATGTCATTGTCTCAAAAGTCTCTATCTTGGTCTAGACCAGTGCGGACGACTGACCCTGGTCCAAAGCCATCTACACAATCAGTACGCAGTACAGGTATGCCTACATAGGTACTTTTACCGCACGTAGCATTGGCATATCAATATCCGTAACCATCACTCTTGGGCCCGGCCCTACACCGTGAGAGGAATGCATGCATGCATGTATATCTTTCGTGATCTGAACGTGACGTGGCGTGACATGACGACATAGAACAGAAACAGACCCGATCAAGCACACTCACATGCATGCATGATCTGCCCTGCCCTGCTCTGCTCTGCTCTGATCCGATATGATGGAACCGACCTTTTCTGTTCCTCTTCTAATGCACCAACACTGGCACCAGTACCAGCACCAGCACCCTTTTGTGACCTTGTGTGACCTCTGGCGCCCGTGGATAGATACGACTTCGCTGCTCACGTCATATCTCTATCCCCTTCTACCACTGCCTACTCCTTCCCCGTGGGAATCTTGAAGAAAACACCCTTGGCCTCCTTCGTCGGCGCCCGGTCACATCTGTAATACCCCTTGCGGTCGAACTGGAGGAAATCGTCCACTTTGACGTCCCAGACGTTCATGTCCGCGACGGCCTCGGTCTTGAACTCGCTCTGCTTGGTCAGGAAGTCTTCCCAGTGCGACTCGTCCTCTTCGGTCAACTTGTCCTTTGCGAGCAGGTGGTCAAAGTCGACGAGCTCGACGGGCACGAGATCCTGGTCCTTCGACAGCCATGTGATTTTCTTCTTCGTGGCCTTGAAGTCCCCTTCCAGGTGGAGTTCCAGCGTCATGGAAGAGACGTTGCCCAGGTTGCTTACCCCATCCGCCACGCCGTCGGCGGTGGTTGAGGAGGCAGTGGAGTTGGAGTATTCAATGTCGCGAACGTAGGCGTTGCCCCAGTTCATGAGCGTGATTTCTTCGTCTTTGGCGAAAGTGCGGGCGTCGTCTTGCTCGATGAGGATGTTCTGCGAGTAGACGACCTTCTTGTCGCCGAGATCGTATTTCGCGTGCTTGGGCTTCGTCTCCTCGTATGGATCGTCTTGCGGGAGATTGGTGATCTTACATACGACGTGGTTGCTGTCGATCGCCGTGTACCTCGCGGCCTTCAGATCGATGATCTTCTTGTTCATCGTCCAGATGGTGTGCCAATCCATGTTGACTACATTCTTGCTGGGGCCTTGGGAGACCATGAAATCACGCAAGCCCTCGACTGTCATGCCGCGTCGCCTTATGCCCCGGACGGTGGGGAACCGTGGATCATCCCAGCCGGACACCACGCCGGCGTTGACCAGCTTGGTGAGTTTCCTCTTGCTCATCAATGTGCGGACGAATTGAATTTTGGAGAAAGTCCATATGTAAACAGGTCGCAGCTCGAGAGCCTTCAGAATCCACTTGTACTGTGCATCTTGGTCGTTGTACTCAGTTGTGCGGAGCGCGTGCGTGACACCTTCGAGGGCATCGACGACCGGACAGGCGAACTGATAGGTTGGGTAGGCCTTGTATTTGTCACCGGTACGGTGGTGGGGGGTTTGGGTCTTGGGGCAACGGAAGATGACCGGATCGCGAAGGGAAGCATTGTCGTTTGCGTGCGAAATTTTGGCGCGGATGCACCATCGTTTCCCTTCCTCGGTGCCCTTCTTCATTTCCTCGAATCTTGCTAGGTTGTCCTCAATGCTGTCATCTCGGTGGACGCTCGGCTCACGTGCCAATCTTTGTGCGGACATAACGTCGCCGGGGGTGTCGTCAGCGTACGCCTTGCCGGCTTGGATGATCTTCACACAGTATTCATCTATCTGATCGAAGTAGTCGCTCGTATATGAAATCACATCCGGTTGGATCCCCAGCAAGGCAACGTCCTCACGGATAGCGTCTTGAAACTCGGCATTCTCTTTCTCAGTGTTTGTGTCGTCGAACCGAAGGATCATCTTTCCACCCGGGTATTGAATATGTGCGAAGTAGTCGTTCAGCAGTGCGGCTTTGGAGTGCCCGATATGGAGGTAGCCTGAGGGCTCGGGGGGAAATCGTGTGACGACGCCGGCGGCGGCGTTGGGAAGCTCCATTTGTTTGACTTTGGGGGCTTTCTTGCCCTTGGAACCTGAGGCATCTTTGACTTTGGGAGGTTTGTCCGTCATTTTGGGCAGAGTGTAACCTTGAAAGAGGGAGAGTGAGAGGAAGGAGGGAGGGATTGTGAAGTAGACTCATTCCAATCCGCCGCACTTGGAATATTTCAGATGCGCGGGGAAAGCGAGAGCCTCGCGTAAACTTGACAAATCGGCCAAGCCAGAGTCTAATTGGCCACTCATCTGCGCGAGGCTGCCGCGATACGAGTTAATCGGAGCTGCGTTGGACTTTTGCTTCGGTCTCAGTATTTCGAACTGACGACCAGATCCGCTTCGCGCGTGGGACATCGATGCCCATGGAGATCTCGCGCAGCCTGTCAAGGGCGACGAGGACCTTTTGTCGACTCACAACATCTTCCTTTCTTGCCCCTCTTCTGACTCGGACGACGGCGCCATGCATTTCGTTTGCGACTCGCTCCTTCTCATGCGGTCCCATACTTTCAGCTCCGGGTGGGCCTCGACAGCTCACAGACAAAGAGAGAGCAGCGAGGGAAAAGGTCAAGCGGCGGAGGAAGAAGCATCGAGCGTACAAGCAGCACAATCTGAAGGACATGCAGCAGTTCACATTATGCGAAGCAATGAGGTAGAACCCGATACTCCTCTCCCGTCGTGCCGCTGCTAATCTCTGCCCCAGATATATCAAAGCCTTTGAGCTCGGTCAGAATCCCGATACCCCTAAATACGACATCCACGTCAAATTGCGCACGAAAAAGGACGGCCCCATAGTCCGCAACAACGTCCGTCTCCCCTACCCTGTGAAAACCGACATTAAAATCGTGGTCGTGTGTCCACCGGATTCGAACGCCGCGAAAGGCGCCCGTGCCGCCGGGGCATACCTGGTCGGCGAGGAGGAGGTTTTTGAGCGCATCAAGGCCGGGAAGATCGACTTTGATCGAGTCATCGCCGTGCCAGAGAGCCTGCAGAAGATGAACAAAGAGGGTATTCCTAGGATACTGGGTCCCCGCGGGTTGATGCCGAATGTTAAGATGGGAAGCGTGGTCACGAATCCAGGTCCCGCCGTGAGAAACATGATGGGTGGAAGCACATACCGGGAGCGACAGGGGGTGGTGAGGATGGCGGTAGGAAGGCTAAGTTTCACGCCGGAGATGTTGAGGGATAATGTCAAGGCGTATGTCACCGCGGTCAAGAAGGACGCGGCTGCACTGAGCGATCAGATTGCCAAGGAGGTGTACGAGGTGGTGCTGAGCTCCACGAACTCACCGGGCTTTTCGCTCAACGGGGATTTCTATAGGCCGGGACCTGGAAATGCTACGCCGCAGCAGCTGGCTGTGGTCTGAAGAACAGGTGTATAATATGCACAGCAGCGGCGCATGGGTATCAAAATTGGCTGTTATCACTCGGCGATGGCTGCACGAACCTGCAGCATCACCTGTTTGGTCTTGACCTCGGGCTCGCGCCTGATCTCCATATCAAGGTCCGACAAAAGGATCTCTTGCATCTTCCTTATGCGGCCTTCTTGTGACAACATAAAGGGATGTTGCGGACTATGCCTCCCCACCAAATGCTTCAAAATGAGGAACTCCTCCGTCCTCCACTTCAGACGTACTGTCATGCCCATAGTGTCATCCGAGTCGTATTCGTCGTCGCTCTCGTTGATCGTCGTCTCTTCTATCCATTCCTCGCTCCACTGCTGTTCGGCGCCATTGTCTTCGACCTGAGCTTTGGTGACCGGTCCGCTGACTTTCGGTCTCGCAATATTCAGCTTCTCCTCCAAGGCGTCTAATCGTTCCGCCACTTCGAGCAGCGCTCGTCCGATACTGGTCTCCTGCCTGATCGCTTTCTTCTGCTTCAACAACTCTGCTACCTCCTCCCTCCTCTGCTCCACCAAGTCCCTCAGACCCTTGACATCCCTCTGGAAACTCAACAACCCAACCCTGATATCCTCGATCTTTTCCTCGCCACCGGAAAGGGTACTCCCTAGGGACAGGAAATCCTGGTAGTTGTCGTTGACCAGGTCGACGAGTTCCTTGTTGAGAGTCTGGCTCAACTCACGTAGCTCCGTCTGGAGATCTTCGAGGGTCTGAAAGCGATTTGACAGGCTGGAAAGGAAGACTGCCGCGTCGAAGTCGGGAGCAAGAAATGACGAGCGGTCGAGAGGTTTCGGGAACGGGAGAGAGGTGTCGTCGTTGTCATCGAGGTCGGAGCCCGAGTCGGAGTTGCTGAACTGTGCGACATCGTTAGAGGTGCCTGGTGAGCGACGGGAGGAGGTTGGGGCAGTACGAAGAAGCGGTTGCTCATTGTGACTTGCTTCGGTGGTTTTCAAGGTCGTGCTCGTGCAGAGATGTCCATGTCGTAGTGGAGTGAGGGAGGGAGGACTCGAAATCAGCTCCACTTGCCTAAGGTAGAGCCATCAGTGAACTTCTAGTCGACCCCTCCCTTCCGCTAGAGTACGTACGAGTAAAGGTACAATATATGTTACTAGATACTGTATGAATGTGACTGGAGGGCCAGAATAATGTTACGGTGGAACGTTTGCCCCATCACGCAACTCGATTCTACAGCGGAGTACGGAGTTAACTTTCTTCGCGATATGCTCCTCACCTTCACTTTCTGATGGACTCCGTGCCACTACATGCATACACCAACCAACACAAAAAAGAACCAAAAACTGACACCCGAACTCGCCGATATAGCTCGGTCGCATTCGAGTGTAAGGAAAACTCACCCTTTTCAAGGTTGGTTTTTGTTTTCTGGGTTTTGCGTTGCTTGTTTTCTTTTCTTTTTTTTTTTCAAGTAAACTGCCCTTGCCCGAACTGTACCCAGCAGGTATCCCGGCTCCTGACACCTTCCCGTTATTGAAGGCCGTTGGATCGAGCAATCTTAGGATAGCCGCTAGGCACAATTTGATATGTGATGTTTTTCTGTTTTTCTTGTGGATGGCAGGGCAAGGGGAGCCCAATCAGGGCCAGGAAGGTCTGTCAACAAGTTCTTACCCCTTTATGCAGGTTTATTGCTGCGCGGTGTGTAACCCTGACAAGGGCATTCCCTGACAGACCTCTCTGGCCCTGATTGTGGGATAAATTTCTGTAAGTGTGAAGTATATGGCAATATGGTCAGGTGAGCTGAGGTGAAGTGAAGTGAAGTGAAGTGACGAGGCTGGGGATGGCTCCTGAAAATGTGTCGGGCGAAGGGAGCCTTGTGGAGCGGTGGGCCCAGCGAAGTCTACTTTGTACAGGCGGTGGCATGGAGTATGATCCTCGAATGACTACTCTTACCAGAGTGGTCTCTGCAGGGATGTCCGGAGTTGCTCTCCTTCCCAAGCAAATTGACTCGCCGGGCTGTTGACACCGATTTCACTTTTACGGGATCATCTCGCAACTCGGAGCCATGACACCAAATCTGCTACTACCGCATGAAGACATCGACAGGACGAGTTTGAATGGGCTTGTCGGTATCATGCGTGTCGAGGGCAGGGGGCGCATACAAATCAGAGAGGCGGATTGGTATCCAAACAAAGGGAATATGAGAAGGATTGTCTTCTGCTCCAGCAAGAACTTCTCGGGACTTGGGTCTATGCGCCTTCCTGGCCATTACAAGGCCACAGGCGATGGAAGAGATAGTGGACGCTAGTTGGTGAAGGTTTTCGTAGCCCAGTTGTTGGTTCAGACTTCAACGATAAGGTTTATCCTGCTCGAATCCGTGCTGAGATCGTCATTCCCGATTTCGGTCTCTTCTCCAATGTAGAGCGTATCATAGCTTTGACTCTTCCACGCCCTTCTCTTTTCCCTTATTTGCTTCACGCTCCTTCTGAATAGCCTTCATATCCCGCTCCCAGATTTTCCAAGGCGCATATTCATGGTCAGGCTGTCCAGCTCCGTCCTCCACGCCACCTACAGTGTCGCCTAGATACCTCAGGACTGCGCTCCGCATTTTCACTAACCTTGCTTCCTTCGCTTGGATAGACGACCCTGCAATATCGTGTGTAGCGTGCTCGATGATCGCGCTATGCCGCGACAGCGTCGCCGCAGAACCAGAAGATTCGACCGCCACTTTCCACCGGTTGATTAAAGCAGCTTTATCCACGTGAGGAGGAATACTTCTATCATCTGCGCCTTGGAGCACCAGAATGCTACGCTGTGATTTTCGTGCTGGCGGAGGAACGAGATGCGCCACGTGGCCAATCTGCCCGAATGTCGCGTTGAGGCGCTCGTCGGACAGATCGCTGGAGAAATAGTCGTCCATGCTCGGCTGCGCTGGAGAGTCGGGTGAGACAAGGCTCAGGAAGCGGGAGATAGATACCGGAGAGGGGCCGAAGAGGGACTTCGTCAAGTCCATTGGGAGAATCGTCGTCTTGTATTTCTCGACAGGCGTGGTTTTGATGACGGCAAGAGTGGCGTCGTAATCGGCTTTTGCAGAAGGGTTGGCCCCCAGCTCGTGCAGGATCGCTTCGCGGTCGGAGACGGGAGCCTGTAGGATGGCACCGGAGATGTCTGGCCGTCGGGACGATGGGGATACGGGGGAGACGAGGTAATGGAAGGAATCTTGACAGCCTGTCGAATGGCCCATTAGGACGATTGGGGACGTCGGAGACTGAGTGATAGTGTCACGGATGTAGGATATCGCCATGGCGATCTCTTCGACCTGTTGACGGAGGAACGTCAACATTGTACAAGAGTGCTTGATTCGCATGCATCGAGCTGGAGTGGACGCATGGCTGTGAGAAGATCCCCCATGAACGCATATTGCCGCCGCGGTCAACAAGCCCGGAGTGGCAGTTCACGCCCCTTGCTAAGGGCGGGACAGCAACGACGGCGGTAGAAAGGGAGGAACCTTGTCAACCGCTGTCACCCGCTGTCTGAGACTGGTGATAGAGACCTTGCGCCTCAGCAATAATTCGATCCTACTTACATCACGATCCAGGTCAGATATGCCCCAACTCCGTCCATTACTCGACAGCTGTACTTGCATCACGCGCCATTGCTGATCTGGCACATCGCGTGGAAACAAAGCTGCCAGATCATCGAGGTAGCGTGGCCATCGGAAGTTGTCGTAGAGCCCGCCGACAAAGAGGAGAACGTTTGGCGGAGACGATAGCTTCCTAGAGGCGTCCTCTTTGCCGGACCTGTTGACGTACTCTAGAAGGAGAAGGGTATGCTTTGGCTGATATGCGTGCAGTATGGTCTCCATTGAGAAACGAACAGGCTTGGACGCCTGAGAGCACGGCTCTGCTTCAGAAATGTGGAGAGTGTCCGGTCGAGTGTAGAACGGTGTCAGGCGTATCGAGTGTTGACGCGACTCGAAGGAGCTGGTCGCGAGAGACGCTCTGCAACACAAGACGTTCTCTACCGTAGTACGTGTATGTTTATCAGTAGCTCTGAGCAAGTTCATGCGAGTCTTGAGCCTCAGCGATATCGGAGCAGCACGGATTTGTTGGAACGTCATGTGCAACCCGCGGTTAGCAAGCTCTCCAACTCCAATGTTATGCTTCTTCATCTCTCTTTTCTCTTTCTGAGTGTGATTTCCAAAACTCGATTTAGAGCATCTGGAATTACTCGCGCTTCTCCAATGCACAACCCGGTGGAGTGCTTCCATCATGACACGAGCCATACTGTAGCTGGGAGCAGACGCGTCACCGTGGACGCGTTCGAATCGACTCAACTCAAGATCACGAAATATTCACACTGCCTTGTTCATAGGCGTCCTGAATCGACAGCGCTCTCCTCTTGTCAGCCGCTTGGTAAGAATCGAAGCTGCCATTCCATAATCTCGCAGTGGCCTTATCGAAGAGCTCCGGCCCCATTGCCTTTGCACCTTTTCACATTTTCCGACACTCAGCTCAATCTCATACGGAGCCTTCATCTTCATCTTGAGGAAGCCCAGACTGCGTGCATTTTCTGTCTGAATATCTGAAGGTACATCTTATGGCCGGGTGCCAGAGCTTCGAGGTTGCACAATTCCGTCCACGATGGCTGAATGCAGCCGATAATTTGCTCAATCGAGCCTCCCATGGACATGGCAGACTCATCCGAATCATTCCAATCAGTTTAACCGAAAGACTGTTGGCTGGTAAATGCTTGCCGCAGTTCCAAATGCGTCGACTGCCCCTTCCTATGTCTCATTTTGTCGACTTGGACATTGTGCTTAAGGAAATTGAGGACAAGTGGCTTGAGACTATAGGGGACTGAATTTTCAAGAGTTTTAGGTGTTTCAGCAGCGCACAGCGGCACAGCTAATACTATTCGCTGCAGACCGACGAGCACACTGTGTTGCGACCTGGCGGAGAACTTCGGCTCTCTCAGCGCACGAGGCTTCTTGACCGCGACAGTACGCGAGTGGTCCGCTGCCCTAGTTCCAAGCAGTTGTGCAAGCGATCAGCTTTCGAAAGTCAACACAGATGCACAGGCGGGACGAGTGAAGGTTGTGATATCTGTCTTCGCAGGAATGAAGGGTAGCCAGCAGCGTGGAAGGGCTTGAAGACGCTGAAGGCGGCGAGCTGGCGAGCAGAGTCGGGATTGCGCTCTGATACGCTGCAATGGGTCTATCGGAGCTTTGCTCAACATCGACGAGGCTCGCATTTGCTCAGAGGCAGTTTGTCCATGTCAGGACGCCCGGGTCCGGCGGATTTCACGCCAGTCTTCAACTACAAGGCCGCAATTGACTCTTCACTGTTGAGTTGACATGGACAGCTAGGCGAACCTAATGAGCAAAGTGGTTGCCTTTTGAGCCGTGGCTTCGCTTAGAAGTGTTGCTTTCACCCTTGGCATGCTGTATGGGCTCTCAATACGCAGCGTCATTGTTGGTCGCTCGACACGAGGCGTTCTTCGTCTGGAGATATCCGAGCAAAGCCTCGACCAGCCTCACAATCACCAGACAACCATCTTGTCCATCTCATGCCTGTATTCTGGAACTCTTTTCAAGTTACTCTCAGCTGACGTTTTTGACAGCTGTCGTCGTTTTCGTGGAACGGGTAGCCACAGTTATCCCCTTACAATTTCCCCTTGTCAGCCATGTCGTTCGGGGTCAGTGTTGGCGATCTCTTAGCCATCATCAGGTTGGCAAAAGCGACAGTCGAGGATTGCCGCCATGCACCAAGTGACTTTGCAGAGGCATCCAGGATTTCCCAGAGCCTTTGTCTTTTGCTGGAGGGAGTGAAGACCGAGTTCGACAACGCTGACTCCCTGCTGCACAAAGATGACCGGGCTGCCACAGACTTCGCGCTTCATTTCAAGAACTGCGAGAACTCGTTGAAGCCGCTGTCGGCGCTTATCAGCAAACACAAGGGTCTTTCAGGCCCGAGCGTCCGCCTGATGGACCGAATGCGCTTTCCCAAAACGGACTATCTGGAACTCGGTGGCAACCTTGCATTCTACACTGCTCGTCTGTCTGAATTACTACAGACTGTCGGGCTAGGGTCTCTCGGAAGAATAGAACAAAAGGTGGAGTTAATCAAAGACCAGCTGCCGAACATCATGAGTAAACTCGACCAAATGTGCGCCGAGTTCCGCATTGTCGGGGATAGAGAATCAGTGCTGTCAGATCATACCGACGACGAGAAATTCGTGTGGAAGACATTTCGGAGACGACTGCTCCACGAGGGGTTCACAAGCCAGGATTTGAGCTTGTTTGGCCCAGAGATCTTTCTCAGGCTCCGAGAGCTTTCCGACTGCGGCTTGTTCGAGGCTGATGGTTCCAGCTCGGCTTGGACGGATGATGCGCCTCCGGTTTACCAAATGCCGTTCTCAAAGAAGACGTCAACTACCGTGGGAAGCGACACGGAGTCTGAGCATAGTATTACTCCCAAGCCATCCGTCAGCAATCTGCGTTCCAAGAAGTCGACAGACTCAGAGCGGTCGCTGAGAAGGAGAGCCTCTGGACCAATCCATCTTGATCATGGTGGGAAAACACCACAAGCCGCTCAACGCAGATCAACCGTTGCCCAGGCGGAGAGCGGGTATGAAGCTGCCTCCTCAAACAGCTCCTGTTTTACATCCTCTTCTGCACAACGCGTGTGGCGCAATGCGAAAGGCGAAGAAATACCAAAGGGTCATTGACGTCCAAGGGTTCGAGAAATGGGCAATCGTTCGTTGTGGTCACTGACACCGATCAACAAGACGTTCTCATTCCCTGGTCGAATCTGGGTGAAGGTGATATGAGCTACGTGAACTTGACCTATGGATCCATCACGGCAGAAAGAACGTCCTTGGACTCTGAGATCGCACCAGGCCTGGAGAGGCAGTATCCACCGAGGAACCGCTCCTCCTCGCCAAGCCATTCTGTGACCAACCAGAAGGATGCGCAGGGAAAGGAAGGAGTCGTTGAAGTTCCTCGTCGGAGCCGGCCTAAAATCCTCACCGGCCGCAGAACACGTTCGAGCGTCAAATGGAAGTATCGCGAGCCTGGCTCGCCTCTACCGGAGCCGGCGCCGTTTGCATTCAGGGCAGCATTCACAAGTGATCTTCTGCCAAGTGCTGCTGGGAAGGGTGATCTTCCCCGTGTTAAGCGGCTTCTAGACTCCGGTCATCACATAGAGTGCAAAGGTCCTGTATCGTACACCTCATATTACAGTGACGGCGAGAGCAGCCACCGAACAAGGCACAGATACCCGGAAACTACGGCGTTGTATCGAGCTGCGTATGCTGGCCATCTCGACGTCGCACATTACCTACTCAAAAAAGGCGCCGATGTCAACGCACGAAACGGCTACGATGGAAAATCTGGTGATCCGATTTTGTTCTATGTGATTCGGTATGGGCAGGAGTGGACTACCAGGTTGTTGCTAGAATATGGCGCCAGTTTGGACCCATATGGCCCTACGATGGTGCTACACGTTGCATGCGGCCAACCGAAGCGCAGCATTGTCCGACTTATTCTGGATGCGGGAGCAGACATTGACGCAAAGGATCATTTGAGCCGGACACCACTATATCTCGCCTGCGTGGGCGGTTTTATCCGAAGCGTTGAGATGCTGCTCGAAGAGGGCGCGCGGACGGATGTCATTGCCGAACAAGGACAGGCTCCACTCTACAAAGCTGCCGGGAAAGGCCAAGAGGAAATCGTCGAAGTTCTGCTCAGGTACGGGGCAGTCCCGGATCTGGGCCGCGGACGACTCGGGGAGACAATACTATATAAGGCGGCGTGGTACAACGAGCTTGATGTTGTGGATCATTTGATCACTTTCGGGGCTGACGTCAACATCAAGAACAGCAAGAAGATGGAGTCGTACAAAGACAGCAAGGAGAAAATCCTGCATGGTGTCCTGGCGGGGCTCTTAAAGGACCATGCCATGATGAATGGCTGGGGAAAGACCGCGCTGCACGCCGCAGCATTCCGAGGCCACCAGGAGATGGTCAGGGTGCTGCTCGATGCCGGCGCTGATATCGAAGCCACCGGAAATAACAAGGTAAGGCCGATGTATCTGGCAGCACAACAGAAACACAAAGGCATCGTCCAAATGTGCCTGAGGGCTGGAGCGCAACTCGAGACCGAGAAAACTGAGCCTGTTCTGGCCCTCATCAATGAGAGGAACAAGGAGACGGCAGCACCGGCCAAAGGAGTTGTTCGACTGGGAGAGAGGGACATGGATAAGATGGGCACTTCTGATAGTCTGGTTGGCTTGGTGGCCGGGATAACCAAGAGCTGGGCCATGGCAAGACGCGGACTCAAAGAGTGACGCCGGTCCCTGCACGCTCGGTGAATAGTTAGAAATGCCATATGAATTGGACGTCGCACATTTGTCGCCCAGATAATCAAGATGGCAGCATCCTGTAGAGCTGCGCGAGGCCGAAGAGATGGTGAGGTTGTCTCGGCTAACCTGCCGCCTCGACGAGCCCGAACAACTGCGCTCATCTCTCTTTCTCGCCATGAGCCCATCATGTAAAAAGACATTGACCTTGCCGTGAAGACCAGGCACCATGGCCCTCCTACTACTCGCCTTGTGCTACATGATCAGTGCTGTCGCTGCTGCTTCGCTTCGAGTCTCGATTCCGACCTCGCATGTGCTCCCGAATCCCAATACACTACCGGCTTCAACTCATGCCGTCCTCACTTCTGGCTCAGGACGACCAATCCGAGCTGCGTTGAGGAAAGGCAACTACTTCGACTTCTCAGACATTCCAACCACTGGCCCGCATCTGCTAGACATCTACAGCCACGAATATGTTTTTGCACCTTACCGCATCGACATCTCGGCGTCCTCAGACTCCTCGACCGTCGTTACAGGAGCTTGGGAGACTTATCGTGGGACGAGGTGGGAGGATAGAGGCGTGGCTCTCGTCGCCGCACCGACGGAGCGGCTCGACTTGGCTGCCAAAGTCCTGTCGAAGAAGAACTTCTACGAGCAGCGACAGGGTTTCAATCCCATGAGTCTGCTGAAGAATCCGATGATTCTCATGGCTGTCGTGGCTCTGGCCTTCACCTTCGGCATGCCCAAGCTCATGGAGAACATGGATCCAGAAATGCGGGCCGAATACGAAGAGATGCAGAAAAAGAGTCCCATGGGAGGCATCACTCGGGCGATGCAGGGTGGAAGTGCTGGGTCGGCGGCGGAGAGCTTTGATCTTGCTGGTTACCTGGCGGGCAGCAGTAAAAGTACTGGCAACGACCGTAGCTCCGACAGCATTCGCGAACGGAAGCGGTGATGGGCGATTTGCCACCTCATCCCAGTCGCCTCATTTCCCATTGGGACGAAACCAGCTTCTTGGGGAGAGTTCAGTCTGGAAAAAGCGGCCCAGCTTTTGTGAGCGAGCCTGGTGCTGCTGCCGAGACAGACCACCGACCGGAGCGCTAGTCATTTCAGCACCTGCTTTGGCGCCCGAGATAGCTCTGGCAAGGACGTTGTTCCCGATCGTTATATACATCCCACTCTACATATGACCGACAGCAACCCGTCTGCGATCATCCATGTTTGCATATTCTGCGTACCGAATGCCCGTGCAATCATGCTTCCCTCCAGCAAAGCCTCAGCGTCACAACAGAAGCCCGCGGTACACGGCGTCGACCGACAGACTGCACGAGGCCATGAGCCCAGGCCCTCCACCAGACCTGCTGACGAGAGAATACGGGAAGGCCAGGTTCGAACGTTGCAGTACGGACGCTCGTCAGATGGAATTATCAGGGATACGCGAAACCATTGAATAAGGCCAGCCGCCCTATTCATACTCCCTAAGTTCGCCAAGACAATTTTCGGTGGCAGCCACCTCCAAGCTACTCCGGAGTTACCTTGCTGCAAGCTTTCGTACCTGCTGTATGTACCAAGGCCGCCGGGCCCAGTGGTTGTAGGACAACGACTATCTACCATGTGGTGGACCGGGTACCAGAAGATGACAATCCAGTATAACGGCCAGTAACGGCCAGTGCCACGCTTACCGGCGTTGCCACCGCTATCTCACAATGTCAGCCCTGTGGCGACGACATTCAGCTTCAGCCTCGCGACAACGGCATTCGGAACGCCGTGTAACAGCACCTGGGTGATTGTCTTGTGCATCGCAATTTTGTGGTTTTGGGGGCATATGAGATGCTCGAGCCTTATTTGAGAAGAGCCAGACAGATCAGCTATTCACGTTCATCTATGACGGCTTACACACCGCACAGAGCACAGCCAACATGCGGCGTGTATCCCGCTAGCAGCCAGGAATGCTGACGGCGGATCTTGGCACCAGTGTATCCATTCAACTTGTTCACCACGATATAGCGTGTGTCGTAAGGACGTTTCTGCCAGTGTATCTGTTCGAAACACTATTTCGAGAATGTATCCGTGATTCGACCTACGACAGGCCGCCCATACAAAAACAGCCCCATAACGTCCTGACCACCGTTGAGGGGCTTAATGACTAGGTACACGAGTCATGTATCTAGCACGCGTAGAGTAACAGAGCGTTACATGCCCAGCCCCGCTGTCAGCATCCTGGCTGTACTGGGTAAGTCCCTATTCCACATCTATATTAGCTGTGGGTGTACAATACCCTTGGCAAAGACGTGGCCAGCCATCGTTCTTCCACCATTACAGGTTACCAACTGCCACCATTACTACGTAGTCTAACATTGTGCAATTGCCCCGATCTGACCATGCACTGGCACCGCACCTCCCAGCAAGATGATAAAAAGCCCAGATTCCGTGGTAGGTAATCCATCCAGCTGCCTTTTAGCTTCATCAGTCCCCTGTACTACCCTCGGCTCTCCTCAATCCTCCGGGGAATCCCCTCCTTGGTTCCTCGAAGAGCTGCGCCCGAAGACTAAATACTAGGATCCCACCAGTGAGGACTTCGCAGCTTTTCTTCCTCGCCCTTTGTTGAGCCGGTGATAGGAGTAGGAGTACGACATCCGCCATGGACGCCCAACTGAGACCCCTCTTCGAAGCGGCCGTGAAGGAGAAGAAATTGGCTGGAGCTGGGTACTTCATCGTCGACAGGAAAGGTGACTTCCTGTCAAAGGGAGCATTCGGCACAACTCATCTTCAAGATCCCGACGCCGCCCCATTTGACCTCGACACCACGGTGCCCCTGTTCTCATGCACCAAACTCATCACGGCGCTCGCGGTCCTCCAATTGGTGGAACAGGGCAAGGTCGCCATGGACGATCTTGTGGAGCAATACGTCCCCCGGATATCCAAGATGCAGGTTCTCGAATCCATCAAGCCAGGGCCGGACGGCAAGCTCGACCCCGTCCTGCGGGCGCCCAAGACAAAGCCGACGGTCCTACACCTCTTCACTCACACGCTAGGCTCCGGGTACGACTTTTTCGACCATTCCACTCTGGCGTGGCGCGTATATACTGGCCGTCAACCCATGGGCTACTCCGGCGTGGGGGACTGGGAGGACTTCGAAACGCCTTTTGTATATGAACCCGGGACCAAATATATCTACGGCGTCGGCATCGACTGGCTGGGATGGATCATCGAGGCGGTCTCTGGCGAGTCTCTCCCCGACTACCTGGTCAACCATGTCTGCAAACCACTCGGCATGAATGAAACGGGTGCGAAGCTCACGCCGGGCAAGAAAAACACGGTCGTCGTCCACTTCGACGTCGAGGGCCAGGGCCTCGTGGGAAACAAGGGTTTCTACATGAACGAATCCCCCCAGGTGTGGGGCGGCGGCGGATTCCTCTACAGCACCATGAACGACTACGCGAAATTACTGGTGTCACTGCTGAACCACGGCACGTCGCCCACGACGGGAAACCAGATCCTCAAGCCTGAGACGGTCAAGAACTATGTCTTCAGAGATCTGCTCGGGCCCGAAGTCGATCGTTCTATGCTCGGCGAGATCACCACAGCTATCCCCATAGCGACCCTCGAGGGGACCTTTCTTCCGTCCATGCCCATGGAGAAGAAAGGCTGGTCGGCCGGTTTCCTCCTCAACCACGAGGACTTGCCGTACGGGCGGAAGGCCGGCAGCGGTGCGTGGGCCGGGCTGGGCAACCTGTTCTACTGGGTCGATCCGACGACGGGCATCGCCGGCATGACTGGCACGTGTCTCTTGCCCTTCTTGTATCCGACCATCATGGGGTTGTCGGACGAGGTGGAACGGGTTGCCTATGGGCATAACGTTGCCGGCGAGGGCGGCGTCGAGGACGACAAGAGGAATTACATGGCCAAGAAGAAGATGGACTCGGCGGCCGCGAGTTAGTCGTGTGTGGAGGGTACGGAGTACACACTCGTACAGTATGAACTGCGGTTACATTGGGAACGAGGGGCGGGAGTTCAGGGAGCAATGTGGGCGCCACCAGCGCTGTGGGCGACATGGGGGCCATGGGCAACGTGGGGCCGCTGTACATATTCCCCGGTCTTGAACTCAGTGATACTGTGACAAGTGGCTTTTTTTTTTCGGTCATTAATGCAGGATGGCAGGGGTTACGTTGACGGTTATTGGTTTGCTGGCCTGCTGCGTCTAAGCTTTATTGCTGACCGCGATTCCAGCCCGCTCCTACAACCCATACCTATAGTAGGGAAGAGTTCAGCTGGCATCGGTCCTTCTTGCTGAGTATGGAGTACGAGTTACAACTGGGTACATGTTAGATCGAAAAGCCACCCTACTACAGTAGCCATGATATACTACTGTATATCTACCGAATAGGAATGATGTACTCCGTACGATATTCGAAAGTATCAGTAGAGTATACTACAATTGACTTCCACAGCAGCCGGCATTCACCGTGAGAGCACTCGAAAGAGTAGAGCATGCGCAGCACGGATACAGGTAACTGCTTCAGGCAACCGATCCTCCTGTACGGAGCACAGTACCTCGTCCCTAGTACCCCGAGTCGTGCGTGCGGATCTCGAAAGAGGGGGCACGAGGGGTGAAGTGAGATCAGGATCAGGATCTGGACGAAAACCAGGCCGACAATCCAAGATGCCGCGCGCGCGCACGAGACATGAGGACGCGGCCGCGCAGCCGCAGGTGCATTCGCATCAGCATCAGCACCTTAACTGTAGGTATTTATGTATTCGCATCCTTGGGCAAGGTGGTGTCGGTGAGTACCTAGGTAGTTAACTCGTTCTGCGCCATTGCCAAGAAATGTTAGCGTGGTGGCCCCGCAATACTCCGTACTAAAAATCCAAACCTACCGGAGTACGCCAGTGATTACAGAGGAAAGTTCCCAAAGAAGCGAGGAACATCTCTGGCTGGTCTCAGGTTGTTATCGATACTGGCTTAATGACAATCACCCCTGACTCGCTACTCATATTAAAAGCAGCAGCTTATCCACTATATATTCGGATCGAACATTTCTTGTCAATGGCACAGTACGAGGTACCTTCTATGCTCTGCTCTTGATATTTACAGTACGGAGTATCCACAGGGTAACTCGTACGAGGTCAGGTACACAGGACAATCTATGTACCTCGTAGGTGACATTTCATCTCACGCGCGGTCCGCTTACATAACTGGGTACCTACCTGACCCGTGTACCGTCGTATACGATTACGAGATGGCGCGATACGAAGCAAACGAAACGAAGCTAGGCAAGACTCGGATGTCGTGTCTTGCCTCTGCACATTCGTGATATTGTACGGCGTACGGAGTACTGTGAAGGGGGGCGAGTACATGGTACAGTGTGCGTGGTACTGTATACTGACCAAGGTAACAGCTAAACTACCAAAGGTACGGAGTAGTTGTCCGGATTCGATCGTATCTCGTCCCGCCAGGTTACTTTGTATATGCTCATGAACGCAAGGGCCTCAGTACTTAGGTATTTTACCTCATACTTTACCTAGGTAAGTGCCTGGTAGATACGCAGTACTGAACTCTGTACTCCGTACCACGAAGCTGCTTTTGAGTACAGTAGTCGATCTTCCTACGTAACGTGGTCGTCGGAACCAGTGTAGGTTCGTACTGTAGCTACGTAATGGCCGGGACGCGCAACTCCTCGACTGGTCCAAAGAGAAGAGACCGTCGCCGCAGGGTTCCTCTCCTGGTTGGGAAGGTTCTCTCCTGACATGAACCTGGATCCATAACACGGGTTGCATAGTGGACTTGTACTAGCATGCCGAGTACGTACGGAGTACGGGTAAGCGTACAAGTGCATACGCGGAAGCTTGTGCGTGTGTCTACATACTGTATTCCGCATTCGCATGCATATGTGAGGCAAAGGGAGGGGATCTTCGTTCACCGAGAACGCTACAAGTACGGGTAAGGCCCTGGATTTCAAGACGAATCAAGGCTAAGAAATACTCTGTACAAAACGGATATGATCGACCTTGCACCTTGGCACCCTGACGACGGAGTACTCGACCCTCTTGAGCTCAATCCGGAACAGATACGGAGTCGAGGCGCCTCAGAGGTCGCTAGATACGTGGGTACAGATACGTGGGTACATCTCGGATAGGTGTGTCCGATTAGTCACGAATCATCAAATCTGACAGACACCCAACAGACGCGCAACTGAGACGAGTTACGTGGCTGACCCCCGGACGACACCTCCGTCTCGGGTCCGGCGACAACTTCAACTCCATCCATCCCCCGAGGCAATGCCATGCGAGACAGTGTGTTGCTAGCCGTGGGCATGCGCATATGCATCCACATGTTGTATTACTACGACTGTAACGTGACTGACGAGGTTTTTCTTGTTTGGATTTCGGATGGATCAGCCCCGTCGGGCGTTGGGAGTCTTCTTCTGGCTTGACTGGCTGACTGTCGGTCCTTTGGTGGGACAACCGAATACGGTAGTTGGGGATGGGAATGAGATTTGTCGATGAGCCGACTAGAGCTACAGCTACGGCTCTGTACAGCCAGAGAGAACATGGCGTGGGTTTGCCGGCGCTGAAAGCGTACAGGGATAGCCGTTGCGAGAACACACACGGGGCGGTAGGGTGGAAGCGTTCCGTGCTGGAAGAAGACCGGACACTGGTACAGCTAAGGTCGACAACCACTTCCTCCGTCCAGGGTTATCGATTCAGGGATCGGGATCGGGATCCAGGTTCAGGATCTGGGATACGTTGTTCGGCTACTCTCTCGTCATCAAAGCATCTTGGTCTTCAATGCACACAGATACCAACTGATACATGCAGACCACTCGACACGGTCGGCTATCTCAGTCTCAATACAATGGCATACTCCCCTCGGTGGTCTGGAAAGCCTGCTCCATAATCTCCAGGCCTTGATCGAGTTGCTCTTTCGTAATGACGATCGGCGGCGCGATCCTGAACACACCACCGAAACTGGAGTGGCTGCTTAGGTTCGCCCACAGACCCAACCCGTACATCTTGCTGGCGATGTCCCTGGCTAGCTCGAGCGCGGCCGTCTTCTTCTCGCGGTCACCGACAATCTCCACCCCGGCCATCAACCCACGGCCACGCACGTCGCCTATGCATCCATAGCGAGATTTAAGCCTCTGAAGCCCCGCCTGCAGGTAGAGACCCATCTCACGTGAGTGCTGTACCAGATCGTCCCGCATGACGATTTCTAGAACTTTATCACCCACGGCTGCAGGCAACGGATCATTGACATGCGTCGTGTAGAAGCAGAAATCTCTCTCGGCACAAACCCGTTCGATCTCGGTACTCGTCACCACGGCACTCAGAGGCAGACCGTTGCCCAGCGTCTTGCTCAGCGTCAAGATATCCGGGACGACGTCTTCGTGATTGATTGCGAACAGGTCACCGCATCGTCCGACGCCAGTCTGCGCTTCGTCCACGATAAGTAACATGCCGCGGCGTTCACAATGCTTCTTAAGGGCTTTGAGGTAACCTTCTGGGAGGACGTGCATTCCTGCACTAGACTGGATGCATTCGACAATGCAAGCCGCTAGCGAGCCGCATGACGCCCGGTCGATCAGCTCCCACCCATAGTTGAGCTCCGTCTCCCAATCGTAGCTGCCGTCCGGGTTGCGGAATATGGATCGATAAGCGTTGGGTGGGGGAAGCATATGCATTCCTGGCATCAGGGGTCCCTGTCCTTTGCGGCCAAAGTGGTATTGTGTCCCTAACGCTTGGGCAGTGACGCCGTGCCAACTGGCCCCCAAACCCACAATTTCAAACTTGCCAGTGTATACCTTCGCCATTTTGATGGCGGCCTCGTTCGATTCGCCGCCTGTGCTGAGGAAGAATGCCTTATCTAAGCCTGGTGGCAAGAGCGATGTAAGGCGCTTTGCTAGATTGATGACCGGTGGGGAGAGCATCCCGGAGAACAAGTGGTCCAGGTTGGCCGCATGGTCGTGGATTGTCGACACAATCTCAGGATGGCCGTGGCCTATCAAGCAAGACATCTGTCCAGAGGTCCAGTCGAGGCATTTGTGACCAGAGGCAGTGTACACGTAGAGACCTTTGCTGCCGACGATAATGTCCTTTTCGAACTTCGTGCCATAGTTTGCAAGGCAGGATACTGCTGCTTGGTTGAGCTCGTCGCCATCGACGTCGCTGTACAGCGTGGGTTTGTCGAGGTTGCTGGATCTGGCATTGAGACTGTGCGAGGGGAGACTATCTTCGATCATTGGAGCCATGGCTTCGTTTACCTAGAATGGTTTATGGTAGCGAGACTGCCGCACGTACTGACAAATGTTGCAGACGATGGAATTCTGTAGAGAGTGGTCATCTCTCGGCAGGGGTGACTGTTCAACGGCGAACACTGATATACAAGAGATTATGGAGTTTGCCGACGGCAAGGAAAGGGCTCGACTGGAACCTTGGCAGCACACGCTTACCTGGATGTGGCAAGGTCTCACTGACACCTGGTGATAACCCTGCCCCTCTCTGCGGAGTCGGAGTGACGGTGTGGACTTTGAAGTCTTGTAACAGAGTTCGCTTGGTAGAGGTCATGCTTCAAACCGCGGCGGTCATTTAGTCTGGGACCGGCCTCGTGCGACAGCGGCGAGAGGTCGAGGATTGAGAGAAGTTCAAGTCAGGTGGCAAAGTCCTTGGTACCTCGTAAGGTGCGGTGATCGAAAGGCGGCCCCAGGATGCTTCCTTAGAGCCTCACTCCATCTTCGCTGACTCCGCCCGACGGAAAAGTATCGATGCGAGCTCATGTAGTCCGTATTCTGCGTAGGCCGGTGTGTGCCCTTTCCATACATAAAGCGAACTGCTGCCGAAACTGCAGGTGATGTTTGGCTGAAATATAGAGGAGCTGCCGCAAGCATAAGTGGCAATCGTCAGGCTCTTGGGGCCAGCGATCTGAGCGGGCAGAGCACATTATCGGCAACCCATCCTGCCTTTTTCGTCGTCCACAGCAAGTTCTCGATCGACGCCGGTGAAAGAGGTGGCATTGAGGCTGAAGTCACCGAGTTTTGAGTGAAGAGAGCAGCAGATTGGGCGCAGACTCCAGTCGCATCTCATTCGTCGGCACCATGCACCACATCCGGACTAGCTCCATCAGCAACAAGCGTCGCAGGCCTGAACCACGTGATCTGGCCCGTGACTCTGCTGGCCCCCCTTCGCCAGTTCCGGGCTTCCCCCCAGTATCGCCGCCGACTGCCACTGTCATCGACACCACATCTTGGACACCGACGGACTCGACAAAGTCACCATCGCCAGCGACGGGCGCCGCTGTCCCGGATCCCTCGAAGCTATATGTGCAGGTAGACATTGTTTCCCAGGACGGCTACCCCTCAATCATGAAAACCGCCCGCCCTTACCGCTCGCACAAATATCCCGCCTGTGCACGCTGCCATAAACGTCGATCACGATGTACAATCGAAGTCCCCGGCCAAGCATGTTTATTGTGCCGCATGCATGGCGTGCCTTGCTCGTCCGCAACGGCAAAGAAGGACGACCGGGTGACGCCCAAAATTGGGTTTGTCCACCGATCTCTGATCACCGACGAGAAGACCCTCGAGGGTTTCTCGCATATTGTTGGCCCCGTCATCGCACGCGACACTCAAATCCTTGATCAGTACTTGCCTCAAACTGATGGGACATCAGGACATGTTCCCATCCAACCTAATATTGGGAGGCGGGATTCTCAGAAGCCCATATATCATGTTCCTATTCCACCCCGTCGGCCGAGTCCAACGGAGTGCCATTGTGCCAGGAATATGCCTGACGAGTTACTGGATCAAGTGAGCCCGTTCATCGACAAGCTGTTGGCGAACTATTACGAGCATTTTCACCCTTGTTATCCCGTCACAGAGGAGGAGTGTATCATGTCGCGGTGCAAGGATCGAAATCAATTGCCTCAGACCTTCTTCGTCAACTTGGTCGCGTATGCTCTGTTCTACTGGGACGCCTCTCCAGCATTGAGTGGCTATGCGCGACCCGATCAAGACTTTGCATGGCAAACAGCCGTCGCGGCGAATATCACGGATATGCAAAAGGGCGACCTAGCCACCATCGTCTCGATATGCATTGATATCGCCGGAAGACCGTCGCGGTGTTTGGTGAAGAACGTTGCCGACGTTGCGAGGGCGGTCGCATTGTCTCATGCAATTGGCTTGAATCATGACTGCAGTGAGTGGAAGATCAGTGATATGGAGAAGAGGCTCCGGTGGAGAGCCTGGTGGGCAGTCGTGATCCAGGACCGCTGGTTCAATTTTGCGCAGGGAACGCCGCCCTACATTTCCAAAGGGCACTATGATGTCCCGCTTCCGACTGTGGAGTTGCTCACTCAGGGGAGAGGCGGGTCAGTGAAGCATGCACGAGCAGCAGACGTCTATATCCACCTCTGCCGGCTGACGGAAATCGTTGGAGATGTCCTGCCGCTTATCTACCACATCCGGTCAGGCAACGACAGCATCGCCGCGGAGCAGACGTCGAGATCGGAAATCGAACTGAACCGGTGGATGGAAAGCCGCCCAAGCTGGCTGAACCTGAACGACTTCCACAACAGACCGCCGGTACCGGGCCTGGTGAACCTGCAACTATCCTACCTCTCAGTACGCATGCTCCTCCGCCGCATCGCCTGGCATGAAATCAGCCAGCGAGAAAGCGACCCGGCCTCATCCTGGCTTTTGGGCTGTCAGGCCGCTGCCGAGGATATTGTTCGATTCGCGACCTCCCTGCACAAGCAAGACCTGGCAGGGTTCTGGTTGCCTTACAACGCACATCATTTCACCTCGGCCGTGACGCTCCTCCTCCGATGCGCCCTGCAAACAAGCTACTCTAACGTGCGCACCCAATGCATGTCCAGCGCTCGCACCCTGGTCGACTGCCTCCGCAAACACCACGAGGAACATCAATGGGATCTCGCCGAAACCGCTCTCTCGCAGAGCGAAACCGTGCTGAAACGTATCGAGGAGTCCCTGCCCAAGACGCCCATGGCCAGGACACCCAATGAGAACACCATCTCCATGCACCACGACCATATGGATACCCGCGGGTATGGAGGTGAGGATCATCACCTCGGCGACCCATTACCCGAGGAGGCATTCTTCACGCAGCAGGGATCTATCGAGGAGTTGTTTCCTGAGATATTTTCCGATTTCTCGGACACGGCCTTGTTCGGCGGCTCGATCCGGTCCGAGTATACTGTATGATGTACGAAGTACGGAGAAGTCAGGGGTAGAGTCTGAACATGGGGGCAGGCCGACCATGTCTTCGCAGACATGCATACACGCATGGCTTGTTGTCCGCCGTGGTCGCGCTAAGCGCAGGTGCCAGAAGCATAGTAAATACAACTCAGCACAGTCCAGATAGAGGGTGTGGAGCCGCGTGGCCAATGCAACGACAGGGGTATCGAACAGATCCGACGGCAACGTCGACCACGACGCAAACATAGGCCATGGATATTACAGTACACCGTGAAGCCTATATGTGACCATATACAGTATCTTCAATTTTCATGGATAGATTCGGCTACCCACGCCACGGTTACGGCCGTCGACTTGCCCATCAACCACAACCCACAACTCACAATTCACATTGAGCACTCTTACAGGACGTGATCTCCACTGCAACCTCGACCTCAACCTCTACCTCCACGCAATTGAAGTGCCACACCCCGTGCTCTCAGCTCGCAAGGCGCGCCGCTCCGTTGACAAGATGCGCTGCCATCATATTCGAAGACTACTCGTAGTAGATAATTGCTGAACACCTCTAAAGACTAAATCACTCGTAGTAGATGGTTGCTGAACACCTTCCAAAGACTAAATTACTCGTAGTAGATGGTTGCTGAACATCTTCTCTATCCTACCGTCATCCACGTGAGGGGTATATCTCGCGCGCCCTGTCCGCCTGCCGACTGTCTACTCTGTTCTGTTCTGCTCTGCCTCTCCCACGCCATATCCCATACGCGGCCAGACGTCGGGTACGCGACGCGTATGTCAAATATCTGTGCCAATGCAGTATCATTGCATCAATGCCAACGTCTACGCCAATACCTATGCTAATACCTATGCCAACGTCTATGCCAATACCACATCCAACCTCTGTGCCAATACCTATACTAATACCACATCCAACCTCTATGCCAATACCTATACTAATACCAAAGCCAACATCTATATCAATAATAGTGCCACGATCAAGTCTGATATGATCCGATATGATCTGATCCTGCATCATGCATGGTCTGGTATGGCTCGACATGGCATAGCATATTCTACAGTCCTCTGCTCGGCGCGCCGAAGCAGCCCATCTGCCGCTCTCTGTATGTATGTATCTATCTGTCTACCTCCCACAGCACGGGTCGTCAAGCAAGTAAATCGAACAAAGAAAGAAACGATGAATGAAGGAAGGAGAGAAGCAAAGAAGCAGAGAAGGCAGTCCTGGCAGTTTAAAGTACGTACCTAGCTTCTCTTGGGCCCGTCATTGTCCCCCCGTCAAGTTACAGTAATGAACGTACCGGCACGCCTATATCATCTCCACGCATCTCACATGCCCGTTATTTCTTGGTTGATGCGTGCTGTGTCGGTACGTACGTACGTACCTACCCACATGGGGGCTATACAATTTTGTCAAAGCAGAAAGGTCACGCGCGGCATGCTAGGACATGGTAGAGTAGGTCAGTTTGCTGTGGATGTGGATGTAGAATTAGAATCCTCGTCGTCGAAAGCCGTCCCGCACGTCTGGGGAGATCTTACATCTGGCATCGCGCCATCTTCGCATCTCGCATTCCTCATGTACACGATAATACACTAGGGCACACTATCTACGGCATCTACTCTATGCAGAGTATGCCTCAACTCTGAGTTAGGAGAAACATTCCTTCAACCGATCTATCTATGTCTTCCTTGACCAGAACAAGACGTGATTTGTGCAAGTCTGAATTTGCCACATTTGTTTCATTGTCACGATAGGGCAATTGGGACACTCTCTACTAGTCTCTCCGGGCACGCCGGCTCCAGGCAATATCAGTCCCGGTTCCAGTCCACTGGCAGTCTGGGAACAATATCCATCTTCCCAAAGGGGCGACCCTCCTTGAATCGTCAACACCACACTCATCGAGATCCGGGATGCTGGTCCAGTCGGGTTTCAGCTCTGCAATCCGACTTCCATTCCGCTGCTCATCTGTTCAGGTGGATACCTTCGTTTATTCACCACCACCACCATCATCCCCACCAAAATCGCCTCCGCCGCCGTCTTGGTAACCTTCCTGGCTGTGTCGCAGTTAGCATCAAGGTCATCATCTCGATCGACATGATGCCGGGATATTCTACTCAGCCCGGCATAAGTGGGGGAGACTCACTAAGCATCTTGTTCGCCGTCATTGATTGCGTCGGCCAGCAGAGCACCACCAAGCAAGCCACCACCCAACCCGAGTGCTGCCGCCCCTCCAGCGCCTAGGCCACCAGACCTTCTCGGCGGTTGTCCATATCCTCCCCCGTAACCGCCATAGCCGCCGCCATAGCCGCCATAAGGAGGGCCTCCGTAGCCAGGGCCTGGGCCATATCCGGGTCCCGGTCCATAGCCAGGCCCGTATCCACCACCGTAGCCTTGCGGCGGTCCACCATAGCCGTAGCCACCAGGTGGACCCTGCTGATATCCACCAGGACGTGCATGCTGGGGGAACGGACTCGAACTTCCACCACTCGACTTGCCCAGCAGCTTGCCCAGGAATCCTCTCGGCTTGCCGGAACTGCTGTCGGGCCGCGGCGGAAGTTGACTCGAAGGTGAGGTCGGCGCTCCAGGGTATCCTCCTTGAACGCCCTGTGACTGTGGTGCACTGCCACCGCCGGAACCGTAATATGAATCGGCATGACCGCGACTGCTCTCTTCCGCCTGCAAGCGCCGAGCCATCTGCTCGTCTGACTCCTGAGAAGACCCAGTATTGCTCGTGTTGTAGGGATTGTTAGACTCTAGTGGGCGCTTGGTGTCGGAAACAGCTGGCGCATTGCCACCGGACGAATACCCCGGTGGCGCGCCGGGAGGGACCTCGTCATCGCCGCCAGGAGCAGGGCCGGTAGGCTTCTCCCATGTGGACTGTTTTGTATGGAGGTTGACGTAGAACCTGGAGCACACAGTGTGTTGTGTTAGCCAGGCAGGATCACGATCAGAGCAACAAGCACGAATCGAGGCTGACGACGGATAAGCAAACATGAGGCTTCGCTCACATACCATTCTTTGTATTGGTCGTTGAATACAGCTTTCCAGCCGCTCGGCACCTGTGGCGGCGGTGGGCCGGCAGGAGGCGCGTAACTTGCCATCAATTGCAGGTGACGTTCGGATAAATAGGACGCAACAAAGGAAAATAAGAGATGAGATTGAGTTCACAGAGTTGGTGATATAGGGAAGCGCAGGAGGTCTGATGAGGCAAATGCTCAAACGCGGCAGTGACGAGGGGAACCGGTTGGTTGGCTCATCAATGGAGGGGTTACTACCTAGGAATTAGGCCGCAGCTGCTTTAGCCATGCCTAACGGGCTGCCAGTCAACGTCACCGGAGCCTACCTAAATCCTTCATTCCGGCGCGTCAAGCGTGGCGCAGCACCACAAGTACGCATTGTGCCTCGCTTCCAGAACCGACGAGCCGCTAATGGAGCAAATCATTCACAGAGACGAACTTCGGTTCGTGACAAATCATATCTTGGCTCTCGGGTCTCTCTTGGTTACGTATTCAGGAATGCTGCGAAGTACATACGGAGTACTCATAGCAGTACTATTTCTCATCGATACTGTCTGCCTCCCGTCCTCTCCTCTCTGAACTATCGCCTGCCTATGCCGACGAGATAGATTTTCCATCAAAGCTGAGACAATCAGGATCAACGGCTTTTCAACTGGCATACTGGCTCTTCGTGTCGTAAGCTAAACCATCTATGAGGACACTGCAAATGACAACCAAGTACATGGTGAGCAAGAAGTGAGGATTAAACCATGCATGAGGACACGGTAAGTGACAATCCAGTACATGGTGAGCAACAAGTGAGGACACTCTGAGCAAGATCAATTAAGTGGCGCTTAGGGTATATCATTGTGTAAAGTCGATCCCAGTCATCTCATCTCGTCCATCATCAGCACAGCACTCTTGAATTAGCCTGAGTATCAAAATCAGGCATCGCTTTATCTGGCGGTTATCAGCTTTTTGGCTTCCTGCTCGCCAACACCCAACACTGTTACCAGGTAATCTACGCTCGTATTTTCTGCCATATGCCTGCGGACCTCCTTGAATTTCTGGTAACAGTGGTCCATGACTTTGGCCCGCTTCCGCGTATCGATTGTCTTGACGCGCAGCTTGAAGATGCCGCTGACGGGACGATGATCGCTTGTGCGTACTTCATGGCGTCGATATTCGAGTTGCATGACACGGCCGGGTCCACGATAGAGAAGTCGATCACACCATGCCGGCGCGCGCTTCTTCTCCGACGTGTCGTACCTATCCGTCCCGACATCGTACTTGTATGTTGGCGCAAAGGTGATGGGTAGTTCCACGAATTGAGCCAGACGAAATCCTGAAACACGGCGACGCGAAACCATGATCTGGTCCCGCTCAAGCAGTTTTGCCAGTTCGTTGCGTTTGATCATTGCAATCACTGTATCTCGCGGAATAGCGTCAATGCGATAGTTCAGGTCGCCGTTGAGGAGGCAGATCTCGTGGTCAAGGATCTGAGTACCGTCACCGCCTCCGACATAGAGCGAACTCCGTGCATCGGCATCAGGTTCTGCGTCAAGAGCTTCAGCTTCGAGAATGCTTGCCACGTCGTTGTTCCGATGTGACGTGTTTCTCTGGCCGGCTGCAAGGTGGCAATTGACAAAGCACACTGAACTGTCGTCCAGGACGAAACGGGTGACGAGCGCCCCTTTGTTTCCGTAATGACCCTTCAAGCCAAGCTTGACGCTGGCAGCCTGCAAATTTCGTACGTTGACTCGTTCCTCTTGTCTGATGAAGACACATTGGAATAGTCCAATCAAGCTGGAGGTATGCAGTTCCGAATAGGCGTGATGAGCACTGGTTGACCGGCTAATCACTTTGCTGAGGTAGTCCCGCCATTCTCGGTAGACTCGAGTCTGGTGTTGCTCCGTCTTGACCGTGTCTTTCTTCTTCCCAAAGCTGAAAATACTCTTCGCAGTCACCGTACGATCCTCCAGGTCAACGACTTCTTGGAAACCGAACACGAGTATTTCCGGCGGGTCGTCGGCGTGGATCGCATCGGCAATAAAATCCTCCCTCAGGTCGTAGGGCGTGGACGCTCCAACATTCCACGTCACAACTGCGGCCCGCAGCTCTCGGAATGTGCAATATTCCACGTCGCGCTGCATCATCTCGGTCTCGATCCAGTCGTCCTCAAGCGCCGCGTCCCACAACCTCACAAAGTTGTCATGTCCTATCGTCGCGACTTGCAATTGTTGGAGGGTCCAGACACTGCTGGGGTCGAACAGGAGCTGAGTCACCGGCCCTTCATGGGCTTTCCAGTCTTTCTGTGTTTTCCAGGGCAAACTGTGGGTGTCGTACACATAGACCATCCCTGTCTTGAAAGCTGCCCATAACTTGTCGCCAACATACGCGAGGTTGTTGATCTTGTAGTCGCTGGCTTTGACATTTGCAATCACGGAGAAATCTTTGGTTGAATATATGGACACTCGGCCGTCGATATGTCCGAAATATGCCCTTCCACCACCTTCATTCGAGCAGGTTCCGCAGGTGACATCTCCATTACCGGGCTGGTACAGTGCATCAGTCAGGGCAGCAAAGGAGCTTTCATTTCCTGGTTTGTATACCCGGATTTCTTTGCCCGAGGCATACCACAGTCTTCCGTCGACAGCCATGGAGAATGTGTGACCCCTGGGCAGCTTGTGGGAGATGTGGCTATATTTGAGATTTGGCACTCCAGTCTCATCAGCTTTCCAAACGAACAATTTTCCTTCGTCGTCGATGGTCCACAGATCCCTTCTGTTGCGAAGTATCCGCACAATCTCACGTCGGTTGTGTGATGAGTTCGTTGTTATGACTGTGTGGGTCGCAACATCAACTTCCATCACTTCTCCTGTGTTCATGCCAAGCCACAGTCTGGTACCTTCCTGTGCTAGTTCCGCGGCAGGCTTGAACGCCATCGCGGACACCTTGACCGTCTCACCATGGTTGATGCTCATGACCTGCTCTCCTGAGGTCATATCGAAGACCCGAGTAACATAACCGGCCGTACATAAGTATTGGCCACACACCTCGGCAAGCCGGGAATCTGATTTTGTGCCAATCTCCCACAAACTGGCTTTACTGTACGGAGGCCGCCTGTTGGTATGGGTTGCATCCGGGTACTCCGATCTGGAAGTAGTGGGTTCCTCCATTGTCTCCTCAGTCTCGTCGGAATCGTCCGTTGTTGCCTGTGGGACAGGCCGCCTAGAAACATCGCCCACAAAGGTCTGAGAACGGTGCGTCGAGGTAGTGGGAGGGAGATCAACACTCGTTCGCTTCGGTGGCGGTGGGAAATGCTGGTCTGCAGGCATACTCGGCGTGCGAGAGATCGTCTGGATTGGGGAGGGCTTCTTGAAACGATCTGGGTTTGCGGCGAGGCTGGGTAGAGGCTGTACAGGTCGGGTCGTGTGCTTGGACTCGTTCGAGGGGCGTGGCGGAGGCTCGACAGGGCGTCTTGGGGGAAGACCCGGGTTTGGCTCTTCTACAATCTTTTCGACATCTGGCGGAAGCGCACTGGAGAACCCAAGCATGCGAGCATCGCGAACAGCAGTTGCACGCGATGGCTGTGCCGGAGCGAATGGGGGAGGGGGAGGTGTGTGTCTTATCGTCTCAGAGACATGGCGCGGCGTTGGCTTGCCATTCACCAAACCTAATTCACTAGGTTCTTTGGTAGGCTTCTCTGAAACCGTGTTTGCTCTTGCAGGCAAATTTGCTCCTCGACTGGGTGGTCCCGCTTCAGGCTGTGAGAATCCGGCACCTCTCGCATCCTGTTTTTGAAGCGTCGTCGGCTTGTGTGAGAAACCCTGTAGTCGCGCATCTTTTGGCCGGGAAGAGACAATTTCCGGAGGGGTTGGAGTAGCATGTACGGGCGGTGACGGTCGGGTTGGCTGTGAAAGAGACAGCGTTTCAGGGCTCCGGGAGGGAGAGCTTTCATCACTGCTTGGAGGCGTGCTAAAGGGAGATATGCGCGCTTCGAAGGAAGGCCTCCGGGCCTCAGGCTGGAGGACATTAGCGGTAGGCAGAGCAATGGTATTCGGCTTAAGTGGTATTTTAGGTTTCTCTGCCCGGTTGACTGGTGGCGGCAGTGCTTTGGGCTTCTCCTCTTGAACTTCGATGCCTTTTTGCATCTCTCCCAACGCTCTCGTGGTGTCCGATCTATCACCGCTGGCAGCCCGCGGAGCTGGTGTTGAGGAGCGACTCGAGTGTTGGGATATCAGTTCGCGCACCTTGGCAAACGGAGTGTTGTCGACACGTTCCGGAGATCTTGAACTGCTTCGCTCGAAGAAGGTCCGGGGAGGCGAACGGGGTGAGTCGACCTTAACTGACGGAGTGAGTTGGGGGGAGGACTGTAGTAGCATCGACATGGGCCGTCTGTGACCCGGCTTTGGAGGCGACTCGGAGCCCTTGGTCGGAGTTCGTGGCCCACCATTGTTGATGTTCCCCACTGTCCCAGACCACGGCGAGATGGGTCTTGCTATATCAAAAGAGGCTCGTTGGGGTGCGGCTGGACTGGCCCTGTCAACGGGTCTCAGTGCCTGCGGAGAGGGCGGTATGCTTCCTGGTGGAGGCTGGTTGACCTTGAGTCCCTCGAAGTGAGACCTTAGCGACGACACAGGCTTTATAGAAGCCGCATCTGTCCGTTGCTCCGTGTTCTGCGCCATTGTCGATGTGTATGTTGCACCCTGCGGGCTCGCGAAGCGGATTTGAGGGAGTGGTTGTCAATTAATCTTCTGTCACCGCAGCAGTGACATTCTAAGCGTGTAGCAGAGCCAACGCTCGCGCCAACGGAGATGTATCACCGCCCTTCCCGTCCTGCACCGTATAACCGTACACACATTCACTTTGATGGTCTCTGTCGGTCGGCAGGCGCCGGAGGGGTGAGACGGTGAGACACTCGAGGAGCAGCGCGGGGACGCGGCGAAAAAAGAGGGTCGAGTGCAGTTACGCGTCTGGATTCAGCCGCTGCGGTGTCGGGCTGTGTATTTGATTTCGAACGATCGAGGGTGTAGTGTAGATGGCAATAATAAAAGAATGACATTCGATAATAGGTAGTTCCTTGGGCAGCAATGGCACTCCTCCAGTTTGTTGATACAGTGTCTGATTTCGATGTTGATGGCTACGTATGCCTGCGGTAACTGAACTTGCCTGCATCAGCCCAAGCCACTCGGCACCTCAGCCAGGGCGGCTCCGCTACTCCGACACTTTGTCTGTCGGTCCCCTACGAGGTGCCACCAGTGCTTAAGTAAAAAGGGGGCGAGCGGGGTCTGCAAGCACTTTACGGGCAGTCACGTGTTAGCTTGTTGAGCAACTACTGTGTACTCCGTACTCTGTACTCTGTTGTGCAGCCGCCAACCACCCATCAACAGACTGTGTATCTCAAAATTCTGTGGTGCGGTAGCGTCGGCGAGTTACACGTGAAAATCTACGTGGGAGCACACTCATACATAGTTGAAGAGCGACGTGGTGGCTCTATGGAAATCTCTCAATCTCGGACGCCCAGGTACTCTGCTAGCCGACGCAAGCCCTGCAAGTCGCCTTGAATAGTCTCCTCTAGATCCTGGTCAATCCAACCGCAAGTCGAGCTGCCGCCGAAATCGAGAAGCCACGCGTTGGCGGCTTTATCGATCAGAACATTTTCCGGTCTCGCGTCTCCCCAGACAATGCCTCCTTCATGCAGCTGCGCGATAGAATGCTCGATCTGCCGCTTCCACTCGCGGCGTTGGGCGGAGGAAGCATGGTCCATGTCGACTTCGTGCAGACTCGTGCCATCAACAAGTTCTTCAAGCATCCCTACGACTTGACCTCCCGAGGTCACAAGACCGAAACCCCGTGGGACATAGGGGCGACAGGGGTGATCTGGCTCCCAAGCCTCGGATATTTGCTGGAGGATGTGTATTTCGCTTTTGAGCTGATCTTCCTTGCCGCCCGTCGCTAATTTGACGACACACACCTTGCCGTTCCTGGACATCTTGACCACTTCCCTCATGTATAGATCTTTGACGAAGTCTATTTCAACCGAAGGGATGAAATCGGGACAGATTGGCGCTCGAAGTCCGCCGCCCTGGGTACAGAATCGTCCCTGAGGGCGGACTCGGAAATGTCGTCCATTTGACGGCTTCCAGCTTTCCTCTCGCTGTGTGCAATTACAGGTAGAAGGTTGTTGGGTGCAGAAAGTCCTCAAGCGACGCTTGCCTACTGTTCAGCCGCGGGGCTGATGCGGCGAGCGTGTACATCGTATGTTTGCAGGTCAAGATGACAAGTTCTCTGAAATCCTCCAGGCATCGATGGAATGCCATTTCATCAGGATCTTTCTCGGCCTCCTCGATTCTCAGGAAGACGTCGGACAGAATATCACCGTCTTCTCGGCGCTCTGGCTTCCTTATTTTGAGGACAAACCGCTGGTGGCCATAATACAGCACCGTGTGATAATCGCCTGGTCCTGTGAACACATCGCCTACTTCAAACCCGTCGGATTCGACTTCGGGAGGGTCCATGTTTGAGGGATTGATGTAAGATAGATGCGAAACTGCTTCGAGTCGTAGTTGACGGATAGTTGCGCCACGTTGTCGCCATGGCGAGTCACCAAGCAGATCGTTACAAAGTTGCCGGAGACACCGGTACCTCCCGACCATAAAGACCTCGTGAGTTCAAAGAACGTGCAGTTTCCGTGGCTGCAAAGTTTGATGGCCAATGCATTTGGGCGATATGTATGAGCTTCCTTTGTCTCGTCCAAGGAGTCCAAATAGACTGTGCATGGGTCCGTTCCACTTCAACTCTAGGAGCTGGGCACTCTCCCTCACATTTCGTTCGTATGACTGTCACAATACGCAGCACAAGCAAAGGCAGAGGACGACGCACATTGTGTGGTGGACATTCTAGAGATCGTTATGTAAGAATGTTCGGTGGGGCGAGTTTATCTCCTCTTCTGACGCCCGTTCTCGAAATATTTGATATCGCGACTTGACATGGAACCCCACCATGCTGTCAACATTTATCAAAATACAAAGTACTCGTACGACGACATCCACGTGCATTAGGACATGACAAAGGCAGCGAATGGGAGGATTCTCCGGGGACCAACTACCTCATAGACTTTGGGAGGCTCTGTGTCAACGGCCAGAATGTCCTGCGCGTCACAGAGCATGATGTCATGATGAAAACATCATCGCGACAACTGCCCGGCAGATGGAAGCGCGGAGTTATGTTAAAGACAAGTGCTTCCTCCTTCATCGCGGGATTTTGTCCAAGCCGAAATCCTTATACCTTACTCAAAACCTGCCGATAGCACGCAGTGAACATTCATCATGGCTCTGTCGCAAGCAGCAGGATTCGTCGAAAAGCTCATTGGCCACACAGGTGATGCCAACACTGAGCAGAACCTCAGCAATCCCTCCAAAGATGCCGAAAAGTACGCCGACCCTTCGGGCGAGAAGATGAAGGCGTTGGTCTGGAATGGCAAGAACAGCGTGAAAGTGGTCGAGACATTCAAACCTGCCAAGATCGAAGACACAGATGTCATTGTCAAAGTCACTGGCTCGACGGTCTGCGGCTCGGATCTGCACCTGTATCATGGTGTTGTCGTCGAGCTACAAAAGGGCGACATCCTTGGCCATGAGTTCTGTGGCGTTGTCGACAGCGTTGGCTCCAAAATCAGCAAAGTCAAGCCAGGTGATCGCGTGGTGTGCAGTTTCCAAATCGCTTGCGGCACCTGCATGTACTGCCAGCGCAAACTGAGCAGTCAGTGCGAGAAGACCAACGACAACAAGATTGAGAATATCATGTATGGCGGTCGTACGGCAGGGATGCTGGGTTACTCGCATTTCACTGGAGGCTATGCAGGTGGCCAGGCCGAATACGTCCGCGTCGCATACGGAGACGTGAACCTGTTGAAGCTGCCAGAAGACGTCCCGGACGAAAAAGGCCTCTACCTCTCTGACGTTCTGAGCACATCTTGGAACGCTGTCGTGGACACGGGAGTCAAGGAAGGCGACGTCGTTGCCATCTGGGGTGCGGGTCCCATCGGTCAAATGGCCGCTGCCATGTCCTTTATGCAAGGCGCCAGACGAGTTATCATAATCGATGGCGGTGCCGCCGCCTGGCGGCTCGATTTTGTGAGAACTAAGCTTCCCCAGATTGAGACTGTCAATTTCACGGATCTTCCTCGAGGCAAGAACATCGTTTCCGTCCTGCAAGAAATGGAACACGGAGGCCCTGATGTTGCGATCGAGTGTGTCGCGGGCGAGTATGCGAAAGGATGGGCACATTACTTCGAAATACTCCTCGGCGCCGAGACAGACACCTCAGAAATCGTCAATGAGATGATCATGAGTGTCAAGAATTTCGGCCGTTGTGGCATCACCGGTGTCTATGTGGGCTATACGAACCATTTCAATATCGGCTCGTTGATGGAGCGCGGTATCCGACTCATCGGGAACGGACAGGCGCCTGTACACTTGTACTGGGAGGATCTGCTCAAGAAGATCCAGGAAGGCAAGCTCGACGTCTATCAAATGGTCAGTCATCGCGTCAAGCTAGAGGAACTCGAGGAAGTCTATCGGCGCTACGATTCTCGTGAGAAGGGCTTGCAGAAGGTATACGTCGAGACGAAGTTCAGTTTCCCACGCGCCGAAGGAAGTCCCGAGTTAACTACATATGGCACGGCATGATGGGCAAGGAGGTGCATGGCTTGAAATACATTGACTGCTCGTTGCAGACTGAAGTGGCGTAGCGAGTCACAGATAGCTGCCAAATACGCGATAATCTCGTCGTTCATGAGCCTAGATGACCAGCTCAGAGTTGCTCTTATTTTTGCAGCCAAGTGGTGTCTGCATTCATTGTTAGCCCAACCCTCCCTCAGTTAGTGATGGTCTTAGTCTGGTGAAACCCTCCCGGGATAGATGGGCAGTGTCACTTTCCCAGTTATAGCATGAGAGACTCTTGATTAAGGCTTGTTCGATTCCCATCGGCGGGGACTCCGAGTAGAGGGTTAATATACACGGATCATTCAGGACCAGGCACACCTCTGTCCGGCTGAGAAGGCGGAATATTCGACCAAGAACGCCTGCGTTTCGAGGGCGACCAAGGTCAACGATGGTGTCCGCGGAGTTGACGAGATGTGACCTGGTTGTAGCAGAAGCTTTGGGCTGTGTGAAGCAAGGATAGGTCGTAACGGGCTTTTGAATACTGCTTCATAATCTCAACTGCTTCAAATCTTGGCTCGTTCAAATACACGGCTGGTTCGCACCACAATCGAAACGGCGAAAGAGAAGGAATTCGAGACCTTCCTATCTTGACTCGTTCGAGACTGGGTGAGGCTGGAGGCTCTGACACCAGGGCGGTTTGAGCACCCGGAAGACCTATTCTGGACTGTTGCATGACAGGTTCACCAATCTGATCTGTAGCAACAGCTCGCGTATCAGGCCGTTGCTACCCAAACATGAGGTGTGGTAGCTCAACGAAGCCCGCTCGGTCGCAGGAAGCTATCTCATTCGCTCCTCGGTCTCGCTGGGGGCATTGCCGGTGAGTCGTAATAAGGGCCACCACGGTTGCAACAAGCTTCACTCAGAGAAAGCACGTCGTCATTTGACAAATTGCGCGATACTAATCATGGAGTGGGAGAACGAAAGTCAGCGACCATGGCACCTCTAGAACATCAACTGACTAAGCTCCTGCATGGCTCGTGCATGAACCGACTCAACACCAACCGAGTTAGGGATATGACAAGCCCAATCGTCGTCCAATAGCCGCATAGTCGCCGAGCTTAGAGTGGTAATAGGGATGTCCTCAGTGGCCTGTCGCATGGCGCTTGCTGACTGTTCTTTGCCTGGTATTTGACATCCTGGGATGGACACGCATCAATTTTCTGGTCCAGACGCTCCGAGATCAGATGGTATAAGTACGGCGAGGGAGAAGAACATTCAAAAGATGGACACGAAGACAGACACACAATCCGCCCACCAAGCCTCCTCGAACTCAACTCCGCGAACTGAACACCTGGCAAGCCCTTCACGATGCCACTCTCTACGAACGACCGGACCAACGAGACTGCGGCCAAATTGGTGAAGACACTCCGGGGAGCATTCAACACTCCACAGGGCTTCCGACCAGGTCAGCTCCACTGTCCAAGAAGCACATGTTTACATACTGACCTGCTCTCGTGTAGCTCATGCTAGAGGTATCCTCATCAATGGAACATTCACACCAAGCTCAGAGGCAGCCTCTCTAAGTAAAGCACCCCATTTCAACGCCAGCTCAACACCCGTCACCACCCGCTTCTCGAACTCGACGGGCCTCCCACAGATCCCCGACAACGCGGGCGACGCCAACCCGCGGGGCTTCGCCGTCCGATTCAACCTTCCTGAGAAGAACGGCCGTCGCCAGCACACCGACATCATAGCACACTCGACGCCCTTCTTCCCCGTCAACTCAGGCGAGGACTTCCTCGCACTGCTGGGCGCCATCGGTGCCTCTTCCGCGCCGGAGGCTCCCAAGAACCCATCCCCGATCGAAGCCTTCCTGGGCAGTCATCCTGCCGCACTAGCTTTTGTTCAGGCACCGAAACCCACCCCGTCCAGCTTTGCCACGGAAAAGTACTTTGGCGTGAACGCGTTCAAACTCGTGTCGGCGGACGGCAAGGAGACGTTCGTTCGCTGGCGCATCACTCCCGACGCCGGGGAATCACACCTGTCTGACGAAGAAGCCAAGTCCAAGGATGCCGCATTCCTGCACAACGAGATTCAGACGCGCATCATCGACGGAGGCGCTTCTTTCACCCTCTGGGCCCAGGTGGCGAATGAAGGAGACCAGACCAACGATCCGACGGTTCGCTGGCCGGACGACAGGAAACTTGTGAAAATGGGCACCATCAAGTTGGATGCCGTGGCCGAGGACAATGACGAGAAGCAGCGAAACATCATTTATGATCCGGTCCCCAGGGTCGATGGGGTCGAGGCGAGCGATGATCCAGTCATTGATGTGAGGGCGAGTCTGTATTTGATTTCAGGACGAGAGAGGAGAGCTGCTGGACCGCACCATTGAGGTGAGCAGGTCGGCATCGATATATCAAGCAGAGGGTGTGACGAAAACGAGAGCAGTGAAGGAGGAGTGTTTCTGCGCGCGCTGTTCTCGCTTCAGGCGCATCATACTGTACGACTCCAGCTGAACTCAGATGAACTTGAAAAGTTTTGGCCCTAGCTCTGATGTCGTGAATCATGCCCACCGCTTCGTGAACCAGTGCCATTGTAAATGCTTGAGAGATATCAAAACATGTAGCTTTGTCCAAACATCTGCCGTGTGGTCGCAGTATCGACTGCCCTGTCACCAGTCATCAACGGTCAAACCCCCCCGAGTCCCTTCTACCGTGGGAATTGCAGAGTCATGCAGTTCGAAGCCCATCACATTCGTTGATCCTCCCAAGAGACAATCAGTGACATTCCACCTCCCGTCGCGTCGCGTCGTCGGCCCATCCTCAGCTGAATCGAATCCTCACTACACAACCAACCCGTAAATCGGACATTCCACAACAATTCTGATATCTCACGACAATTCTAGCCCCTCACAACCAATTCTGACCCCTCGTCCTCCTCGCCTCCTTCTCCCCCTTGTACAAGCCCTTTTTACTCGTGGGAATGCCCATGCCGATGAGACTATTCATGACCATGACGCCGGCCTCGACACTGTCGATGACATTGACGGTCCGGCGGCCGTCCTCGTCGCGCACGGCGTCCTTGGCCGCGCGCATCATGTCGGTCATGCCCGCACAGCCCAGCAAGATGGTATCGGCGCCTTTCATGACGAGGGCCCTGGCGCAGTGGGCGATGCGCTTGACGACCTCGTCCCGGGGGCGGGTCTCAAGCTCGAGGACGCCGAGGTGAGTGGCCTCGGAGCCGACGTAGAAGTGGGTCATGCCGTAGGCGGCGATGTCGTCGTCCTGCTTGATGCGGCTGCGCTGGGCGGTGGCGACGATGCCGAAGCGCCCGCCCAGCATGCGCGCGACGTAGACGCTGGCCTCCATGATGCCGATGACGGGCACGTCGTACGACTCGCGCAGCGCGTCGATCAGCGGGTGCCGCGAGAAGCACGCCACGATCATGCCGTCGTAGTTCTGCACCGTCTCGCCGTTGGGCGCCGCGTGCTTGGCCAGGTCGCGCACCACCGCCTCGGTCGACATGATCGCGTCCGTCGTCGACTCGATCGCCGTCGGCGCCGGGTATGGCGCCGTGTAGCCGGTCAGTTCCACGTTCGGGGGTAAGTTGGGCCGTAGCGTGTGCAGCATCGTCTCCGTCATGGAGCGCGTCGAGTTCGGGTTGATCAGGAGGATCTGGTGCGGGCGCCCGCGTGGCGGCGACGTGATCGGTGGGGAGAAGGGCGATTTGGCGCTCGTGGGCCGTCCGCTGGGTCCGCCACCGCCACCGCCGCCGTTTACTGAGGGCATGGCGGGTATCGGGCCAGCACCGGGACCAGGACCGGCGCCGCCTCGAGACACGGGCCGCGACGTTGACGACGACGACGCCGGCGGCATCCCTCCTGCGTTGCCCGAGTGTTGGGCGAAGAGAGGCTGAATGCCCTGCATGGGCGGCGAGGTGGTCGACGGCATCGGCGGCACGACGGTGACGGGATAGTTCTGGCCGAGGGTGCTGCTTCGCGAGCGCGAGCCGCCGGGCCCTTCGATAAACGGGTTCCCCGCTGGATCGCCGGCCTCGTTGGTGGGCGACTGGGGTGGGAAATACTGGCTGGGAAAGCGGCCGCCATAATTGCTACCGGTTTGCTGCAGCTGTTGCTGTTGACCCAGCGGCGGTGACTGGCTGGTGGGTGGAGGGCCGCCGTAGCCGCCATTACCACCACCATTACCACCACCGCCGCCGGGGCCAGGCCCACCGCCCGACGTGACGCGTTGGTAAGTAGCCATGGCGGGATCGGCCTCCAGCTGTTCGTACGAGTAGTCTGAAAGAGACTGGTTATCCTGCAACTGGGGAGACGCAGAGCGAGATGCGCCGGGCCGGAGGGACAGAGGATGAACGCCGCCGTTGCCGCCGCCTTGGAGTGGTGGTGATTGACCTGGAAAGATGCCGGGAGGAGAATGTGTTTGTTGTCGCGAAATGTCGGCAGTGTACGGTGCCGCCATTATTTGCTTGGGTCCTGTACGCAGGACGGAGTCGGTACGGGTAGGTGTGGATTTTCGGCCGACTTTTCGACGCCCTCACGCCCCGGAGCTTGGAATATCGGATGCCAGATACGAGCGACGGGGGTTCAGGATAAGCGAGGTTTTCGCCTGCTTCTGCCCCTTCGTGCCCCTCACAGATTGCCAGACAGTGACCCTTGTGGCCCTGCGCTTCCCTTGCACCTTGCAGCTTGCTTGCTTTCTGTTCTACTTGCAGGACTTGCCTGGGCTGGACTGGGTGGCAGGCTGCCGGGCGTTGCGAGTTCTGTCGACGAGTCGTAACCAGCACGCCAGACCTGACCCACGGTCCAAGCCTGTTTTATTCTCCGACACGCCGGCTGGAGACCAATAATGACGCCTACGATGTGCGTGGCATTCAGGGGTCAGGGGTGGAGCGTCGCCAAAACCGATACAGGAGGCGCAGTGCTTGCGGCAAGTAGTGATAGAAACTCGTACCCCGTACGAGTTACCAGATTACAGAAAGGGACACGCGCGAGAAAAGAGATGGACAGAGTGTGTAACAGTAGGCAAGAGGTCTAACTTGGCTTTTTCGTGATAAATTGCATCTCAGGTCACCGTGCTGACAGACATTAAATCCCTCGATCATTTACAGTATTAGCCATGGTGGCCGTAATGTGACCGCCCGTGAGTGCCGTATTGCCCTTGACTGGGTCCAGTACGAATATGTCCAGAGTGCGTGTCCCTCCGTACTAATTACTGCAACTGTGTCCCGGTACGAGTAGCTTCAGCCCCCAATCTCAGCCAGTTGGCTGAATAGGGCTAGGACTGCTGTGAAACTCCGGCGCTGGCAATCTATATTTGGGCGAGCATTGCAGGCGAGGAGCAAAGCGTGCTTGGTCAGGGTGAAGCCAAGATGCGGGTCACCCAGGATTCTGTCCGGGACACAGATCAGAGACTGAGACGGCGTGCCTGTAGGGTTCCTATTTATGTAGACTGTATCGTGATAAATGCGGTGTGTTTACAGTGCAGAGTACGAGTACTCGTACAGTGGTGTACAGTGGTACTATGTGTGCGGTAGGCGACTCGGCTACGGCATCAGAACGGCTTCTCTGCCGGCAGGTACATAAGATACCTCCCCTGCACCCCTACCGTACTGGGGAACATTGCGCAAAGTACGGAGTACACAGTAGATGCTATGTACCGCTACAGCAACTCCGGCTCTACCACGCCCGTCTGTTCGGCAATGATCCCGTAATGTTCGGTCCGTCGGTGCCTCTCGAACGCAAACACCTTCTCCTTGCCGCGGCGACACATGCCGAGATCGATCTCGGCGACGATGAGCTCGTCGTCTTCGGTCTTGGCTTCCACGACGACCTCTCCGTCGCAGTCGACGATACAGCTGCCTCCGATCAACGGATACTTGCCGTCCTCGACGCCGCACTTTGCGACGTTGATGCTGAAGCAAGCATTGGCATAGCTATTGTACGTGACGCACAGCTTGTTGTGGAACAGCGCCTCTTGTTTGGCCTTCTCCTTGGTTGAGATCTTCGTGCTCGTGCCGAGCAGTTCGGGCGCCCATGCCGTCGTGTTATAGCCGCACAGCACGAGCTCCGCGCCCTGCAGGCCGTACGGTCTCCACGCCTCGGGCCACCGTCTGTCGTTGCAGATGAGCATGCCGATGATGGGGTCGCCCTTGCCCAGCGTGTCTGGCTCGTTGGGCTTTGCTCCTGATTTCTTACTGACGGCGTTGGCGACCAGCCCTGGGGCTCGAAACGCCGGGAAGCCCAGGTTGCCCGGCAGGAAGTATCGCTTCTCCAGCTGGTTTGTGGCGTCTTTGCGTTCGTAGGGCTCGAAAGTGCCGGGCAGGTGCACCTTGCGATATTTCGAGATGACTTGATCCGCCACCCCGGAGTAGTAGACCGCCGTGTTGTAGTGGACGTGTTCCCCGTCACCGGACTCGGGGGCGTGCTCCGCGTACCCGATGTACATGTCCATCTTGAACTCCCGGGCCTTGTCGAACAGCGGCTTCAGGTTGGCCAGCTTGGTCGGGTCGCCGCCGACCTCCTGCTCGTTCTCGAAGTATTGCTCGAGCTCATCGCCGTCCAGGATGTGCCGAGGGAAGAACGTCACGGGCGCGATCTCAGGATACACGATCAACTGGACGCCCTGTCGATGCGCGTCCTCCATCAACTTGATCATCCGGCCCATCCCCTCCGACCGCGGCGTGTCGACATGAATGGGTCCCAGCTGGGCTCCTGCAACGATGATCTTGCGGTCCGACTCTGCTGTGTGGCCTGCACTCGGCCCGTGGATCGAACCCATATCCGCTCAAGACTCGGAAATGCCAGTTGCCTGATCAGGTTGAGAGCCCCTGAGATCTGGAGTACCGGCGTTGAGCGGTCGTGAAGAATTGTTGAAATGGAACACATTCAGATCCTCCGTGAACGCTCGTGCCGCACAGCTTCAAATACTCTGTCGAGAATCATACCGTCCACCTGACAGGTACCGTCAAGTCCCCGAACCATGCACGCTGCCCGCTGTCCTGCCCGAGTGGTCCGTTATCAACACCGCAACCCGGCACACATCGCTGTTATCCGCTCCATGTGGGTTTGCAAGGACATCAACGCCTCGCGACTCTCACCAACCGTAGGTCGCTGCGGCCATCAGCGCCGCCGATGAGAGCCTTGTGAAAGTGTCGAGCGCCTCCACCTTGCGATAAAAAGTCCGTGGACAGCCTCGAATTATCAACACGAGTCAAATATCGGTACGTAAATAGAGGGCACGCCTTCGTTTGGTTTTCTCGGTGTCGGTACGGGTGAGAGATACACTACACAGTCACACAGTAAAGCTGACATCATCTTTCGATCTGACTTCGCTTCTGTCTTGGACGCGATACCGTGGACATACAGTGTCGAGCGAGCATGGCCCTGCGCGACGTCTTGCTGTCGCCGCTGGTTGCGCACCCATTGTTGACCCTCTTTCTTCTGCCCGTCATCCTCCTCGTGCTACGCTCGTTGTACCGTATTTCTCCCCTCCATCCGCTCTCCCACATCCCAGGTCCGCTTCTCCCTCGACTATCGTCACTATGGCTCACCTACCACGCGTGGGTCGGCGACGAGGCTTCGGTGGTCGACGCCCTGCATAAGAAATACGGCACGATCGTCCGGAATGGGCCGAACAGCGTCGACATCTCCGACGGTGCCGCCCTGGCCGCCATATACACCGAACGGGGCGGGTTCGCAAAGACCAAATTCTACGAGAACTTCGCCCTCCCGGACGGCGTGCACATGCACAACTCGATCTTTTCGGAAACGGATCCCCTGACGCGAGCGCCTCGCGCAAAGGCCGTGGCCGTGCTGTTCTCCACCTCGAACCTCAGACAGGGCCAGGACCTCATCTACGCGTGCGTCGACAAGTTTGTGGCCCGGTTGGCCGAGGGCAAGAAGTCGAGCCAAGCACGGAACGGCGCTGCTGCTACTGCTGCTGCTCCGTTGAATATCCTCAACCTGACGCGAGGGTTGGCCGTCGACGCCGTCTCGTCGTACCTGCTCGGCAAGAGCTACGAGGCCCTGAGCGAGGACTCGACGGGGACGAAACACGAGAAGACAGAAGCGGCGGTCCGAAAAGAGTTGGCCGAGCCGATGAGCGCGGCCGGCATGGTCGACACCTTCGTCGCGGTCGGCCGCTTCTGGTACCTCCCCAGCTGGGCGTTCAAGCTCGTCGAGTCATCCGACGCATGGTGGAACGCAAACGACGAGGTGACGCACAGTCTGGCGCGCGTGGACGACTTCGTCGCCGGAGTCGTGAGCGACGCAGAAGCCAGCATCATCAACGCCAGCACTGCACGATTGGAGGATGAGAAGACGCCTCTCGCCACCACCACCACCACTACCACCACCACCGCCCCTGACCACCATCCCTTGACCTCATACCCGGCTCGGCTGTTGCAGGCGGGCTTCACGCCCTCGGAGACGCGGGCTCAATGTAAGGACCTCATCTTCGCCGGCTCGGACAGCACGGGGATGAATCTGGCCACCATCCTCTTCATGCTGGCCAAACACCCGGACTGCCACAGGAAAGCGAGAGACGAGGTCCTCCTGGCCGGCAACGGCGGCCACCCGGGGTTCGACGAGCTCCAGTCGTTGCCGTACCTGCGCGGCGTGGTCAAGGAGGGCCTGCGCCTGTCCATGGCCAACCCGTCGCGTCTCCCTCGCGTCGTGCCGCCCGGAGGCTGGACCTTCAAGGACACCACCCATTTCCCCGGTGGGACCGAAGTCAGCTGCACGCCCTATTCCCTGCATCTGAATGCGGACGTGTTTCCCGACCCGTTCGCCTTCAAGCCCGAGAGGTGGATTGACCCGTCTGAGGCGATGATGCGGGACGCCATCCCCTTTGGTCTGGGCAGTCGACAGTGCATCGCCAGAAATCTGGCCACGGTGGAGTTGTACTGCGCCGTCGCGAGAGTCCTTGAGGCCGGTATACTACAGGGAGCCGCGACCGTCAAGTCCGAGATTGAGATTCTAGAATGGTTCAACAGCAAGGTCGTCGGGGAGCGGATAGACTTGGTCTGGCAATGAATGGCATATATCTTGTTCAATTGACCCGAACATGTTGCCAGGAACTTGACTCAGCTCGCTGACCTCGTTGCGAAATCCACAGTAGAGGCCGGGATGTATAGAGGATGCACCTCCACGCACGCCCTACCTCGCTTATGGCGCTTGGCTGCATGAGAATGCTTCTGATACTAATTCTAGGCTGCTACCCTGTCTCCATTGTCAGGAATTTTCTCATTACAGTCAACCAATCTATGCTCCCCAATGGTCGACCGTTGTCCGCTCCGGTCGGTGGAGGCACCACGGAATGGCATCAGTCCTCGGGGTGAGAACAGAACCAGCCAACAATCCTCAACATGCAAGACCCGCCGTTGTGGCCGAATCTCTTCACGCCTCGCAGCAGTATCCATGCTCTCAATCTGGATTACTCTGCTGCTGCCTCGGGAAACCAACTTGTCCATACCAGCAGTTCTCCTAATAAGAACCTCAGCAAGCGCTCCCAGCAGGACTCATTCGCTTGTCTTTGTAACGCCAACTGCTCATATTCCAGGTGCCGTCGCCGTCGGTATTCTGACACTTTCTGCCGCGCTGTCTGGAATGATTCCGCCATGACCTCGACACTCCGTCGGTATGCTCCTAGGGCCTCGTGCACGGCACTGATCGCCGCCGTCGGCGCGGCGAGGTCGACCTCCGGCATAGATCCCAGATTGACCATGTTCTGAAACCAATTTGCCGATGCTGCGAGGATTTCCAAGTCTTGCATCAACCCCGTGTGTTCGCTCTGGATGTCATCCAAGGTCTTTTCCATCAGTTCCAGTGTCAAGGACGAAACGTTGGGCAACCTTGCAAGCTGGTCTGCCTTTGATTTCAAGGTGGTAGCGCGGTATTCGGCTCTTGCACAGTATTGTCGAAGTATCCCTGCCGTCCTCTGTAGCCTCGCCGCCTTGTAGGTCAGGGTGGAGGGCCGGTCGGTCGGTAGAGGTTGAGGCTGACTTGCCCTCGTGCTGGTTGCAGTCGGTTCAGTGCTGTTATACCGTTTGACCCGCTTGTGCCCTGCACTTACAACCTTCATAGCCTCTGCATGTGTGTCGCCGATGGTGGCCATCTGGAAAGGATGGTCGGTGAAAGAGTAACCGTGTTCCGCGCCGTTAGCATCCGAGCTCGTCATCGCTGGTGGAGAGGCTGAGCAAGGAGCAGGAAAGCGTCGGGAGTTAGGACTGGCGAAGAATGCGCCGAGCGGACCAGGAGTAGTAAAAGCGGCGGTAGAGACAAGATGCTAAAGAGTGATTTGATATGGTTACTCACTGCTGAATACAGGGGTATGCATGTGAAAGAGACAAGCAACAAGGAACGTGCAGAATTGAAGGCTATTGCGGTCGATTTCTGGGTAACGGCTGCCGCAGTCCATGCTGAAAGGGCCATTGACACTGAAGCAGGAGCGAATGCCATGTCGAAGGGTATCAATGCAATGTACCACCCGGCATGGAGGCAATGAGAATCTCAGGAAGGGTTTCCTTACCATCAAGGATCATCTCCATATCCCATGCCCCTGTGTCTCACGGTCCATCCCACGGACTTCTGTCGTGGTACCCCTTCCCTCTTTGATAACCCACCTTCCCACTCCCCAATAGACCCATGATCTCTGCGTGAATTACTCAGTCATTCCCCAAGCCCACACGCACTCCTCGCCGACCTCTACCCCGGCGCCGCCGCCATGTTTGCCAGCTGCAACAATCCACAAAGCTCAGGCACGTTGACGGCACGTTGCAACGCAACAACTGCTTCATCGTACCAATCGGGCTTCCGTCCTCCAAGCACGCTTCCATACCGATTCTCCAACCTGGCTAGCAAGATCTCAGCCTCGGCTTTGATCGTGCTGAAATCGGCGACAAGCTAACGACTGACGGCCAACAGCGTCATCGCCGTCTCCAACACCTGGTGGCCCGTCAGGCCGCGTGCAGGTTGCATCACCCGCGTAGAAAGATCCTCCCATTGTACTCGGTATGTCGACAATCGAGTCCCACAGCAGTCATACCTGGCTCGTAGGGCGATTGTCTCTGCGTGCAATTGTGCTTCGCCAGCCTAGGAGACCGCAGCGGCTGCTCTGGGTGATGCTCCTACTGGGTCCTTCTGCCCTAGTTCAGTGCCGAGTGGGACGGATCAAGGATGATGATCCCTGCATCTGCAACACTCACCCGGTCACCTCGACCTCGCTGTTCGCTTGTATGCTGCGCGTTGTGACTTCGAGGCTCTGAGCTGGGTTGAGTCATTCGTATTACAGCTCGTGTTTGGAGTTTGAGGACGTGTTGATACTGGCGGTGTCGTTATTAGATCTCGTTTCAGGCTTCGTACTTGTTGACAGCGGTTTGGGGCGCGTTTCCTGCAATCGGAACCTGGACTTCTCAAGCACGAATATGGTTGCCTGTCTGTCTTTATGCTGAGAAATTGGAAGAAATGTGCTAGACTTTACTGCCACGGCGACACCTGTCTCAGACAAGGGCTGCATGGAGTGATGGGACATGGACAAAGGAAGACAACACAAGCAACACACTGGCCTGGCAGCCTATTTCGTAATTCCCGACTCCCACTTCGGCAACTTGCTGCAGATAGTTGGCTTGCCGGGCTCGCAGCGCATTCCGAGTCGCATTCCCAGTCCCTGCCACCAGGCCTAGGATCCAGCGACGTACTGTATCGTGCACCAGTTGTTGCAGCCAGGGGCTCTCGCTGCGGTCCGGCTCGGCTCGCCACTATCATGACCAGTGGTGTCCTGCTGGGATTTATCGCTCGAATCAACTCCGAGTTATCTTCTTGGAGCCAGTTATTGCAGTAACAGCCATTGAAGACGTTCCTGCACTAGTAAGTGGTCGGGTATCTCAAAGGCCGCACGGGCCTTTTGATCGCCTAGTCGGTGCTGAAGGTATGGGCGAGCTGGACCGTAACCGTTGTTCAACTCACTTCCTGTTCCCAGCGCACTCCGCCAGAACTTACAGGATTACTGGCATCTCTTCGCTCGAGTACTGGGCAGATGCCCTTCTACATCGGGCTGACCATAGTCTCATACCGAGGCAGACGGTCCAATCTTGGACAAGTAAAGGGCATAACCATAGAATCAGCGTGATGCTGGGGAACACAACGGTCTTCTTGAACCTGTCATGGAAGTCCCACAGTCGCTACGGTGCCAACTGAGGTTGCTGGTCTCCTGTGGCGAGGCGCTGTGCCAGTGATCCTTCCTTACGTTGGATTTCTGCGTGCACGCACTATTGTACTCCCTTGAACCAGCCAGATCCCACTTCCTCTTGGTAGAGATCGGTCCAGCTCAGTATCGTCCTAGCACTTCGTTGATGAGCTTCTCTCCTAGAGGTGAAATTACATCTGCATGATTGAAGCCCTGAAAAATATTACGGACCTCCGTCCATTTTGTAAGCCCCATTTGTCGAATCTGAATGGCCAGCCTGCAGTGGAACCACCGACTGTCATTCTTGCTATAGTCCTCGGGTTTCTGATTCTCGTCGCGCGTATTCTGCTCGTCGGAGAGTGCTGCTCGACTTCCTGGCTGCTTTGCCTTAGGTATTGACCACTCAGTATGGGCCCCGACGAAGAGGGCCCAGACGCGAGCATTCTGGTACTTCGAGGAGTCGAGGTCGTGCTCGAGCGCTGCCCGGAGCTTCCTTAACAGGGTCGGGACAACGTCGAAGAGATCAACACCACATATCTCGACTTTGTAGCTCGTGTGATGGGTCCAGATGAACTCAGCAAGAATGAGATACTGCTGGACGTACCAGCACTGAACGTCCGAAGTGGCCCGTTTCGACTTTTCGCCGTGACAGCAAGTTTCTTCGCTGACCTGGCATACGGCGTGCAGATAATGTTTGATCATGCGTCCTTGGTGCACTGATGCTGTTGTGGACAACCACAGCATTATCAATGGCGAGACAGGCATGCCCCGGAGTCCAAAATACAACCATGTCTGTAACGTCGTCCGCCGCGAGACGAAGAAAGCCCTCAGATCCATGCCCTCCACGGATTTGTCAAGACCTTCTTCTGCTTCGGCCCGGAGAGCCCTCCATGGTGGAAGAGAGTTGAGCTCTTTGAGCCCGGAGGCCCAGATTGGTTGCATAGCCTTGGCAACCCAACCATCAGGTTCTACGTCGAATGTGAAAGGGCTCATGAAGATGGTGCACACCTGGCTCTCACTCCACAAGGCGTACTGTAGGAGGGTGTAGTCAATTGTCCCATACATTCGCTGACGCTCTTGGAAAAGGTGTTGCAGCACCTTGGCATGCGTAGCAGCGGCTGGTAAGTTCTTGTCCACGATCTCGGCTTTATGAAGCATAATGATTTGGAGAAGAAACAGATCGCTCCACCCATGCCTGTCGTTATTCAGCAGCTTCACACGGAGCTGCTGAATACTGCGAAGACGGTATCGCATGGCCAGTGAGCGTAAACCGGGACGAATAACTGCAGCGATCGTTGCTGCGCGAGCAACAAAAGCACTTGCTAGGTCCGGATGCTGCAAAGTCGAAATGCAGATGGACCAATCCAGCCGAGCGCTTGCGGAGCTGACCCAGTCTCGAGAGGGTACGTGATATTGGGCAGGTAGAGTGTAGTCTCGGTAGAATGCGATGACCTCGTTGATCTGAGGATCGATCTTGATTGCATATGCACAGAAGGGATCCGAGTTACCCGCGTGAGCCAGAAGAGGCTGCACGGAATGGCGACACGAGCCTTGAGAAACAGCTAATCGGCGGCTGTTTGCGCCGTTTCCCTCGACTGATCCGGATGAGGAAGCGTCGTCGGTGGGACGTTCAGAAAGCGGCGTCGTCTGGGGCCTACGGCTGGGAAGGCGGATTTTGTCTGCAAACGGTCCGCTAGAGACAGCGCTGATATCTCGAAGACGGTCAATCTTTTCTTTCCTTTGCCGCTTGTGGTAGTTCCGGCGTACATGCGAGAGCACCTCGGAATGGTGAGGTGAGGTTCCGGTGATGCTCAAATCAACGAACATGAATTTCTGGGCAAATGTCGACTCATGATGACCAGAAGTAGCGGCCATTTTCGGAAGAAGCAGTCGGACAGCTCCGGCTTCGACTTGGGATAGATGATGCGTGTCTATACAGCCGGACAGGCGCCGCCATTTAGATCACACATCGATGTCGACTCTTGCAGTGAGTGTCGCCAGCGGATCGGTGTCTCGTCGCGTCGCTCAATCTGCAAGGCTGCGCAGGGGCCCCATGGTGCCCATGTGGTTTGGCTTATGTGATCGACAACAGGTCAAGCTCCATCATAGGGCTGAAATACGAGTGCTCTGCTTTGTCAAAGATCGAAAGTGAACTGGTGCCACAGTAAAGTGACATCCAAGTCGCTGCTGACAGATTCGGCGTGGGAGAACTTCGGAAATACCGCGGCTGTATCGAGACGTGTATCAGCCGGTATCATCGTGCATTCATAGATCACGCAGTCACTCAACAACCTGGTAGTCCATCTTCTTGACGCCGTAGCAGAGTGCGTTGAACAAATCCGGATAGGAGACGGAGAAAGACTGCTGCACAATACAGGCTGCACATGGCCAGAGATCTTGAAACGGTTTACGCAGAACGTCGAGCTTGGGTTCGCTTCCTTGTAGAAGCCATCTAAGCCGGCATCGTGCCTTGTCCGTGCTCACACACGGCGGCACTTGAGGAGCTTCTGCATAGCTGGTCTGTTGTTACATAGCCAATCGGGAGCTATCGTCATGATGCTCCCTCCCAGGGGTATGAGTAACAAGCAGAGGACTTCCTGTGAACATGCAACCTGTTCCCACCCGCGCAGAGAACCAATCGTCAGAGGCTCGCCTCCCCGCATTTCGCCTCAGCACGGTCGTCAACATTGCAAAACAAAGTGAAACAGATGCACCACCATTTCATACCACGTCGAGCAGAAGCATGCCAGGGCCGGACTAAGAGTGCTCAGCAGCCTGGCCCTGTGCTTGTGGCTGATTCTGCCCGCCTCGTCCCCGATTCCCGCGATAGTTGTTGTACCCACCAAATCCACGGTTGTTGTAGCCGCCTCGATAGGTGCCTCCGTACTGTCTTCCGCGACCGGGTCCACCGCCCCGACCACGGCCACGATAACCCCCGTCCACATTACCCTGTCCAAAGGTTTCAATGTTCTTTTTGAACTCTTCGCTTCGGATTTGTCTTCCAATTGAGCGCCCATCACTTCCCTCGGTACGGTCCTTGGCTTCTGAGGAAATATTGTCGAAGAACGAGGTTGACTTATTGTAAGCGGGTCCTGCGGTGGGTAGGCTCTCTTTTCGGGGAGGTGACGATATTCCTGCGTCAGCAGCACTATCTTCATTGGTGGGAGGATCTTCCAGCGGTGACCCTGAAGCAATGGCCTCTTTGATCAAGTCTTCTTTGCTGAACTTTGCATTGGCGGATTCGAAGTCGAAATCAGACTTGGGGATTTCCATCTTCTTTTGACCGCTGCCACGATGGAAATTGCCTCGCCCTCCTCTGGAACCCCCTCTTCCGCCGCGCGATGTCCCATTCACCGCGGTTGCTGTTGAGATTTCGGCCACTTTCTTTGTGAGAGCGTCAACTGCAGCTGTTGCAGATGATGTCTTGTTCTGTGCCGCGGCTGCTTGAGGGTTCAGCTTCGCCATTGCAGCTGCAACCGCCTCTTTTGCCTGTCGCGCCGCTTCATCCATGGCGGCTTGCGAGGTGACAGGCTTTTGTGGTTTCGCCGCCGCACCGTTGGCTGCCGAGGCATCTGCGGCCGGAACGGGAGGTGTAAATGATTGTTGATTGACGGTCAAGGGCACTGCAGGTGTAACGCGTTTGCTTTTGGGCCCTGTCGGAGCGGTTTTGGTAGGTGCTGGGATGGCTGCGGCTGCTGCAGGTGCAGGCGCAGAAGTAGGGGCAGTTTTCGCGGCGATCTCGGCTTGTGGTGCGCGAAAGGGAACTGAGGCAGTGGCTTGAGCGTCTTTCGGGGGGGCTGGAGAAGTGGATTCTGAAGCTTTGTTGCTGCCCGGGAGTTCGGAAGTCAGGCCTGACGCAGGGAGATCAGCAGGGGTAGTTGAGGCGGGAGTTTGACGTGACGGCGGCGGTGGTTGTGGGAGATTGTTGCGCAGACCAGGAGGACCGATGGGAGGTTGAGGATGTTGGGGGAATGGGTGATGGCCAGGTCCTTGTGGAAAACCTGGGCCGCCAGGAGGACCGAAGTAACCTGGAGGCGGCGGCCCATAAGGCGGGAATCCTGGACCAGGGCCAAACCCTCCAGGAGGTGGACCATAGCCTCTACCGAATTGACCGGGAGGATAGTAGCCACCGAAAGGCGGAGGATGCGGATACTCTTGAGGAGAAAATGGACCGTCGCGTGGAGGACCCAGGGGAGGGGCGCCTGGTCGTGATGCATTCTGTATTGTTACACGATGTCAGCAAAGCTCGTCACCTGTGTTATGCATCGATGTACGTGATCAGACAAGATGAGAGGTCAGAAGGAAGGCAACGGAAATATCCACACAGCTTTGCGCTTTCAGAACAGGTCTGTGAATTTACATCCGAAATATTTCATCATTGGAACCTGGGGAGCAAGAGGGCGCAAGACGTACCAGGATAGCAGGATCGTTGGGTATGCTCTGCGGAGGAGAAGGCTGTGACGGCTCATCCTCAGCTATCTTGATGTCCTTCACGTCACTACCGCGAAAGACAATGAATCCATATTTTTGTTGTGAGGGAGGGACGAATTTCTCGACTTTGCGGTCTTCAGTGCCGAAAGAAAAGACATTTTCCAACGCGATCGTTGACTGTTCCGGGTTGATTTCGTGAAGAGTACCCACGTAGCTATATGCGCGAGTGCATTAGAGTATGTTCTTGAGCTTGAAGCGAGCCTCACCCACCGAATTTCACTTTTTGAAATGAGATTGAAACGCTGGCCGATGAGATGATCCATGTCCATAACGAGGGGAGTGGGAGGAATGCGCTGCTTTCACATGGAGAGGATGAGAGGGACTGAAGAATGTTCTGAAGGTAGGAAGTTTCGTGGAGGGAGTTGTTCCAAGAAGCTGTGGGCTGATGATAATTGACTGAACAGCAGGGTGAATTTGGGACTGCGACGAACAGATGTACATTTGCGCAAGATGTTACCGTGCTTCACCTGACCGCAGGTCTTGGCGCGACAGACGGTGAAGTGAAGTGACAGATCGGCAGTGTTGGCGGTGTTTGTAGTGTGTGCATTGTTTGCATCTTTTGCGGCAATAGCATTGAGTGTGTCGGCTCCTTGGGCCCTTGCGGTTGAGTCTTATACGTCTCTACCGTCATCAAGAATCATGGCCACTTCCCACGCGTCCGATCAAGCGGGCAACTACTTTCAAACAGAGTATGTTGCTGTGGCGATATATGTCTTGCACGAACTTGCTGATCCTCCAGCAGCACCTCTCTAGCTGAGCTTGAGCGCAAACGACAAAAGGCGGCAAATACACTTGGAGACCCGGTCAGATTTCCAAGCAAGATATTAGCAGTCGCCATCAATCACTACTTCGACCCGGCAGGTGATGTTGTGTTTGTGGCCGAAGCCGGCGGACTGGTCAGTGGCCTACGGTTGTCTAGCAATGAGTTATCTACGACACCGAGAGGGCCCCAAGCACCCCTGACCAGCTTGGCTTTCTATGCCGCGCCTACCCCTGCAGCAGCCGGCACTGCTTCATACGTGCTCAGTGGCTGCTGGGACAAGTCGATATGGAGATACTCGTTCCAAGGCAGTACTGTCATTGACCAGACTTCGTTTCCAGCTCACAGAGATTTCGTAAAGTGCCTGCTGGTAGCTCCGACCCCAGACAAACAGCAGGTCATAATATCCGGCGGAGCAGACGGTGATATTCGGTTCTGGAGCTTGGACGGCGAATCCATTGGGTCTATCAAGCCCGGCGCTCGCGGTATCGAATGTCTTGTCCTAGATCCACTGTCTTCGCCAGACTCGCCCGTGGTATTCGCATCGACCTCAAAACAAGAAATTCTCTCCTTCGCCATTCCAAGCCTATCAGAGATCACAGCGCACAAATTTGTGTTGACGCCGCCTATTCTGGCACACGCTACTAGTGTGTACAAGCTACACTTTGACGACGATGGAGACCTCTGGACAGCATCCGCGGATAAAACAGCAAAGCATCTCCTAAGGGCAGACGGTTGGAAAGTCGAAACCACATTGACCCATCCCGATTTTGTGCGGGACGTTGTCACTCAGGGAAGATATGGCTGGGTGATAACGGCGTGCAGAGACGAGAACGTCCGCGTCTGGAATACAGCGACGGGAGATCTGTATCACGTCTTCACCGGACACTATGAAGAGGTGACGGGACTTGCTCTAGTAGGTGATCTCGTCATTAGTGTGAGCATTGATGCAACCCTTCGGAGATGGAGTCTTGCGCCGGCGGATTTGAGCAAGGCGGTGGAGGAGGCAAAACATCCCAAACTCCTTGAGCAAGAGCCCGAACCCAAGATGGATCTGGGTGTGCTGACCGAGGAGGAGGAAGCTGAACTGCGTGCATTGATGGAGTCGGAAGAACAGGAGACGTTGGAGCGGATGGCCATGGATGAACAATAGCGAGTTGGGTCACGTGGCCGAAGCGGCCGCGTCACCTGCCCCCACGTGCTCGACCCCGTATTATGTAAGCAATCCATATCGCGAACTGACGGCATCTGATTGGCTGCCCGCCGCGGCTTCATCTTGATTGTCGTTTTGCCTCGTGTATTTGGCCGGTGAAAATCTCTGCGTGTAAGCGCCCCGTTATTTCAGCAATCCCATCCATCAGACTACGCCTTTTGTCCAGTCCTGCTTCGATAGTGGCCGGTGGCGCGGCCGTGATCGACCCTGCCGGCGCTTTCCGACCCCAAGCGCAAACTTCGCAGAGCCTTGCCAACCTCGACTCGATCCACTTGCCTTCGCAGCATCAGACTTTTCACCTTCGTTCTACTTAGCTGGACTTCTTCGGGAGATCGTCCGGCAAGATTTGCCTGCTACTCTTCTTCCTGCTGTGCTCATATTCCCGCCAGATCAGGACGCCCAGCGTCCGCCCGGCTACCCTTCCCAATGGGCAATAGTGAACCTCAGTTGGCGTTGCAAAATGCTTTGGCAAACAGTCCGTCTCCTTATGTGAGGCTAACCCGCGTGTTGCATCGAACGATGCTGACTTGAACAGTTGCGTGAGCACAAGGACAACCCTGTATCATGGCAGGAGTGGTCAGAAAATACGCTGGCTCTGGCAAAGCAACACCAACGTCTCATCTTTCTGAGCATCGGCTACAATGCCTGCCACTGTAAGAGAAATGTGCCATCTCTGTGCGTCCTGACTAACACGACTCCAAGGGTGCCATGTGATGGAAAGAGAGTCGTTCAGCTCTCCCGAAGTCGCCGAGATTCTCAACACCTATTTCATCCCCATCAAATTGGATCGGGAAGTGCGTCCTGATCTTGACGACATCTATATGAGCTATGTCACAGCAACGACAGGCGCGGGTGGGTGGCCTCTGAACGTCTTCCTGACGCCAGATCTCAAGCCTGTCTTTGGAGGAACCTATTGGCCTGGGCCCACGCCTACCACCAATCTCAAGCAAGCCGTACCCCATGACGAGGCTCCTGTCACGTTCATCGAGATTCTCGCCAAGATGAAGGAGGTATGGACCACTCAACGCGAGCGATGTCTCCAGTCTTCTTCAGAGATCACGGATCAGTTGCTAGCCTTTGCCGGAGAGGGCATCCATTCACATTCAGAAAGCCACGCCCCGGAGACCGAGCCATCGTCGACGGATCCGCCTGAACCTTTGGACCTGGATCTCCTAGACGAAGCACTGACCCATTTTGTGTCTCGTTATGACGCGACGCACGGCGGCTTCAGCGCGAGTGCAACAGCGCCGAAATTTCCCACGCCTTGTAATCTCACTTTTCTCCTTCGAATCGGAGCAGCGATCGCTCAGCCTTCCACACATACCCGCTTCGGCTTCTTCAGTCCCGTACCTGGGATCTTGGGCAAGGACTCGTGCCTTACAGCCGCGCGGATGTCATTACATACGCTTCTGGCCATGTCACGGTCCGGCTTGAGAGATCAGCTCGGTTACGGCTTCCACCGATACAGTGTCACGGCCGACTGGAATCTACCTCACTTCGAGAAAATGATGTGTGACAATGCTCAGCTGCTCGGTTGCTTCTGCGATGCATGGGCATTGGGTCGTGACCCGGAGATCCTGGGGACGATATATAACCTCGTCGAGTATTTTACCAACCCAAGATCGCCAATAGTAAATCCCGAAGGTGGCTGGTATTCTAGCGAGGATGCGGATTCACGGAGCTCTCTTGCACCCCTCAGCAATGGCGCCATAGCAGATGACAGGAAGGAGGGGGCATTCTACGTCTGGACACTGAAGGAGTTTCAATCGATACTGGGAGATCGAGACGCCTCGATCCTTGCTCGACACTTTGGCGTCAGGGCGGATGGTAATGTGCCTGCGCAGCATGACATGCACGACGAGTTCCTTACGCAGAATGTACTGCACATCAACGCTACACCGTCGGTGCTTGCCAAAGAATTCGGCCTCGCCGAGGAAGAAGTTGTTCGGGTAATCAAATCCGGTCGTGCCAAACTGGCCGAGTACCGCAAAGCGAAGCGCGAACAGCCACGAGTCGACACCAAGATCATTACGTCTTGGAATGCACTCGCCATCACGGCCCTTGCTCGTGCGGCCAATACACTGTCTTCGATTGACAGGCATCGAGCACAACGATGTCAGGAAGCTGCAGAGAAAGCAGCAGCATTCATCCGGAGGGAAATGTACAATGAGAGCACAGGCCAACTATGCCGGATCTCATCGGGCCCCGCCCAGGACAAAGCAAATGTCGCCTTTGTCGACGACTACGCGTACTTGACACAAGCGAACCTGGCCCTCTACGACCTCAGTCTCTCTCAACCATACCTCGACTGGGCAGCGCGGCTTCAATCCTACCTCGACGAACAGTTTATCGCCTCCACCACGGGAGGATACTTTCAATGTCCTCGACCCCGGCCCTCCTCCCCTCCTGAACAGATCATTCGCCTCAAACCCGGCACTGACACTGCTTTGCCATCGCCCAACGGGACGATCTGCACGAACCTCTTGTATCTCTCGTCGTACATCCAATCGCAATCACCCTCGCAGCAGTCGACAACCGCAGAGTCATACATCCGGCACGCCCGTGCGACACTCGATGCCTTTGCGGTCGAAATCCTCCAACACCCCTTCCTGTACGTCACTCTGCTCGGCGCGCTAGTGATGGAGCAAGTCGGCGTGAAAACGATCATCGCGCCAATGACGACGAAGGACTCTGAGCTCCGACGGCTGAAGGGCTGGGGAAGGACTGTGGTCAAAGGCATCGTATCCAAGGTCATGATCTGTTCGCAGGACGGGGTGTGTAGGGCTTTGCGGAGGGAAGATCTCGAGGACGTTGACGAGCTTGAGGAGGACAGTTCACAAGAGAAGGACAAGGCCAAGCGTGCCAGTAACGACGATGGACCTGCGATGGCGGGACCCGTCAGGGAAAGTGTCTCTGCGCCGGCTTAGGGATTCGCGTATTGGGACACTTCTTCTATACGGCGTGCAGATGGAACGGATTCGGAGTCGGAAACGCTGGAGTAGTATTTCTGTCTTGTCTTGCTGCTGAGAGGAGGGTCAGCCACGGCCGTTGGCGTCACCAATGGAGGGCTCAACGACGATTATACGATTATCAACTCTACTTCTTCGTCCCCTTCCGTCCACTCTGTCGCATGCTGTGTGCCCGTCCTGAACTCCAAGCGTTGTAGTTTTCTGCAAATTAGTAAATACAAACCAGAAAGGTAGACCCAGGGCTTGTATATTTCGGGCCACGGAATCACACGCAAAGTCTACGTGAAGAGATGTTGCGAACCCAGTGTAACATTGTCTCGATACACGACAATACGCAGGTCTATATAATGGGTAGATTTATGTGTATTCATATGTATATATATACATACGTCTGTCTAACCGGCCCACGAATTCTACCTGCATATAGAAGCGGATCGGTTCTGACTGCACCCACAGTCTCCCTGCATACAGCGCGTGGTGGTTGACCATGCCCCTAGATATAGACCATGCTCGTGAGGCATTCTATCCGGCGGAAAGCGGTTCGTCTCGTCCCTCTCAACCAGCGAGCTACAAGATCCCCCCCTCCGCGTCTACCGTCACGAGTCCGCCAGATTGTCCAGTATCAGATCGACCTCCTCGGCCGCCGTCTCGAGGATATGTTCGGGCTTGAATCGCGGCGTCCACGCGAGTTCCGCCCCAGCATGTCGTGCCGTGAACGTGCATCTGTCGCGTAATTAAAGGCGAGATGTCAGCGACCGGATGTTCAGGCCCGAAAGAGACACAAACGAAACACACGTATGAAAACATGTATGAAAACATACCTCCCTCCCAACATCAGCGCGACCAACGCCGGCGGACATCCCAGCCCCTTCCCCATCGTCGTCAATACATCCACGTTGCCCTCCGCGGGAAGTACATCCGGATGATCGACCACGCCTCTCTCGGCCAACCGGCGTGCCATTGCCCGGTACAAGTCGTCCCAAAGGATACTCCCCGAAGAAGCAAGATAGTAGCCTTGCTTGCCAGATGGGGGACTCTTCCCCGCCAAGATGGCATCCAGCAACGCGAGATACAGACTTGTATTGTCGTCGACGTGACATACGGGCCAAACCGCGGCCGAAGGCGGGTCGTTTACGGAATAAACCCTGCGCGCAGCCCTGGCGGCTTTGACGATCGCGACCGTCTGGATGGAGATGCGGTTCCCGAACCCGCGGCCACGGCCGTACACGATGCAAGGCACGAAGATGTAGCAGCGCACGCCGCGGGCCTCGGCGCGCTCGACGACCGTGGTGTTGGCGTCGATGGCCGACTGGAGAAGCGGGACGACCGGCCGCTGGGCCTTCTGCACGTCGTACAGGGCCGGGTCGTCGTCGAACAAGGGGCCCTCGGTCGGGGCGCCCGCGTGGCTGGAGAAGATCTTGGCGCCGCTGGTGTGCAGGAAGTGGACGTCGGTGACGGCGGTGCCGCTCAACTTGGCCTTGACCTCGCCGAGGGCGTCGATGAAGTGGGCTTGCGTCGTGGCCGTGAGGGCGTCGATCAGGAAGAAGACCACGCTGATGTCGTGCTCGAGGAGCGCCGCCCGCACGGCCGATGCGTCCTTGACGTCGAAGCGGAGCGGTTCGGCGCCGTACGCCTGCACGGCCGAGGCTTGCGAGTCGGTCCGGACTAGGGCGTAGAGTTTCTTGTATTTGTGTGCCGGGAGGGCGTGCGCGTCTGTATTGCCTAGCTGGGCCAGGAGACTGCCGCCGAGGTAGCCCGAGACGCCTGTGAGGAGGATCGAGTGAGACATGGCGGGCGGGCAGGTGGGAGGGGAAAGGAAGGGAGGGGTTGGTGTGGAATGGATAAGGCACGGCTGGATTGATACTACAGTTTGATATCGGAGTCACCGTATACTTCGCTGAGGGAGGACTGCTGTAAAACGATCTATATTTCACTATTTCACTATTATTCATGGGAAGATGAGGGCGTTGTTGGGGTCACAGTTGGAGACACGTGGATTTGTAAAGGACGGAGGAACGACATTCCATGCCTAGGTACGGAGTACTTTTCTGTGGTGGGGTCGGTCTCTTGGTGTGTGTAGTACCAGAAAAGCAAGTAACCCTTCAAAATGACCCTGTCTCGTGAGTGAAACGAGGGTTGAATCCGCAGACTATTTACCAGTGCGCTGCTTCTTTGCTGGGACGTTCCCCTTTCCATTATCACTATCCTTGGCCGCATCACCTCTGTCCTGTTGCTCTTGGCTCCGTGGTCTCTTGCGGGACTTACCTGTAGGTTTGGTCTCCATGGGAGCCTTTGGAGGATTTAAAATCAGTCTTCTGGGGTTTACTATCGTGGGAGCATGCAGAATCAGTCTCCTGGGAGTCAATGGGGTGGGTCGATCCTCTGGCCCTTGCAATTGTGCTGGCGAACTCGTCCTTCCCTTGTCCTCACCGCGATTTTGATCTTCTCCAGTGGCTTTATCATTGATTTGTGCATCTTCGCCGCAGCTCTTTGAAATCTTGCCTGTCGTGATATTGATGCTCAGAATTAAGCGAGGCCTCCTTGTCGCTTGATACTCGTCCTTGCTGGTACTGCTCGAATACTCACCGTCGGCTTGGGTCTTTTTGGCATCATCGAGCTCCTCTCTTTTCCGCTCGGCGGTAGATGATCTGGTCACTCTTTCCGAGAGCACACTGACTGCCGGCTTCTGCTGTGCACGTGTGGGCCGGGCTCGCTGTGTACGCTCTGTCGGACGACCTCCAGATGTATCGACTTTGGCAGTGGTCGCTGGTGAAGCCGTCTTCGACCCTCCCTTGCCCGTACGTGGTCCCGCTCGTGTTCTTGAGGCAGGAGTAAGAACGTCGCCGTCTCCCCTTGGCGGCGTTGCAGGAGGGAGATGCTGTCCAAGAGGCGAAAGGTACTGGTCAGTAGGCTGCACATGCTCGCCATCCAGAGGCATACCAATAATCTCGGCGGCATTGATATCGCGCAGAATAGCGCGAAGACGGGCTTGGGCGCCAGAGCGCTCTATTTCTGTTGAGGGCGACGTGTGCTGCTCTAGACTGAGTAGCAAGCCTTGTTGAGGATGTGTCTGGTTTCTGCTTGCATTAGCATCGTGACCGTCCGTTACAGGTGCTAAAACATGGTCATCCGCTGGAAGAGAGGCCCCAACGCTGGAATCATTCTGAAAGTGGTTTCCCTGGTTCGTGGTACCTGTTTCTTCTGTGAACTCCAAATCAACAGTCAAGGAGGCTGCTTGAGGTACTTGACCACTGATGCTCAGGAGATTGTGCGCGGCCTCCATTCGACTCCTCTCTTCTTGCGCTACATTGTCTGCCTTCCGACGGATTGGGCCTACGGGCTGGATTTGACCGTCACCCTCGGCTGGTCGCATTTGAGCTTCGGTAAAATTATAAATCTGATGACGTCTGTAGGGGTTTATGTCAACGTATGTTAGCGCTATGGCCCTCATGAGCTGGCAAGGTACACGAATGCCCGTTTGAGTCAACAAATCATTTTGGATGCGGTCCCTGGTGTCAATTGCGTCGGGCATCGACTGGGCGTCCAGCAGATATAGACACCGGCGGTAAAGCCATCCGGGTATGCCCATGCCTGGAGCCGTGGCGGCAGTGGCCCACGTATTGTCCAGGGCATCGAGGAGATTATCGTCCATTCTGCGGACTGTCTGGCCGTCAAGATAATGACAGCTGCTGTTGAGGAGCACTTCGGTGTGGCTGATCCCTGTATACAAACAAGGGTAGCAAGAGATATTCGGAAAGGCAGGAAAATTGTCAGAAACGAACTTCAAAGAGGCCATGAGTAAAAGGCTGCTATATATTCACTCGCAGGCTGACTGTATCTATGAAGTGTCGGCCTGTGTGGTGTAGTGGTCCAGTGCATTGTGTCGAGGCTCCCATATCAATGGCAATAACGGTATGTTTCTTTGTTCTGCATGAAGCCACATTGTGTACACAACAATGGATCGAACCTAAATTAGCTAGTGGTTGCTAGATTAGCGGGAGATTCTTTGTCTGTAATCGTCCAATTCTTGTTCCCGCTGGACACGCAACAGCAACCCGCTTCACGGGTACCGATCAGTTTTGGTTTCGACAAGAGAGTCTTGTATGCATTGAAGCATGAAGCGAACGGGATATTGTCTTGTGTCTTTTCGAAGTGGGGGCTCGCTTCCGCTGGACATGGCGTCAGCGGTGCCAGTCTGCCCGACATAAGCGTCAGTGCAATTTCATCTTGTTTAGCTACTGGATCAGTAGTACTCCTCTGCGCGCCTGGTAGTATCAGTTGGTCTTTGGAAGGAGAAAAGCCGTCGGGAAAAGGTTTTGGTTCGATCCTCGGTCGCTTGGAGCAGCGGCCAGCGCATTCCGGGCGTCCGCCACGGGCCACATAAGAGCCCGGAATGGTTGTAGAAAGAGCCAGGTCATCTTCGAATACTCTTCAAGGCCCTGCAAAGGGCTGATCATGGCCAGGCAGTGCTAAGCCTCCTATCCGAAAATAATTGAGACCCCAGGTCATGGCCAATTCCTCTAGACATGTCTCCAGGTTGTGTTTGATGTCGACCAAATGGTCGGACGGATCCAGTATTACCGGTCTCATGTCTGGTCGAAGGACTTTGACATCGTAGAATTCAAGCAAGCTTCGTACTAAGTCAGCTGTTTCTTGGGTATCAGGGCATAGACCTTTAGCCATGAGAGGAGGACACGACCCACGGTGGAATTGGAGCTGTTTGAACTCGAGCACCGTTCTTGGGTAGTCGCGATGGACCTCCCACAGTTCCTCGTCCCTCATATGCATGGTGGGATCTTTATCGTCTCTTGTGGGGATGGCGCCTTTTCTTTCGAGCAGTCGCTTTTTCTGTGCTTCGACAATCGCTCTGGCTCGAGGAGTAGGCGCGAGTATAGGTGCAACAGTATGATAAGGTCGCCATATCAGACCATTCTTGGTTCTAGCTTCCTGGTTTTTCAGCCTGTCTTCGATAATGGCGAGACGAAATCCAAGACCGAGCGTAGAACGGTTCCCCTCCCGGGTGATGAGCTCGTTCTGGAGGATCTGGAAAATGTTCAGACCGAATCCAGCCGTTTCCATCGCCATTGTGCAGCGAGCTTGACAGATGCGAAACAAAGGAAAATCCACAAGAGACAAGAATCGAACGGCTGCACGTGGAAGGTCAATGGAGCAAGAACGGGATGTCAGAGGGAAGTGAAATAGCGGCACGGATCGTAGTCGACGAGTCACAGCATTGGCACACGTCATCGACACCAAGTATCTCGTATCTCGTATCGCGATCTCATGGAAATCATCATCGCCTCATCATCCGATAAGGGAGCCTCTTTTAATTCCTAGCTCCCCGGTGAGTGAACGGGATCTTTTCAGGGTATTGTATCAATAAGGCAGGCCATCATCCTTCAGCCTCTCAGACCCTCCGGTGTGTCTTGCTGGGCATTCCATCTGCCTTTGATGAATGCATCCAGTTGCCCGATCTCCTCCCACACTTGCCAGACGCGAGGGAATTCTCCTCGTACGTCGACCCCGAACCTCAATGCTCCATCAACCGCCGGTGCAAGAGCGCAGTCTGCCACGGTGACTGAGTCTCCGACGCTATACTTTCCGCCATAAGCCTTGACAAGTTCCTCGTACGCACGGAACCCCAAGCACATGAAATGTTGTTGCCACTTTTGCGCCTCTATGTTGAGCGGTTTGATGTAATTCAGGACTCGCAGGTTCGTGACGGGTTGAATATCGCTGGCTACGATGTTCACCAGCTCCCTGACCCTCGCTCTGTCCACGGGATTGTCTTTGCCCGGCAGCAGCTTCACTCCGTTCCCCTCTTCGACTTCTTCGAGGAATTCCAAGATTGCAACGGACTGTCGGATCCTCGTGATCTCCTTGTCTGTCTGTCGATCGCTGACGACCAGGGTAGGCACCGAGTCGCTCGGATTCAGGCTGTGGTACTCCGTGCTATGCTGCTCGCCTTTGACCAAATGAACGTACTTGTACTCCAGCGGGATATCCTTCAGGTGAGCGGCAATCCGAATTCGGGCTGAACAGGAGCTACGAAAGTAGCTAAACAAGGTATACTTGTACTTGAGCTTGTCAGACATCATAACAGAGCTCGTCAGACTCCGGAAACTGCCCCAGTCGTGCCAAATTCTGGGGAATCCGCCTTAACCGTCCACGCCCTCGTCTCTGCCCGGGGTATGCGCTGATCCAGAGGGGATGGTCTAAACTAGCGAAAAGCTAGCAGGATCTGGGGTCGTGCGTGCAGATGAGATATGCAAGTGGCACCCAAACCGCGCTATGTCGTCGCTGGTCCTTGTCCAAAAGACCCTTCTTGCAGCGGTGGTGCTTCGGCCTCCACAATTTCCAAGGTCCTGACCAGGCTCTTAAATGTTTTACCGGCGTTGCCAGGCCAATTCCAAGGAATCTAGCTTCAAATTGATCACTGAGCTCAGCCCCTCAGAGCATGTAATCCTTCTCACCGAAAATTGCCAATGTTGAGAACAATCGCAGACTCTTCTGGTTGAGGTCCAGCTGACTCTTTTCTCCTCTTATAACTCGTACCTCGCCCAGTATCCAGCGCGGAAACCCCGCAAATGCGAGCGGAGCTCATTCCGAACGCTCTCAGTGTGACATTCGGCGCTGTACATTAGTTCCGGCCGAAATCGGGATGAAGATTCGATACTGTCACAGTGCTGCTGTTCTTGCAGGTCTTCGTGAATGAGCCATAGCCTGCAGAGAAGCAGCCGCAACTGTGACGTGGTCACGCGAGGCTGCAGGCTCGCTGGGACGAGGCTCCCTCGGTGGAACTCCGGTAAATAATGAGTTTTGTGGGGGAGGGGCTTTGAACTTTTGGAGACGCGATGAAGCATTGACTACCTTCAGAACGACGAACGTAAGACAGATCCCGCGGCTACCGCGCGCTCTCTCTCATTCTCTCTTCTACCAGTCCTCCCGACAAGCTCGATCTACCTCCGCTGTCACAACATGGCGAACAAGGCGATCCGGATAGGCTTCGTCCCGGAACACTATCTCCTCCCTCTCCATCTCTGCACAAAGCACTCCCTCTTCCCTTCGAATCTGCAGATATCGCTCGTCCCATTCCCGTCCGGCACCGGACATATGATTACCTCCCTCCGTTCCAAGGAGATCGACCTTGCCATCGGGTTGACGGAAGGCTGGGTGGCCGGCTTACTGAACCCAGACAACTACGAGAAGTCCGCACGGGAGAAAGGGTACTCGATCGTGGGTTCGTGGGTGTCGACACCTTTACGATGGGCGATAGTCACAGGCCGGAACAGAGATGACATCACTACCGTGGATGATCTAAAACAACACAGACGCGTTGGTGTCAGTCGACTCGGAAGCGGAAGCCACATCATGGCATTCGTCCTTGCGCAGCAAGAAGGCTGGCTCCATCAAACAAAAGATCAAAAGTCTGAGGGGTTGACGCTGGTTCCGTTGGGGCCGTTCAAGGATTTAAGAGACGGCGTGACCGGTTCCTCGGCGGATTTCTTCATGTGGGAGCATTTCACTACAAAGCCCTGGTTTCACGGTGAAGGCACGGAGCTGAAGAAGATTGGAGAGATCTATACGCCGTGGCCGAGCTGGCATGTTGCTGCTTCCACGGAAACGTTTCCAGCACCAGACAGGGATGAGACATTGAAAGCGGTCTTTGAGGCCTTCGACAAAGGCATTAAGGCCTTTAATGATGATACGGACTCGGCGATTCGGATGTTGGGGACGGGTGAGGCACACTGTCATTACAGTGAAGAGGATGGAAAGGAGTGGTTGAAGGGCGTCAAGTTTGTGGAAGGCACAAGAGGGGTGGATGAAGGTGTCATGAAGGGCGTGGTTGGAGTATTGAAGACAGCCGATGTGATTGGGACAGACGTGCAGGTTCAACCGGGAGATGGAGTCATTGGGATTGCAAGATGAGAGCTGGTTCAGTGGGGGCTTCTTTCAGAAATATGTATGAACTACATAGAAGTACTTGGTTTGCTTCTCACCGGAAGAGCAGATCGACCAATCATCATACTCACACGAGACTCGCGCGAGAGTGCTGTACCCATATCTCGACCACGCAACGCTGTACCGTACCTCTAATGGACACGAACGAGAACATTTTGTCACTTCCGTCTCATGTGGTGGTCAGACGTTCAGAACAAAACCACGAGAAGGACCCGCTCTACCTGACGTTTTGACATGGCATGATGTTAACAGACACATCAGGCGTATCAGTGGATGCGCAATATGGTCGATACGCAGAGATTCTCGATCTGAGGAAGAAAGAAACCCCAGATGGAAGTCTGTCGCACTGGTGAGCGAACGTTGAGAGGACCGTGCCTCGTTAGTCAGCCGATGTCATCGGGCAAGATCTCAGCCCTGCGCCTGTCAGACACAGACATTTTCTCTCTCAGACTCATTTGGCCCTTGGCTCTCCCCAAGCCCTAAGCGTCCGCTCTGGCTGGGCGCCGACTCACAGTTCCAGTGGTGTCGCGGCAAGTCTAGGCTGCCCAGGTGTCATCCGCGGGATTTCAGGCTTGGTCGCCACCCCCTGCTACCCTCCCTACAAGCAAGCTGAGCAAGCCCGTCGAGTAGTGTTTACGAACGCTGATCTGGGCGTGAAGCAGCGTCCACGTCCAAGTTGAAGCAGCTGCAAGGTCAAAAGAAAACGCAGGCTTCTTCCTACGGCTCTGCACTCTCACCCTCACCCTCACCCTCACCCTCACCCTCACCCTCACCCTCACCCTCGACTCACTTCGATTTCTCTTCTGTGCTCGTCGCAGAAGAAGGAACTTCTAGCCCAGTGTTCCGTATTCCCTCGAACAGCAATTGCCCTTTAAGACGGGGCCGTCTGCTTCTTCCACTCTTCCGCGAGTTGCTAAACTCTGCCCTCGACACTCTCCCGCTGTGATTCGTCCTCTGCCTCCTGCTCAAAACTCATCCTCTCCTCTCTGAATCTCCCACCCCGTTTTTCTAACATCTCACCTCACGTCCTAATCGAGCCATTTGCAATAGTGGTCCTCGTTCCAGCAACACGTACGCTTCCTTCTGCCACCAATCTCGACCCTTGCCTGGGCCCGTCATCCTCTGCTCGCGTCTGTGCTGCCATTCCTGTTCGCCTCCACCGACGCCGTCACACCGCATACCCGCACCGTGGTTCAGCGGTGCACACGCAAGCACACAACCATCTCACTTGAGCTAGGCCGGGCCATCACTTTGCCGCACACATCAACCCGCACTCACTCCTCTCTCATTCTCCTCTTGCGTCGCGCCATGGCGGCGCTCAATCGCAGCGCTCCGTAGAGGACGACTAGAATCGTCTGGCCGACCCCGGCTGATCCAGTCAAGATGACTCCGCGGTCGACTGCTAGTAATATTCCTTCCCCCAGCGTTGGTCAACCGACACCCCCGGCTGCACCGTCCACCACCTCTGCCGCAGCAACTGCCACCACGAATGACTCTGACACTGACACTCACCCCGAAGAACGACCAACTCATACTTCGGAGATCGGAACGCTGAAAAAGCTTCCCAATCATGGCACTGCCTGGTTAGGGAGCTCTTCCGGCGTCTACTTCGTCAACACTGTTCGACGCGCCTTTTCCGCCGCTTTCGCTTCCAATCTGGGCGGTCCTAATGCTGTACCAGCCAGCGAGGACATCCTGACGGGAGAAGATGCGGACGGTCGTTCATACAACGGCCCGCTTCATGATGGACCCAGCACCACCGACCTATTCCCGCAAAATCTCGCAGCCGCGCTGGGGAAACCGCCAGATCGAAAGATCGCGATAGAACTCGTCACGTCGTTCTTCACAACGTGGCACCCGCTATTTCCGTTTCTCCACGGCCCCAGTTTCATCAAGGACATGGAGTCAATATACTCGGGTCCACGCCAACGGCGACCTTCAAAGACGACTAAAGACAGTCCCGCACCCATAGACGTCCGCAAGCTTGTGACCTTCCAATTGATCATCAATATCGCAGCGCTGGACCGGAACGATCTTTCTCTACCTGTTGAATCGCGCATCAAATCCGCTGCGGATGTGTGTCGAGTCGCTGGATGTCTGGCTCTCAACCACGACCTATCCACCATTCAAGCTATTCTTGCTGCCGAACTCTACCTCACTGCCACACTTGCCATTCGACAAGCCAGTACCCTTGCAGGAATCATCATCAAGTTGATCTATCATGCCGGTCTCCATCGCTGCCCTCTGCGGTACGCGCAGCTTTCGCTTGAAGATTGCGAGATTCGCAAACGAATATTCTGGTCAGCGTACGCTCTCGATCGGCACTGCAATCTCAGTCTTGGTGACCCCAATGTTATTCAGGACGACGATATCGACGTGTGCCTGTCTGGACCCGAACTACACAAGGCCGGGGCTCATCTAGCACCTCCGGGCCCGGATACGGATATGGGGATGCATATGCCACCTCCACGGACATTGAACGATGACCCTCGTGTGGCGCAGTCCAACAACGACGGCCCAGAAGCTCGAGAAAAACGACTCCGAGAAGCTGCTTTGACAGCCTATGTGCAGTGGGGAAAACTGACAGGCCAGATAATTGAAGTGTTTCACAAAAGTATAAATCACAGATTTCCCAAGCATGAACAGATTCTTCGCTTGACCAGCGACATCGAGACATGGTGGAATGACCTCCCCGGTAATCTGAGTGGTGAATATGAGGCAGGACCTCAGAGCGACACACACGAGAACAGCGAAAATAACGCTGCATCGACTGCCAACGGCCATAACTCAAGACCGACCGTGGATCACTCTTCATCCGGACCTCCCCAGCAACATCTCGCCAGTTTCTTCAAGATTCTCTACCACCGGCTACTTTTACTCGTCAATCGCCCGCGCCTCTCCCTAGACCAGTCGACCCCCGAGTTCCAACATGGCCTCCAGGTCTGCATTCGCGCCTCCAGGGGCATCATCGCTGGCCTCAAGGCGCACAGAAAGCATGGCCAATCCATGTTTCTTCCCGGCCTGTTATCAGCAGCGTGGATGTCTGGCCTCATCATCGCATTTGCATGTCAATTGGGCAAATATGCAAAGGCCCGCGCACTCAGCGACATGCAAACTTGTCTTACCTTGCTTG